CAAAATTTCCAGCATGCCACACCGAAGCATATCGACCAACAACGGATGACTGCGAGGAAGAGGAGATAAATTATTGAATAGCCGTTATTCGGTCCGTTTGGACCGAAATTGGGTGGTAGATCGGGTTTGATTCGGCTCCATGTCCGTTAAATTTTGGAGCAATCGCGGAAGAGATGAAATAGGGATTCTTCTCTCCCGCGAAAAAGCATCGATCATTGGTGGTTATGTGTCGCCTCCTCCGTTCTGCGTTTGTGAGTAGCGTCCGCCGGCCAATGACCGGAGGAATAACTTAATTGTTCCGGCCATTCCACTTCCAAATGAGTCCATTTCTTGTCCTCCGCTTCCCAATTGCTGTCCCCAATCATCCTGTATGCCGTTGAAGTAGAGAATTTGCCAGTTTTGGTCCACTTCCAGGTTGGTAAATCTGATCCTTGTTCTCTGTTTGGTGTAGGTATTGCTGCAATTTTCAAAATTATTTGTGCATCTAGCCATGGTTGAAGTAGTGGCCAATTCCAATTGCCATGCATGTCTACATAGTCCACTAATTTTTTCTGCAAATGATCAGCTGGTACTTGTTGTATAGCTTGCTGTATGAGGGGATGTTCGGAGTCTAGCCATAGATCAGACCAGAATGAGATTGTTTCCCCATCTCCCACTAGCCACTTGACACCCTTGTTTGCAATGTGCCACATTAATGAGATTTGTTTTCCTAGATGTGATAGCTGGATTGGTCTATTCTGCTGTGAGAAGTATTTGGCTTTGAAAATAGAAATCCATAGGTTGTCAACATTTGTCAGTAGCTCCCAAGCCAATTTTAGGATAAAAGTTGTATTCACGTCTCTCAGTTTCCGTAAACCCAGTCCGCCATATTTCTTGGGTTGGCAGACTTTTTCCCAGCTAACCATGTTCATCCTTTTCTCTCCTGTCGAATTTCCCCAGAGAAAGCTCCTTCTTAATTTATCAATTTCGTCGCATGTGCCTTTCGGTAAAGCCTGCGACTGCATTAAGTAGAGTGGTACTGCTGCCAAAATTGATTGGCATAGGGTGAGCCTCCCAGCCATACTGATCCTCTTTGGGTTCCATAGAGAGATACGTTTCTTGACTTTGCAGATTAGTGAGGTGAAGGTTTCCTTTTTGACCCTACCATGTATGATAGGGGCCCCTAAGTACTTCCCTAAGTTGTCGACCAGCTTAATTCCCATCCTGGAGCTTAGATGCATTGCTGTGATGGTGTCAACGTTAGGTGATACATAAAGTATAGATTTTTCCGCACTGATTGTTTGCCCCGATGATTGACAAAATTGTTCTAGTGTTGTTCGAATAATTTGTACTTGGTCAACTGTTGCTTCTGCAAAAAGAATTAAGTCGTCAACAAAAAACAAATGTGAGAGTCTTACCTGGTTGTTGCCAAATGATATAGGTTTCCATTTATTGTTCTGAACTTCCGTATTTATAGCGTGGGATAGCCGCTCCATACATAGAACAAAGATGTATGGGAAAAGGATCCCCTGCCGGACTCCTCGGTGGGGTTAAATTGTTCACCTAGGTGACCATTCCATAATACTTGCGTAGTGCTTGTTCTTAGTGAACTCGAATTATGTTTGAAAGTGTTTGTGGTATTTTTGCATCATGTAGAGTATCTTGAATAAAATCCCATGAGATGCAATCAAACGCCTTTGCCAAGTCTATCTTAACGGCCATCCACCGGTTTTACTGTTTTTGTTTGCATCGTGTGAATTGCTTCTGGACCGTAACTATGTTGCCAATTATGCTTCATCGGGGATGAAACTGGATTGCGTATTGGCTATAAGCGTAGGCATGACTTTCTTAAGTCTGTTTGCCACAACTTTTGAAATTATTTTGGCTGAAACGTTTATGAGGCTGATGGGTCGTAGGTTTTGAAATCTCTCAGGCGGATTGATCTTTGGTAGAAGTATTATCATTGCCTTGTTTATGCTTGGTATCATTTCGCCTGTTTGGAAGACATTCTTGACCATCCGACATACGTTTTTGCCCACTGTAATCCAATTTTTCTAATAAAATCCAGGTCCAAACCCATCAATTCCACATGCCTTGGATGGGTTCATTTCAAAAACGGCGGCTCTGATTTCCTCATCTTGGAGTGATCTCAACAGGGTTCTCTCCTGCGTTGCGGGGATTGGTGGAAAGAAGCCCCTGACATGGTAAGTGCTTCCCCTATTACTAGCTTCGCGGTAAATATTTTTGAAAAATTTGGTAGCTTCGTTGCCCAAAATCTCTGGATCGGAACACCAATTGCCGTCATCAAGTTGCATGTCTTGAATTTTCCCTTTTCTATTTTTCTGTCTATGAAGTGCATGAAAGGATTTCGTGTTTTTGTCCCCCTGGGCAATCCACAGTGACTTTGTGTTTTGTGTCCGAAGTCGTTCTTCCTGTGTTACCGTAGTTTCATACTCCGTTCTCAGTTCAGTTTCCAAGGCTTCTAGAAAACTAGAATGTTTCAAGGCAAGAGCCTTTTGAATCCCTCCAATTCTGGCCAGTAACTTTCTTTTTCTTTTGTAGATATCACCAAAAAAATTGAATTTCCAGTCCTCAATATTTTCTGTGAGGATGTCAAGAGCTTCAGGTAGGTTTTCCCCTGACGGCCAAACCTTGTCAATCCAGCTTCTCCACGCATCGTGTTCTTCCCATGCCGACAGGTATCTGAAGAAATATGAACCCCTATTTGGCGCTGAAGTTGTGAAGAAATGAGCTAAGATAGGGGAGTGATCTGAGGCTATTCTCGGGAGGTGTTGGAGTGTTGTGTTGGTGAAGAAATTCTCCCATTTCTGATTCACAAGTGCCCTGTCCAGTCTCACGTGACATTTTCCTCGTTTCCAAGTAAATCTCTGTCCTAAGAAGCCTAGGTCTATCATCTCAGCATCGTTGATCCATGACACAAATTTTTTGCAGCCTTTGCCTCTCCTCCCTCCTACCTTGTCGGCTTCGTGTGTGATGGCGTTGAAATTTCCAAGAACAATCCAGGGGTCTGAGACTGAATCTGCAAGACGAAGAAGGTTGTCCCATAGTGTGTTTCTGGTTAGCCTTTGAGGGCTACCATACACCGCCGTGACGTAGCAATAGGAGTTATTTTGGAAAAATACTTTACAGTGTATACATTGCCAATTGTTTTCCAGGATTATTACTTTGATAGGGTCGCGCCATAGGATCCAGATACCTCCCGCAAACCCTACACTTCAATTCTATGTGAATTTTCGAATCCCGTTGTTTTAATTATTTGATCGCATCATTTCCTTTTGTTTTGGGTTCCGGGAGTATAATTAGGTGAATGTTGTAAAGTTTGATTAAATCTTTCAAAGCAGACTGTTTTCTCATTTGCTAGTCCTGCGTGTTCCATGCCATAATTTTGTGACTCATAATAATTAAAAGTAGAGATGTGAGGGCTTACCTACCGGCTTGGTAGGAGCTCCTCGTCGTTAACGACTTCTGAAGTTACTGGAGTTGCATCTCGTAGTTCCAAGCTGAGTTGTACTTCAGCATCGTCAATCCACTCCATTGCAGTCGGGGAATCAGAGAAGGGTTGTGTGGATTTAGGGGGTTGGATTTTAAGCTTAGGCTTTAGGTAGAAAGCATGTTCTGGGTCAGGCGGTTTTCCTGAGGTTACGGGTTCTAATGGTGGATCTGGTTGGGGAATACTTCGATTTTGGGCCTTGTCATGAGCTGATGGAGGTGGGTTGGGGTGGGGGAGAACTATTACAGTGTGTTTTGATGTGTTGGGGTTCTTTTGGGGGCTTGTAGTTGGTTCAGGATTGGGGTTACTAACGCTAGGAAGAGTTTGGGCTGACAAGGTTGTGATCCTATTAGGTTCTTCCAAGTGGGCCGGAGTTGTTGGGCTTGTTGTGGTCTTGGTGGATTTTTTAATCCAGGATCTGTCTCTCCCAAGGGCTTCGGGTTTCCTTTTATTTGGTATGGCAGTCGGGGTTTGGGCCTTGGCTGGTGGGTTTGTGTTTTTAGACAACGGTTGTGAGGATGTTTGCTGCTGTTGGCCGGCCCTAAAAATGCAGGTTTTGGTGTTCCAGTCGAAGGAAGTCTTGAGCGGCGGCCGGTCGGCTGGGAATGGCTTTGATCTAGACGTTGATGCTTCAGTCATCTGCTCCGTATCATTGCCCGCAAGTGCAGAGAACGGATTAGACAATGCTCCCTGGAATATGTTTGTTGAGGTAGCCTTGTTCCTGTTCATCCATGGATTTGACTGATTCCGTCTGCTTCTTCTAGGCGCGTGGTTCCATTCGCCCAAGGTGGATGACCGTTGTTGTTCCATGGGGGTTGGTGACGTTCCTACTGGCACTGGTTTGTCCGTTGGAATTTTTTCCTTTTCTTCAATGTTACCGTTATTGGCTCCTGCAGATGGACCCACATCTGAACTATTTGTTGGGATATTATTCGTCGGCGGTGAGCTTGCCGGAATTTCCTGACAGTCCTTTTTTAGATGGCCATACCTTCCGCACGAGTAGCAAATTAGTGGAAGATCTTCATATTCCACATTGTATTCCTTCCCCTTAATCCAGCTTTACCCCAGAACATCTCATGCTGGGCTTCTCGGACCAGCTTCGTAAGGCCTAAAGTCATTAAGGAAATGGACCTCTTGAGATGGGCTTTATTGAAGCTTGGAGTTTAAGGCCCATGTTAAAAGGATGATTTTTTATCATTACAAGAAGAACAGTTTTACAGAATCCATCTCTAGTCTACCCACTCCAGTAAACAAAAAAAAAAAACCTTTGTGTAGAGAGAGATGGAGGAAAGAAAAAAGAACCAACAAAAGAATCTCTTTCCTTTTTCTTCCTTGAACAAGCTAAGAGGAATCAATTGTCATATTTCTGCAATTGATGAGATTCTAGCTCCTTAGCAAAAATACTAACCATACTAAGACTCTGTCACTGTATTTCCTCATCAAAGAAAGATTTATGGCATACTCAAAGCAAGAAAACCATTTCCCCCCTTCACAAGGATGTAGCACCATGCTATCCACCGGTTTTAACAAAATGAGGCTTTAGAAGCTTTGATACCGTGAAGCCTGTGAACGACCGAACTTTAAAGAGCTTGTTTAGCTTGTCATCACATATGATTTTCCTCCTGTCTTTCGGGTCCTGAAAATTGAGAAATATAGCATCATGAGCTTATTCATCATTCATCCCTGTTGCACTTTTTAATTTATTAACTAGGTGTAGAAGCATTCTCTTTCATACCAATTCAAGAACAGAAACCAACCTGCAAATCATTATCCTTTATATACGTCCACATTCTCTTCACAACATCAGATCGAGGTAACGCACTTTCACCAGTACCGAGGAATTCAACCAGGGCACTCGACAAGGGAAGAGGTGCAAGGAATCCAGAAGGTTTCCCTTTTTGTTGTTTCCCTTTCCCCTTTGGTTCTTCTTCCACATCTAAAAGTTCCGCAAAGAATGAGACAAAGAAAATGTAAAGAGAAAGGAAACAGCCTTTAGGTTTTATTAATACAAGGTAAATTTGGTCACTATGTAATTTACTCTATGAGTTCTTCCCATTAAGTGCATTGCATATAACTTGTAAGAAAACAACCACATATAAGATTAACATCAAAAGATGATCAGTTTCTTTCTCTCGAGAAATTAGTTGAAAACGCAAACAAAGAAGTGACCAAATACTGGGATTTAAGAGCATTTTTCTCATTGATAAGGAATAGTACACCAAAAATGAATTGCTGTGAATTCTTTAATTTGCAGAACTGATCAGATTTCAAATTTCTTAACCAGCTTTATCTTTAATTATCACTAAGCCTAACATGTCAACATACATCCAATGCAACCAGAAATAGAGATATCATTATGCCAAAGATATCACTTTAAATAGTGTTCTGTGATCGCACCTTCTTGTCTGCTTCTTTTAAGCTTCTTTTTTTCTGGTGGAGATTCCACAACAGGAGTTTCTACATCATGGAGAAAACTAGTTTAGTTTTACACCATAGAAGTTAATATCCAATTTAACTGAAACTGGATTAGCAAGGGTTACTATACGAATATACTAGAATGAATGACTTGTTTGATCAAACATATCCTCTCGACAATCTCAATCCTTCAACCAGTTGCTGAACTTAACATTTAGTTCCAGAATTTAACAAAAGCTCCACAGAAATGCGTACCATCTTCGTACTCAATGGGCCATATGTGCTTGGATAATGCTTTATTCATCTGAAACATGTTGATGGTATTAACTTTAAAAATTCCCCGCAGAGCTTCATCACATATAATTTTTCGCTTGTCCTTGGGATTCTGCAAATCCTTCGCTCGAATGTATTCCCATAACTTTTTCACCACCTACAAAATCACAGGATGTAATGTGCATAGAATAACTTGTGGGGAGAAGATATCTCTTTTAAAATTATAGCACACCTCGGTTCTAGCCATTTCAGGCACTCCAACTACTTCTTGAAGTTGAGGAGAAATCGCACATGGTTTGGTAAAACCACTTCCCCTTTTCTTTGCTTTACTGTCCAACAAAAGAGTACACAAGAATGTTGAGAACATAATCTAAGTGCTTGAAAGGACAAAAGTAAACAATGATGTCAATTGCACCCAAAAGTTTCTGTAACCACAAGCATATTGTCAGCAAGCATCACATATTCTGTCTTCGGGAATTACTCGAACAAAAGCAATATGTCATCTCAAGAGGTGTTAATGAAGCTTAATGTTATAACCCTGTTTTTAATTTACTGCTTTAACATGTCTTGTCCCTGCAACAATACTGTAGTATGGCAATATAGAGAATGCTTATTATAAAAGATCAAAAGAGCAAATTGGAAATAAACTAGCATTGGAACTGTGTTTACTACGCTTTAGAAGATAGTTCGTGCACACTAGAGAGGATTACAGTGTTTTGATAGCAGGAAATGCATTATATGAGAACACTTGACCTCACTAATGCAGTAAAATCTATCACACAAACCAACATAGGACACCGCACAGAACTCAACTCTGAAGCAATAGTAAAATTAGCTGACAACACTGATGAAATTTAAACACTTGTCCCCAGGTGGCCATTTCAGAATAAAAACAAGTCAGAAAGAATCTTTTAGTTCATTAATATCATATGCCAACTAAATCCATTTACTTGAATATGATCTTGCGGGAACCAAAAGGACAGAAACCAAAAGTTACAGTTGGCAACTGACCGGACCATCCTCTACAAAGAAACTGCCGCAGAACTTTGTGCCTAATACTTCAAATTCCTCCATTTATCTAATACTTTTGCTCCCCTAAATTTCATCTTTCTCTTTCTTGCAGTAGTTTTCAATTAAGAACAATCGCAATTAATCAATAATCTAATAGTTACCAGTTCTAGACAACCAACCAGCTTAGTCTTTGGGGCAAATCCAGAAAAAGAAAGATTCAATCTTTCTTGAACTCTAGAAGATGGGAAATACAGAAACGCCGCAGTTATCAATGCTGATCAAATTCGAAAAACAAACACATTCGCAAAACCCTTTATCCATGTCATCAAAACAAAAAAAAAACACCCAAGAATTAAAAATGGCATTAAATATCTAATCACCTTGCCCTTCCCTTCACTGCTTCATCATCACTTCCCTCGCCTTCTTCATCATCACCGTCTTCTTCTTCCGCGTCCATTTCTTGATTATTTTCATCCTCTTCTCGGTCGCCGCCGCCGCCGTCATTTTGAGACTCTGGGTCTTCACTTTCCAGGAAAATATCGATTTGTTCTCTGATGAATGCCTTACGGTCCTGCAAATCAATCTTGAACTCCTCCTCAAGCTGGCGGCGGATTGAACCGGCTGTGGCGGTGTCGAGGTCGGAACTTCCAAGTATTTCTCGGAGCCGTTTCAAAAGCTCCGAGTCCGAAACCATTTTTCTCCAATTTTACCAAATAAAAACAAAATCTTATCTTGGAAATGAATTTCTAATAACGAGATTGAATGTGTAGGAAAAACGAGGAAACTCCCACACAGCAGTAACGGAAACTATTGAAAAGGACAGTGAAAAGTACACGCTATACTATGCGTAAGGGCTAAACAACTCCACAAAGACTTTGAAAAAGAATTTTTGAGACCCATTTTCCAGTTTTATTAGTACTAATTTACTACAAAATCTGCAACTGAAATAACTATAAAAATAACGATAAATCATATACAGTATTTTTCTTTTTTTCTTTTTGGTTTTTATTTTGGCGGGTTGTAAGGTTGAAGGGGGGTGTCAGTCATTATTTTTGGAATAGAAAAAACTTTACGCTTTGGGGCCACATTTTGGTTTCTTCTATTTGTTTTAGATTACTTCTGCTGTTCTGCATACCTCACAAATTCGTTTTTTGATATTTTATTGCAATTTCCAAGCTGAGATGCTGAGGAATTTTGGAATGTTGGGATTTCTAATATACAATCTGACCTTCCTATTTGTTTGGGTTTTACTCTTTGCTTTTACAGAACTAGATAAAAGGAGGAATATGCCCTATAGAAGCCATCCTTTTCGTGTGATATGGAATTTCAGTGGCATCAAATTTAGAATCTTCAATCACAGAGTTTCAGTGAATCAACATCATTCAGTAAATCAGAAAGGCCTAAAAAATTGAAATCTTCAATCCTGAATGATGCACATTGAAGTTGAGCCTTCACCATTCTCTTATCTCTCTCTCTCTCTCTCCCCAATCAGTTTAAACGTGGCAACAGAAATGTAATGACCCAATCCAAAGCCACATTCTGCATTATGAACGAGAAATAGTGTACTAAAAGTTCTCACTGTCACTGCAATCAGAAGCATTTTTATCATAATGAAAGCCACCCTCAAAGCTACCACTTTGGTTTTCTGACAAATCATTAGAGGTGGAGGATACCGCACCTGCTCGCAGAGGATCACACAAATCATCAAGAATAAATGGTTCAACAATATTCCAAAACCGTGATGCATTGCAACCTTCAAAACCGATCCAAAACACACTTCCCTTCTTTTTCACCCGGCTATCCAACGACTTTATTATTAATTCTTTCAGAATACTCAAAATGCCTTCTTGACTCCCTTTTACCTTCAACAAAATGTCCCCTCTAGATGTCCTATGTCCTCCGTACATGTACCAATACGCAAGAACTCGAGGGGACAGCCACCGGTGAATAAGTTTTGGGATTGCAGGTCGACCATCAGAACGGAACTGCTCTGCATAAAAATTAAAACAAGAGCTAAAGATGGTACTAAACTGTGGTGGAACATTGTTGCTTCCATCAACTATATCTCGGCACTCCAACCACTCATGGAATGCATCATGTATATGTTTACGTAAGACAGTGTGAATATCTGATGTTTCACTGAAATCAAACTGAATTGCATGTCTCACTTTCTTCTCTTCCGATGACACAATTTTTAAACCACCCAAGAGCATTCCCACCAAAATTTCTCTCTGGTCCTCGCTGAGCTTCAGTCGAGGGGGTGCTTTGGAAACTTTCCTGCTCCTGCTGAGAACATTATTGAGCATTTCTTTCAGATGAGACTCTATCTCATATCTCTTCTGGCACATCAGAGCGTGGACCTTTCCTGTCTTCACATGATCTTCAGCAGCTAGATAGCCAGCCAAAATGGAGTTACATGACCTAGCGTTAACACCTATTGTAGCATTACCATGCATTTGGCTGAAGATCTCTTCTGCTCTCTCGAGATTACCAATTTGTACAAGTGACTCTAAGTAAATGTTATAAATGGTTCTATTGGGCCGGCATTTCTCAAGACACTCCATGAAAGCTGCTTCTAACTCATCATGCAAGCCTAAGTTAGAATACATAGCCATCAAACTCATGAAAGAAGGTGAGAGGGGTTTCAATCCACTATGTATGAGTTCTGCCATCAGAGACTCTGCAAGTTCCTTATTTTGTGCTTTACATGTCACCTCTATGATTTTCTGATATGCCACGACACTGGTAGAACCCAAAAGCTCCTGCATATTCCTGAAAAGAGTTAAGGATTTCAAAGGCTCTCCAACCTTCCCATAAACCTCCATAAAGTACACAAAAGCTTGCGGAGGAGGTTTCCCATCCAAGGAAAGAAGCTTTGTCCAAGCCTTCTGTGCTCCATCCAGATCACCTTCCTTAGAGCATGCTCGCAAGACTGACACAAGTACTTCTCTGCCCTCCTCATACCCCTTCGACTGCATGTCTGCGCGTAAAGACTCAATCCTTTGCTTGTCTATTACATCCTGATAGCTGTGAAGCCATATGAGGCTGCCATAAATATCTTTGTGGATTTCGAGTCCACAAGTGGTCAAATTGTGGAATATAAACTCTGCCTGTTTGAGATAGTTTTTGCAAGACACTCCTGGTTTGCTGACAAGGGCTCTCAACAAAGCATTATGCAAACTGAGTCGAGGCCTATAACCTCCCAACTGAATCATACGGTTATAGATGTTACAGGCTTCCTCAATGCAACCTTGGCTAGAAGAACTAAGATAGGAACCAACCAAAATATGAAATGTGGATTCATTAGGGACTCGTCCCTGGTTAAGTATATCATCAAAAATCTCCCTGCACTTCAAGTACTTTTGCTGCTTACCCATGTAGTCTGCCAACTTGGTTGCAAGGCCAAAATCGAACCGGAACCAGTGTTGCCCCATCATCCATTTATAAACCTAGAAAGGAACAAGGTTCAATTATCAACCAAGAGGTAAGGCTGATACTTCAGTTTCAAACTTATATATCACATATAATCAATAACTGATAATTTGACCTCTACAAACTATTTAAGCCAGAACATTATCTGATTTTAACATTGAACTTGGAATGTGTGCAAAAAGTAACGGATTTGGATACACTTTTGCTGATAAAGTAAAATTACCCTGAAAGCGGTCTCGTTTTCGCGAATACGCATACAATGAATCACGACATAATTAGCATCGTCTTGCCTCATCCATTTCCTCTGGGCATTGAGCACCCGAATTACGGTGGCGGGCTTATGCGCCGGCAGCTCCTTACAGAGCCAAGCCAGTTTAGACCTCCGCCACTGTTCCGGAAGCTCATCCAGTTCTTTGACCTCGACAGCTGGCGAGTCGAACCGCCTGAATTCAGCCGATTCAAATGAGCCATCAAAATCGAATCTTTCCGCCTCCTCGATAGCACCAAACCCGGAGTCATCCTCATCATCATCTTCCCGAGATTCCTCCGGCGAGCTCTCCAATTGCTCGGCCAATGTACTCGTACCACTAGCGGAAATCGAAAAGGCTACGGTGGCCGAAGAGGAATGCAGAGAATGAAACGGTGAGTGTCGAAGTGGGCTAAAAAAATGACGGACGGAAGCGGAGATTGTGAAGGAAGAAACGGCGGAGGCGGCGGAGGGAGGAGACAGTAAAGGAGGGCGGGAAGCGGTTGGATTGGGAAGGTGAAGCATGGGAATTCTGAAAGGAATATGAGCACGAGCAAGAAGAGCTAGGGCTACTCAGAAGCATTGCTAATTTTGGCGGGGAAACCCAAAACAGTTGCCGGCGAGTGCCCAAAGCTGTGCCGTTTCATATTTGATATAACCATCTTTTGTTTTTTGTTTTTTGTTTTTTTTTTTTTGGGTACAAGATAAGTATATAACCAACCAAACCAATATCATGGGTTCCATATAACAGACTTTTCACTTTTATTCTCCACTCTGTCCCAGTCAAATAGATTACTATTTGCGAATGGAGCGCCTAAATTTTTTAATATTGGACTAAATCATTGAACTATTTTTCTTGAAAATAGGAGTGTAAAATATTATTTCTTCCCTCTCAAAATTATCGTCCGCTTTAGATTTTTCAAATCGAACAATAATTTTAGGACGGAAGGAGCATTACAAAACTATAAAAAAAGGTTTGGATTGTCGAATCTGATCCATTGATAAAAAGATGTGGACAAATCTTGTAAGCTTGTTCATTTTGTCCAGTGTTTATTGTCTAGCAAAGTAATCTAAATTTCTCATTATTCTCTGTTGAATCGTTGTATACAATGATGTATAAATAACTCAGAGCACTATGTCAGCCTAACCGCTCTCCCTACCACCGCTTACCCCATCCTCAAAATTGGCTAACTATGTTACAGTGATAAATGGTGTACAAGTACAACACTATTTACAGAGCAAAAGGATAGCATCAACCAGTGCTTCCGGACAGTTCCCCGGAGAATGCGCTTGCACTTCCATATGATGCCGATCCAGTCCCAGTCTGTGAATTGGTACCAGTGCCACCCCGGGCCTTTCGCATTTGTCGTATTTTGAAGATATCCCTCGGAAGAGCTTGACTCTGAACAATTGCAGCTTCATCTTCTTGTCCTGCAGCAGCAGTTACAGTATCTTTAGGCTGATTTCAGCAGGCATGCACCTTAAAACTACAATAAACTGCACTGTGGTAATAACTTAAAATAAAACATACTATCTGCTTCCTTCCTCTTTCCAGCATTCCTGTCTCTTGTTGGCTTGAATTTCCCAGGACCACCAGTGTTACTGGTGTTTGGGACAGGACCAGCTTGTATCTGTGAAGGATTTACTGATCTTCCTGGTATTGGCGGCACATTACTTTCTAGACATACTGATAGAACAAAATCAACATCCAGTGGAGGACCTGCAATTTTAAAACACCCAATGGGAACTGTTCAGGAAAGTTCTGCTCACACTGTTGTCACAGATGATGAGGTTGACATGACACTCAGTCGCTCACCAAGTTTCTAAGCAAAACCTCCTCTCACCCATTTATAAACACGTACATAAATTAAGCTATCTAATTAGATCATGCATATATGACCAACTTTGAAACAGAACCTTGACTCGTGAAGATCACAAATTCAAACTTCAGCTTGCACAAAATGTCGTATTGTGCGGAACTTACCCAGAAAGGTACATATAAAGAAAAACCTGGAATAGAGCAGAATGTAAACAAGGGAATCTATCATCATTTTCATTGATCACAAAACAAGAAATTAAAAGTTTTACACTTTATTTTCAGTCCCAAAATTCAACTTCTTGCTAAATTTCAGGGCTCAAATACACAACAGAAAATGAAGAAGAGTAACTTTATATGCCACGTGGGAAAAAGGTAGGAGGCATAACTAAAAGCACAAACAGGGAATGCCAAATAAAACAGCACGTAGAAAATGAACCAGAAGTGCACAGATGCCAAGTCACAATATATCTCACATGATTGAATCAACGTTTTATTCGGAGTGTATGAATTACAGGTCTCAAAGAGACAGCTCAATCGAAAAGGTGAGCAACACCAATCTCATTAACATTACAAACAAGGCTGGTATGAAACAGAGTGAATGACCACTAACCTTCAACAGCAGGCAGATTTGCTATGAATGATGCCAATGCAGGAGGCAAAGTTTTCATAATATCGACTACATTTGGTGTTCCTGAGCCAGTTGTAACGGCAGAAGGCAAAATAACCGGAACTGCAGGTTGCCCAGGGGTATTGAGACCTAAAAAGCAGTAAACAGTTAAACTTGAAAGTGCTGCACTGAAAACTTGAAAGCAAACATTCCAAATTCAAATTTTAACGGCAGAAACTTTCAAATCCCGCTCTTTTGGCATCCTAATCTGAATCTGAAAGCTTAAATAGGAAATGGTGGACAAAGGATGACAACTTAAACCAACTTAGTGCATTAATTGATGAAAGAAAGTTGGAAGTAGTCTCAAGATCTCAATGGTATCAGGTCATCAAGAACAAAAGCATCGACAATCTCCTCAGTCTTTGGAAATTGATAACAAGGACAGAAAATAGAGCATCCAACCCATCTATCAGGATACTGGAATGAAACATGGTGGAGAAACCAGTAAAATATAACATACCAATCTTTTCTCTAGGAGCATAGAGGTTCATCCTTGATATATCTGGGCGAACAACACTTTTTACGGAACTTGCACCAGCAGGAACTTCTGTGGAATTCTTACCTGCATAAAAAAATGTGGTTAGGAAAGAGTATGGTAGTAAAATCCAGATAGTACTCCAGAAAATAAACATATTTCATAATTACCCGCAGAAGCTACTGCATCAGACGGAGCTACTTTCTCTGACTTCTTAGTGATATTCTTGCGAAGATACTACATACAGAAAAGAATAGTTTTAAGTTACACGATACATATACACATTGTGGAGCTTCAACAAACCATAAGACCGATATAGAAGAATACTAGACATTTACCTCTTGCTGTTGCAAATGATCCAGATCCTTGGACGAGCAAGGCCATAGATCCCGGAAACTATAACGTGAGACAATGTCTTGCAGTGAATTCTCTAAAGCAGATTCTCCATCATCGTCAGCTCTAGTGAGAGCTTCTTTCCTTCGTTGTTCGACCTGATACAGACCCCTCAAGTTTATGCTCAAGGCATAAATTATATCTTATAGACAGTATTGCATATTATCAAGACACAAGGAATTAGTACTACCTTCAACATGCTAGAAAGATCTCCATAAGTTTGTTCAAATTCAATGAATCTGTTCCAAATCTGTAGAAACAAAGAAAAGTTTTAGCACAACCTTTTGAGCCAAGCCTGCGGATGTCTGCAGTCATAACATGTTAGTAGCAGCTACCTCTACTGATTCCTCGGGAGGGAGTAAATTTAAGGCTCGTTCAAATAACGCCCGGATATTTCTATCATCATTCACACGAGCTAGAAAATCTGCATATCTGCAACGTAGAATCAGCACAAGATACATGGCTAAAATAATAGGATTTCTTCTGCATGCAATTATACCCCAACAAAAGCTTTCCCACATCAAAAACTCACTGAAGAAAGCTAACACAAATGATATCTGTTCTGATTAACAAGTCATAATAATACACTACAAGTCTCCAATTTAAGCCGAAATTCCATGACCTTGTGTCAATGTCACAATCTCGACAACCATACTTTTCAACACAAGCTAGATAGGAGACTCACTCAAGGATATACGACGGCTCATGCATGAATCTCTTCATTCCCGCTTCAAAAACAGTGTGTGCAAGCTGTTAAAACGTGGAGCAATTATGAGATAAGGACATCAACTTCTTTTTAGTCCATGTGATAGACTAGATATATGGCTTCACAATTGGATAAACAGAACAGAATAAATCATAACCAGTACTGTTTTAAGTTGTATCCACCTGACAGGTTTTTTTTTCCCCCTTCTTTTTTTTTTTCCTAGGAGGCGCTGGCATTACTTTTGATCAGTGGAAAAGAGAAGTTCAATGCTCTGTCTAAGAGGTTGCTTTTTTGTTTGTTAAAAAATTCTTCCTCCTTTAAAAGGATTCATGAATGCATGAAGAAACATAAACATTATGAAAGAATTATGGAACAGTTACCAAGAAGAATGCTAAATCAACAAAAAGTCAGCTAAAATAAACGCCAACCTCTATTAAGTGAGTAGTAGATACTACAAAGCAACAAATACAGTTAGATATCAAGGAAAAAGAAAAACAGGCTATTTAAGGACATCATGCATAATTACGAGTAAGAAGGCAGTCTATAACTTATAAAAATGCAGATCATGAACTGCCAATCCAATATATGATAAATATGGCTTGATCAATATTCTTCTTAAGCACAAAGAACGAATCACAATAGAACTAGACAACACATTCCCACAAAGTTCACTGCAGGAAGTGGCAATCAAATATGCAGTCCTCTGGCTTTTTGGTTCCCCGTTTTTCCAGGTTTAAGTGACAAGGACCCATGCTTTATGAGGAACTGATAGCTAAAAAGTAACAAAGATAACACAATAAGAACAATTTACCAATTCTACAATTCATACAGAGTCATCTAAATCTCACATAGACCCCTTCACTGAGGTTGAACAAATTGTCTTATTTAAATCAGCATAAGATTTGAACTCAATACAAACGTGACAGATCACCTTTGCGTCTTTATCAAGGCAAAATGCCATCATTGCATAAGCAACATAAACATGATAAGTGCAACTTGGAGATTTCCGGGCATCTACAAAGTATTTACGAGCTGCCTCTGCTCCTTCAGTTCTTCTTAGAAAGCGGAGGAACTGCAAGATAAATTTCAAAATCACTACCTATGAGAAAGTGAAATTCTTGACAACTTATACTACCAACTGTTGCAAGCTGCAACAGTGCAGATTCAGAGCAAACTTCCAATACTTAACGAAAAGAAAATTGCTAATATCTAATTCAGAAGCAATCGTCTAGCTGCTTAATCCTGTATGTTCCATGGTTACTTGCAGATGAACTCTACTTACAAGTGACAATCCCAATCACTTTTCATCATATGTTACTAGCTCAAAAATAGTTTGAGGTCGCACCTGTATATGTGAAAGGGCTGGAACATTGCCATCATCACCCAGAAGGCTTTCATATACCTTCTTAGCTGGCTACATCACAAAAAAAGTATTGTTTTTTTTTAAAAAAAAAAAAAGAGGGAAAAGAAAAAAGAGACCCAAAACACCTATACAGTATATAAATAGCATCTGAAACACTAGACAAACCTCAATATGTCCACAAGATTCTTCCAATTCAGCATAAGCATATTTAAGCATTTCGGAATCTGTACATGGCAGAAATAATAAGGCATAAGAAGTAGAATGATAGAGGCTTTGGTCAATGAAGAACAATGGTATGACAGGAACAATACCAGGTAGAGCCTTCAAAGCTCGTTGGAAAACTTTGATTGCAGCATTGGTTGAGCCATTTTTTGCATGCCAAGTGGCATAGTCATACCATATGTCAGGATAATGGTATAAATACATGAGGCACTGGAAAACAAAAACAATAAATTAACTTCTTTTAACAACGCATATAAAAAAAAAAGTGAGGACCAAAATGCTGCAAATCATTGATATGGAGAAGAATGTTTCAAGTGGGACAGCTAACAAGAAATTTAACTCGAATATGATTTGCAAGCAAGACTATATTTAACACACCAGCTGAGGAAAAGGCTTCTTGATGGAAGATACCTTACAGGATAAATATGTTTAGCTACGAGAAAATGTAACAATTAACCCTTCAATTATTCTATCATTGTTCAATTACCCACCAGAAAGTAAGGCACTGATATCAATTCAACTATGAACAATTTGAAAACTTAAACTCTGCCCAATAGTTATCTTCCACAAGATTTTCCCAACATCAGGAATGCTCAGATAGCAGTACAACTGCAGTAATATTTTAGTGAACTGAAAAGTTCAAGTCAAGAAAGGGATTGCAACAACTCATTAAGTTAATGGTGAGAATAATAAAAAACTTTGGAACATCAGTCGAGAATTATTATTTCCTTTATCACCTGCATGAGTATTTCTAACCTACAGAACTGAGTTTTTGTTACAAATAACAAAGGTATCAAGTTAAGTGGAGATGGACTGTACATAAGAGGACCTGAAGCAAATACCTCCATGTATAAAATCACTGATGAAATCAAGCACCACACAATTTTAAGTTACCAGTGAGTAAACATGACATATCCCTATAAAAATGCACCGCCAGAGATTTGGTGACTTTCTAATTACCTGTTCATATGTAAATGCCATATGTTTAACGGCAAGATCGTTGTCTATCCTCTGCGGATTTCCTCTGCAATACAGCAAAGATATTAGACCTTGACAATAAAGAAGAACTTCGAAAGAGAAAAATGAGCACCTGGCTTCATGCATACCACATCAACTATAGGCCAAACTTTGCTTACCTTTCAAAGTTCAACAACTTCTTCCATGCCATCCATTGTGCCTCTTCCTGCAAAGTAAGGCAATGATTTATTTTTCTGTAGACTAATAACTTCAGAATCATGCCAACAACAAAAACCTTGGCCAATGTAGTTTTTGGCAATATTGTCACTGACTTAACGTGAGATTATAGATTGTTCCAAGCCATTCTCCATATCTGGTTATTAAACTTCATATTTATCCACGGATGAGTTTCAAGATATTCGTATCTACAGAATTCAGAAATTTCTGTTTGTCCAGAAAGCTAATCTATAAGGAACATAAATTTTTTTAAACAGTTGTTAAGTTTATTCGCTAACGGCTTTCCACGATCAACAGCCACCTAAGTTGCAACATGCTGCTTCAGTGCATCATAATTTTCCAGAACAAGGCCAACAAATATCAATAGAGAGAAAAAAAAAGAAAAGGCAAGAAGTAAAGAAAATACCTTGGAAGTACCAGATGGTGGCACAGCCAGCATATTCCAATCAATTTCATCAGCATACTTCTTCCGCTCTTTGTAAACAGCCCTTGCACTGTTATATTTTGGCTGATATTCAGACACCAATCCTTTCGCCTACAGAGTACATCACAAGAAACGATAACTTGTAAGCTATCACGAAATGGCAGAGGAAAACTTTATCCTAACAAGAGTGCCAACCAATAATACATAGGTCTTCCTATTTGACCAAAATAGTGGCCAACCTTCAGCATATTATACAAAGACTTCCTCAGATGTCTAACAGAATACAGAAGGGAAAAAAAAAAGAAAAAGGAGTAAACAGCCCCATTTCATCAACATAAATCAGGATCTAAAAATTACCAAGGCACGGCTAACTGAGTTTTCAAAATTTTCGTAGTCCCTCCAAATTTGCTCAATATGACTGGTGGGTGTAACAATAGCTTTTTGGTAAGCTTTCCTAACAGCAGTCATCCTTTGTGTTTCTTCAATTGCAGTATGAGCCTGCAGTATCATACCATAAGAGGATCAAATAAAGGCAAAGATGACAAAATGTTTGGCAATTGACAAAAGCTAAACTAATCAGGAGGCAATCTCTCACCGGCCAGGACTTCAAAAATGTTATATACTCCATCCACAAAGGACCTGCTGCGATATCAGATCCTGCATCCAAGGCTCTTATTAAGTTCTTATGAGCACCTTTACGATATAGTACGGTAAAATACATCTACAATATAATTTGATCAAAACATACAGATACAATACAATCAAGTCAACGAATCCAGAAACATGATTGCAGATTCTCCAACAAGAAAAATACTCCATCTATTTCTCTTGAATTAGTTAGGAATGACATGGGTCCATTGACCCACTGAGGTGTTAGTTAAATACCACACACAACTCAAAGGTAACATGATGCTATCAGATCATGGCAAGAAGGACATCGATTATGGTTTAAGAAGCAAGAATTATATCTGACATAAATTATTTACATCCTCGAAAATATACATCTACTGACTTCTAATCACTGACATCAGTATCCTTACATGTACACATCCTTATCATTAAAAATTTCTTTCTTTTGCAACAAGTTCCAGAACATTCATTTTTCAATCTTCCAAACACCTCTCAGGCATCAACTCTTTGAATCGACCAGATTATATTTTTAGTTCAAAGATTAAAACTTAGTTTATGAAATCTTTGATTCAAACAGAAGAAACAGCTCTATGTTCGATATCTCTTCATCGGCAGAATCATATTGTCTCAAAGTTTTTGCTGTCCAAAGATAGGAACACTTGTATAGGGTTTTATTAAGATAACTAGATTCGTAAGAAATAATAAACTGAACATTTTGTAAGCAGCGGAGAAATGAAGTTGAATCACAAACAATACAGGTTTCAAAAGGAAATAGTTCAAAAGAGACATACCGACATAGTTAAGCATGAAATCAAAAGCTTTCCTGATCTCTTCGTGGCCTTCCATTCCTTTTTTATCGTTAACCTTCCGAATGAAACGAATATAACATTGCCTACAAATAACAACACATCAGTACAGGAAAAAAATAAAAGGAAAAAAAATGGACTGAAATCGATAACAGAAGTCATGATATTTTTCAGAATTCCACTTTTAGATAACAGAATTCGTTTGTGCAACAAAATGGTAAAAAGATCACCACTTTCGGTTCGCGGGGGGTTTCGAAGAGCGGACAAATAATATTTATTTCCAAACTTCATTATTTTATAGGATAAGTAAAAAAGGACAGCATGACATACCATAGAGGGACATATAGACAGTTCAACAAGCATCGGCTGAAAATTTGTCTTATCTGATCATCGTTATTTACAGCCATGTGTGCCTCGACAAACTGCTTCCAAAATTTTGCCTGGACCCTCAGAAAAGGAAGTCACAACAGAATTATATAGGCGAAGGAGTTAATTAACTTGTATCAGATGGATCTAAAAGCTATGTACATATCAGGACAAATAAAAGACCAATTTTCAATATGCAAGTCTATCTTAGTCCCCTATAGCATGTACACCTCCAATGATTAATGCAAGATGAAAAAACAAAATTCTGCAGTGTTTGCATCCAAATAATAAAACTACACTGATTCTCCAGTACTAAACAAACAACATCGCCAACATCTACTGATCACTTTCACAAAATCCAATACGCAAACATCTAGTAAACTGGATTTCTCAACAAGAACAATTACATGAACATTTCAAACATCAAGGAAACACAGTCAAAATTAGGCTTACCGCCGTAGGATAAGTGACCAGAAGTTGCTCATATATGGGTGCAGCAGCTGAGATCGGAAGACGCTGCAAAAGCAACAATTTTTCTTCTTAATTGAATGGGATAAAAAACCAACAAAAACACGCACGCACACACACAGCAGCAACAACAACAACAACAACAACAACAACAACAACAACAACAATTTGAAACGAAAGAAGAAGCAAGCCTGCGTACCAAGGCCTCGTTAGCAACAAGTTCAGCTGCCTCAACATTGTACTTATTATCCGTCATGGCAATCAGTACCAGCTCTTTTATGAAGCTTTCCACCAAGAAAGAAAATCCGAATCTCGAACACTCAATTAAACCAAGCAGGATCCTCTTTGATTCGAATTACAACAATGTCGAATGTTCAAACATTCATACATAATCCATACGAATTGCCGGTAAATTTTCGAAGGCTCCCACTGAAACCCTATAAAGCGGAAGGTGGGAAAAAAAGGGAAAATTAAGAAGAGAAGAGCAAATTCGAAACGAGCAAGAACACTGTGGGACTAGTTAGTCATGGCGCCCTTTTCCCCTATGTTCTCGTCACTCTCCGCAAGAAATACTGTGAATTCCTTTTTGTTTTTTTTTAAAAAAAAAAAGAAAAAAATTCCATTGTTTTCCTTTCTTTTTCTTTTTTAGTAAAGGAAAAAAAATACAGTTAGTTTTAGGAAAAATTAGATTTTTGTGTGAAATTCTCAACCCCTATTGGGTTATCCGTGAATATTTTTAGTAAGGTATCATCAATTTAGTCGTGTAACAACCTTCTGTAATAATTCTTATATATATAAAAAGGGGGCAAAATTCGCCAATTATTTAAACTTTTCTTTGTTAAAATTGAAATCGAAAGTAAATTTATTATGAGCCAATCGGATATTTGGTGATCTCTGAATCCCGATAAGTGCAAATCCAATTGAGAGTTACTATTGTGTTACAGATTTTTCTAGGGTTTCCAGCTCTTTGCGAAGTTGATGTTTTGTGTCTACAAAAATTCACGGTTCCTAGACAGGCTTTTGCACTTCTTCAGAGTTAATACATTATATAGGTTTGATGATCCTCTTTCTACAATTTTTTTTATTTTTAAGATTTTTACTTATCTGAATTTAAAAGATTATTAGCAAAACTTAATATTCTTGTAAACTGGTATCTAGCTGCGTTTACTTGGTGTTCATGGTTCTTGAATGATTGTTGCACCAGTTCCAATAAAGCAAAGAAGTTGTTTCCGTGATACAATGTCCAAAGGCCATCGGACGGAAAACGGTGATCTAATTCCGGTACTCCAAATTTATGTTTCCTTTCGTTTTTTTTTTTCTTTCCCTTTTCTTCTCTCAATTTAAATTTCTGGCTATGATTAATGGATGTCTCTGAGCTTATGCAGGTTACGATTCTACGAGTAAACCTCTCTCACTGCGAAGATTGCCCCCAAAAATTAAGGGATGCACTCCTTAAAAAAAATGGTATGTTGATTTACTAACAATAGTAACCATTTTATTCGTGATAATAGATTGAAAGATAGTTGCATCTAATTGTTTAGTGCTTAAGACTGTTGTTCTGGTGGATTGTGATAGGGGTTTATGGAGTGGATTTTGATTCAGAATACGAGTTGGTAACCATTAGAAGCACATTAGATCCCATAATGTTAATCAAAGCTATTGCCAAGATGAACAAACATGCAGAGCTTGTCTACTATGATAAGCTACCCATGCTTGAAGAAGAAGATGAAGAAGGTCAACACAAGAATGCGAAAAGTTCTGACAAGAAGAATCCTCCGACTGGGGAGCCTAATAAGCAGAATTCTAGGCCAGATGGCAAGGAGAAAGGCGAACGCTGTCCGGGTTTTCGTGATACTCGGAAGAAGGAAGAAGATGATCTAGAGGACGACAATGATTGTCAGAGAAGAAATGGTCGAAAAGGCTGTGGTTCATCCGCTAATCGTCGTGATTCTTTCAAGAAGGAAGATGATCATCATGAGGCTGATGATCACCATCATCGTACCCGAAATGCTAGAGAGAATGCAAAAGGCCAGGGGAAATTCTCTGACCGCAGGAAGAATGTTCCTGATAATGCTGAGGAGAATGGTTCAGAAGAATATCGTCCATGTCGTAACAGTGATGCTCATCACAAACCTAGTGAAGGAAACAATCGTAGCCGAAATGCTAGAGAGAAGAATGCTAAGGGAAAAAATCATCATTGTCGTAACTATGATGAGCCTTGGGAAAATGTCAGAGAAAAAGACCAGAAACAGTTCCCTCACTGCAGGAATTTTGCTGATAATGCTAGGGAGAATGGTTCAGAAGAATATCCTCGATGTCGTAATTATGAACCTCTGCATAGACGTGGAGAAGACAAGAAGATACCGAAAATGTTCTCAGATGAAGATGCTGACATTTTCAAGAACAAGGAGTACACTACTGGACGAAGCACTCAGTTTCGGTCAAGAAGTGACAGGTATGATGCTAGAAACCCAGAGGACTGGTATGATAGTCCAGAGGCATTTCCTTACCAGCATCAACAATCCAGAATGCCTCCGTATTATTCCGAGCCTCCTCAAATGCCTCCGTATTATTCCAACTTCAGCCAGGATAATACAAATGGTTGTTCCATAATGTAAACCACACTAAGACTTTTTGTGCAGAAACTAGGAAGACATGGAATTATGATATACGCATAGAAATCTTCTTTCCTTAAAGATTCCTTGCCTAAAAATGTGAGTTGCTTTTGTACCTCGGTTTGTTCTATGTAATATATTCTTTTGGCCAAAAGTAAGGTTTTCTTTGCTATGCAATTGCTTACAGTATGAAAAGATGGCCAATAATAACCCTAGCAATCGTTTCCTTGGCAAACCAATTATAATGAAAAAACTGAATTACAAAGTAAAACTGTTACAGAATCTTCCCTGGTTCAGTAACAAACATATTGAGTGTATTCGGAAAGATTCAATGGAGAAAAAGTAGATTTGGATAGATTTTAATGATTAATACATCATCCAGAAGAACTGCAGCAGGAAAAACCACGGGAAAGAAGTTCCAAGCCACAAAATTTTCTACATCTGTTACATGTACTGCAACACGAAGTATGTGATTGAAGAAACTAGACGAAACTCCTCATCCTCCCACATTTTCCGTCCTTATTCTGCCTTGGCCTCTGTCTCACTCGCCTTACCTTCAACTTTCACATCTGCTTTCGCCTCCACCTTTGCATCTCCAGCGCAACAGCCTCCACCGTGGTGATGGTGATGATGGTGGTGGTGGTGATGGTGCTTCTTGCCCTTCAACTGCTTCCTCATATCATAAGCATCCTCCCCATCTGCATAATACTTGGCCTCCACATCATGAATTTTGTATCCTAGCGTCTGTGTGTAAAGATTAAACGCAGCCCTGTTGCTTTTCCGGACATGCAATGACACATACTCAGCTCCATAAACCTAAACCCAGAACACAGAACAAGCTTCAGTACTAGAAAAGAAATAAATTAAGGACGAGGAATCTACTAAAGGCCCATGCTTTACAAATTGCTCTCCGTGAACACCATGAGAAATCTAATTATGGTTAACAAATCTCTCATCAATAACTCACCATTATGTCATCAGAAACACAAAGCAAACACTTCATTATCCAAAACTATCCCCAATAGCCCACTGAAACATATAAAGCCATACTCATTTCGATTCTTGATATTAATCTCAAATAGTTAACGCTGGCCCTTAACCTAGTTGAAAGGATTCTAAAATTATAATCCAAACAAGAGCACAAGTAATATAGGCAGATCAATGAGCTTTCTAACAGTATTACTAGTCACCGATAAAGCAGATTCTATTAAGAGATAAAATAAAAGGGGGAAATGCCCCTTATTTGTAACAGTTTTATCTGAATTTAGAGATGAAATTTGACAGACAACATAGCAGCAGAGCTAAGACCAAAAGAAACATAAACTACTCCAAAACAAATAAATGAAACTCTACGATGACTAGACTACCATCAGAATTTGGAGGCCAAACTCCACCTAAATCCGAGCCAGGAGCAACCAGCTTAATTATGAACCCCGAAACCTAATACATAGATATATCAAGCACAAAACTTGGGAGATAGACATGGCCTGAATACTCTATTTTAGAGAAGAAATCTCCACATACGGGTTGATTACATAATGAAGCATCACCTCATGAAATCATTCATTGCCTTCAGGCTAGTCAGTGCAACGCCACAGAAAAGAAGTAAAGAAACCTAATCTCATCCCATGACTCGAATCATCAAACAGCATATACTATCCAGAAGTACAAAGAAACAACTAAGAAGGAAGAATTACAATAAAATAAGACTCAAGTTTCCCCTGTATAGAGTATAGACTGCATCATACACATGAAGCTACCCATCCTCATCGGCACACAAATTAAGTAAAGCTAAATCAAATTCGTCTGATCAAACCACTCAACGATATCATAAATTCATATTCCAAAATAACCACACACAAGGAACTAAATTACGAATACAAAAAGAAAAGGGAAAAAGAAAACAACCTGTTCCATGGCGTTTTGGGCAGCAGTCATGAGCTTAGTGGCCAAACCCAGCTTCCTGTGAGTCCTAAGAACAGCAAGGGAAGTAATATGGCCGTGGCACTCGGTGCTCTCCTCCTCCATCTTAGCCAACACATATCCCACGATTTTGCCATTGTAATCTTCGGCAACATAGAGCAACTGGGGCCAGGAAAGTATGTGGTAGAAATAGTACTTCATCTGGTAATTTTCTGGCAAACAGAAAAGATTGCAAGCTTGCATAGCCAAGAGGTCATCAATGGTGGCTCTGCGGATGCAAACCATGGTTAAACAATGGCGGATTTTAGAGGAATTTTACACCAAGGGTTTTAGGTTTCAGGAGCAAAAATGTTCGGAGCTTTAGGAACAATTCCTAAAAGATTAAAAGTCAGTTAACTTCGAAGCCGCTGACCCCGAAGTGTAACTGTAATACTTTTATACTGGGCTCCTTGTAGGATGGGCTTCTTTTTGAATTGGGCCGTCTTAATCTTCTGTAGGTAACTAATACTCCTTCCGTCCCATAATATTGTCCTGGTTAGATTTTCATTTCTAGTTCAAATTGTACTAAAAGTGAAATCTCAAACTGGACAATAATTTTAGAACAAAGAGAGTACATAATCCTTCCGGAACACTAATACTGCATGGTGTCATGATCAACCTAAAATTGAAAATCGGAACTGGACAATAAATTTGAGACAGTCATGTTCTTCACAAAATAAAAATAAAAACAATTTGATTATTCCGAAAGGGTGATAATGAAACAAGTTTCACCAAATTTATTTCAGTTTTGTATCTCTACCCATATGGCTTTCATCCGTTGGTTTTAGGTTTGCAATGAATGTCAAAAATGATATAAATGTGAAATGAGATTATATGAGAATTACAATCTCAAACAAATACCGACTTTTTACATGTTGAATTTTTTTCAGTTGACTTGCAATTCATGTCCTATCAAAGAGAAGGGGGTGACTTTGCAATTCATGTGAAAAATGATAGTACATACTCTTTTCAAAACTCAATCTCTTTATTAAGCACAACCAACAGAATGAAAGCAGCAGGCATACAATTCACATTTCCTTTATACACATTTGTTAATTTAAACAGTTCCAACTTGGAAGGGCAGATAAATGTTCAAATCAACTACATCACTTGCAGTTGTAGACGAACTTCTCACTTAACTAAATCCCTCATCCCTAGCATTGCCCTTAATTTGCAACCAACAGAAGCATTGGACGACCACTGAGCGCTGCCAAATAAGTCGCCTTCTTCCCCTTTTCACAGTTCAAGCGGCACCGGATTGACCTTCACATTGCATACACTATCTCCCCACTGCTGTCAATGTCAAGATCAGGATCACTCTCAAGATCTTCTTCCATGTCATCATCCACATCAAGGCTGCCCGTGAGGTACTGACTTAGATTGTTCATGCCAGCAGCTGGGATGGTGGCCTCAGTTATAATCTGCATGATTTCATCAATGCTCTGCATTGGTTGATCTGGTTCCTCGAAATTGTTGTTTCCCATGTTGTCGTCCATAAGATCTGCAGGGAGGTTCTTCAGAAACCACTCATGGTTTCTGATCTCTGGAATGGTAATCCTCTGGAGCAACACAAACAAGAAGGCACATCATCAAAAACATAGGAGGGGTAATGAATAAGAATGAGAAGAAGAATAGCAGTTCTAAAGTACACAAAATGTTCCTTGAGGTGTGCTGGTAAAGATCCAAAACTCAGATGAGTTTTGAACACTAGGAGAACAATGATTTGCATCTGATTGATAAATAAGTGAAGCAGACAAACCAAACTGCGGAATTGTGAGGAGGAAGAAAAATCTAACCTTTGAAGGTTCAGCCACAAAAATCCTTGAAATCAGATGTCGACATTCTGGCGATATATGAACATAATCCGGAATAGAGTATTGGACATTCAAAATTCGCTGCAAGAAATGTGACAATTAATTCACACAATTCAAATTTTAAACAGATAAGACATACATCAACAACAAAGTATATACCTGTATTGTTTTCCGGAAATTTTTGGGCTCCTCCGGGTCCTCAAATGGGTAAGCACCCACAAGCATGACATACAAAGTAACTCCACATGACCAAACATCAGCAATCTAAAACAGCACAATTCTCAACCCTCTTAGACATGAGAGGATGACGAGGGCATAATACAAGAATCATATGTCAATCGATGTATCTGAGTATTAATTAAGAGCATAAAGATAAAGTCTGTTCATCTCTTGAGAAGGCCGATAAGACAAGTTGTAGTCAAAGTAGTCTTTTGTTTCAAAAAGATAAAACACATTTTAACAAGAAGTAATGTTAGAAATATATCTTGCAAACATCATCAAAGTGCCAATCAGATCTCATGAGTACTGGGACACCTGGGAGACTGACTATTTCATCTGATCACCAAATAGGTGGCCAATGTTATCAGGCAAATGAAAGGATTTGAAGAATTTCTAAAACTCTTATATGCAGTAGATATGAAAAATTTGTTTAAAGTACCACTGACCAATGAAATTTAGGCCAACACAATCAGCAGAATTCAATAACTTTATATACGTTTTTTTTAAATTAAAAAAAAAAACTGTGTCAAACAGCATGCAGATTTGACAGTAAAGAGAAAAGGGGGGAAAACTGCTTACCATTCAGCCAGCTCAACTCATAACATGTTCAAAAAAGCTCAAGAATTAACAAAGGTGAGATTACCTTTCCATCATATTCTTTCTTCAATAGAACTTCGGGGGCAATATATGCAGGAGTACCAACAGTCGATTTAGGCTGTGAATGCAGCACTGCAGACTGAAAAAGAAAAAGCAACAAGGGTTACGTACATAGGCAGAAGAGACAAGAGTCAACTTCAAGCTTGGAGATTGGGGGACAGGGACCTAATTTACAAAAGAAAGAAAAAAGCATAGATAAATTCATGAACATGAAAGCATAAAGTTCAGTATTATTTGGGATGCTACATGGAAAAGAAATCACCTTAGAATACCCAAAGTCACAAATTTTAAGCCTGGGAGCTGGGCTTCCATCCAATAATGTATTCTCTAGTTTCAAATCACGATGACATACTTGCTTCAAATATAAAAGAAATCAATCCAGGTGAAGCATTTTTTATGAATAAAAAATAAGTGAAATTGAACAGATGCTTCTTTGAGTACCATGGCATGACAGTAACTGACTCCTGATATAAGCTGCTGGAAGAAAAATCGTGCCTGTGGCATAAAATTCAGAAATTGGTTAAAACGAGGGAGAGAGGCACAACTCACAAGTAATGATTGGTGCACTAGGTAAGAACCTCATCCTCACTAAATCGTCCAGCATTGCAGATCCGTTCAAAGAGCTCCCCTCCAGAAGCATATTCCATAACAATGGCCAAATGAGTTGGAGTCAATATGACCTGAGAACCACATTAACCAATGAATGGTGGTTTCAGGATAAATTTTAAACCTCCAGCCACCAGGATTCTTACAGACGGATGCAGAAACTACAGTATCAAAGTGCAATACCTCTTTGAACCTGACAATGTTGGGATGTCTCAGTGATCTGTGGTTGATAATTTCCCTTTGCACATTTTCATCAATCTGGTTTATGCATCACAGTGAATCAATTCACAGCAAATAAAATTTCATATATCCAAACTATAAATAAAGCCAAAAGAGCCTCAAAGTCAGACTAAATTTCTAAAGCTAACATGTCCCTGAGCAAAACATAAAAGCTAGACAAAATGAGGTTCAAAGCAAGTTTGAAAAGAAAACAGAAAAGGGACGTTTGTCCTAGAGGCCAGCTCAGTTATATCTCCACCCTCTGCAATAGTGCTGATGCATGCATAAAGAGAACCTAAAGGCTACAACTTCCTCCATGACAAGATTGGTTGTCAATAATCACAGATGCTGTCCATACATACCAAAGAATTAAAAAAAAAAAAAAAAAGATTCTAACAACCAGTAAGCCCACAATCCAGTCTTATCACCTAACACTTGCAAAATGGATATATTACGTCTTTTTTTTATATAATAATTTTATGCATCATGCTACAAATCACCTGATATCTACACACGCTTACTTACAAAAACAGGTCCCTTTAGACATATCTTTTACGACCTTTATCAGCTCTCATAACTTATTACATCTCAGTTCATGCCTTTATATGTCTTTCAAAATCAACAAATTATAAAATGTCATAAATTATTCCCGTAGACCACATTCTTATCAGGCTTACAACTATATAGCATATCGAACATCTTTGCTTCCAAATGCATTTTGTTAACCAGGCAAACTCTTCATGTGATTTTCTACGTGACTATTTAGTCTGCAATTGATTGAAGTCAAAATTACGAGAAAGAACTCTTTTTTTGTTTTTCTTGCGGCAAATACTTGAAAAGCAAATGCATTCAGGCAAACAATGGTGTATTCTAGCAGAGCAAAAAAATAAAAAATAAAAAAATTACCACCCTTATGACAAACGTTTTCATCGTTGAAATGATTTGCATTTATGACATTCAACTAAGAGCCACTTGTACATAATCACAGTCAACAAGTCAAAGCCAAAAATCATATCAGTCCAAGAACTACATCTCTTCCCTTTATTGATAGCATTGTCAAACGAATAAAGTTCCACTAAACATTCCAATTGCCCGCCAATAATATAGTTTTTACTGTTCATTTTGTACTTACTAGTTACAACCACCATACTTTTCCTCCTTTTTTCCATTAATTCAAAATTGGGGAGGGAAAATAAACGGGGAAAAGAAATAGCAAGCTTAATCTAAAGAATAACTAGGAACAGGAAAAACAAACCTTATCACCTCTCTCAATGTACTTGACGGCCACAAGCTCGTTAGTCTGCCGATCTTTCATTAGCCTGGCCACTCCAAAGTTCCCGGAACCGATATCCCGAACCAGCTCATATCGATCATTATCGTGCATGATGGGCATATCCATAGCCGGACCCACTGTCATTGCAGCTCGATCCATTTCCCAACAGAAAATGAGACCAAAAAGCACACAACTTAAAAAACTATTCTCCCCCGACCCGAAAACCCCAAAACCCTAGAAATTTATTGAGCCCGGAACAGCCAAAAGCATCAGCAATTACAACAATTACAACAATCACAAACAACAAACGACGAACTCAGTGTAAATTCAAAGCTCACCCAACAACAACAAAAGGAAAAAAAAAACCCCTAATTCAGAACAATTGTACAACACGAGTACACATCAAAAACCCAATAAATCAAAGTGGAAAGTTATTGATCACGCAATCGATTTTGAAAAAGATCGATTTTTTTTCCGTTGAGCGGAGACAGAGACTTTGCAGTGAAATCAATCAAGCCCCCGTGATGTTTCCACTTACCACCACGCCCAAATACTGCCAATTTCCAACTTTTCTGCTTTGGGATTTTTTATTTTTCAATACGTGGAGTTCATGATGATCGTAATCACCATCAACGAACTATCACGTCAAAAAACAGAGCAGTACTGTGTAGATAAATGGATACACAAAACACACAGCTAATTCACACGTATGATCATGATACGTACAAATTTATGTGGGTTTTCTATATTGAGAGAGAGAGGGAGAAAGAAGAGTGAGCCCGTGAAGAAAGGCCAACTTTTTGGCTGTTCAAAACTTTGAGGAGCTGATGAGCTGGTGCATTTTCTCTCCGGCCACAGAGGCTATGGTTCGGTCGGTTGGTTGGTGGCTTTGTTTCGAGGAAGGGGAAAATAGTTTTTCAAACTTTGAAATTACATTCCAGCCCCTCACTCCTCCAATTTGTTGTAATTTACTAAAACCTCCCCTGAAATTATAAAAATTTAAGGGAAATGCATCTTTTAGCTCTCAATTTTTAAGATATGCATACTTTGGATATTGTTTTTTTGTAACAAGATATTTTGCATTTTCACAATTCTCAAAATCATGAATTATATAATTCAACTAGGACAACCACAATGTTGGGTAACTGGCTTGAAAATTTGTGCTAGTTACCCAGAAATTGAAATAGCTCCAATTGTAGAGCGTAACATGAAAGTATACGTGCTTTTTGAAGCTACTCAATTTTTTTCAGAAAAAAATGGGCCAACATGCTTCACTTTATATTGATTTTTTTAAAAAAAAAACATTTATAAATGAATAGGGACCACAATTTATTACCAGAAATGTAAATACCATTAAAGCAAATAATAGATGGAGTGGTGATTCTGAAAAACTGACACAAAAAAGAATTCGGAACTACAATTTATATACAGCAGTGTGTAATAGCATTGTTGTGCTCTTAGGTATGAGTAATCATTGTCCGTTTGGCTATTAAGTTACATGTTTATGACTTTTTTTTTTTGTGAAAAGGTAAATATGTATACTCATCTACCAAAACAATGAAACTCATAAATACATGCTAATTCAGTACTTTGCTAATGCTAAAAAATTTCAAAGGTCACTATGTACCTCACACAAAAAAAAAACCACTATCAACTAACCTAAGCATATACTCAGATTAACTAATACTAGTAAAAAACTGCTAAATAATACTAATTTCTGCATCTGCACATTTTCTTTTCTTCTAAACTCTGAACCTGACTAAGGTTTCCTGTTGGACCTTCCTGAGAATTGCTTCTGGAGTTCTTTCCACCTGGTCAAATCTCCTTCTGTTCCAATTTTTTCCATACGTGCTTGTGACTTCGTTAATCAGGAAATTTGTGCATCGGAAGATCCAGAGTTTAAAATTTTCTATACCAATAATATTCTTTCAAATGAAGCTATTCGTGCTTGGATGAGGGCTCAAGATCACCGTTAATCCTTGATCAAGTCATACATGCTTTCCACTAATGAGAAGCATATTTTTTTGTGTGTTTTTTTAACTTGTTATATCTCTTATGTCCCAAAAGATTTAATTTTAAGTTTAAAAAATAAATTTGACTGATGAGATTTTACATCATGTACAAAAGATTTTAAATTATAAATAAAAATGAAAGTATGTTTATTTTTATATTAATTTTTTATTTTGTAACGGTCATGTCCCCCATTTTATAGATATTTGTTTCCTAAATCGAATTTTTTTAGAGTATTGGACGAACGACATAGTACTCATGGTAAAATGAGGGTATGTCAATATATAGTTTTAAGTGAAAAACAATTTTATTGGATTTATTATCTCTCAATTGACGAGTGGATTTAATGTAAAATTTGTTATATATGTGGCGGGAGTGAGAATAAGATAAAATAACAATCCGAAATAAAAAAGGAATCAAATGTCAGATTATGAAGGCGAAGGACTAAATAGCAATCACAACACAAAGGAGGGCAAAAATGTATTAGCGCATTTGTAAAAATAATAAACCAACCACTCATAGGGGGTGTTTGTGAAAGGGAAGATGGCGCCAGCCTTTGGAAATTGGAATAATTGCTAAACCCAATGGGGAAAGTAGGTTTCATAAATTATTTTTCTATGAATAAAATAAATCCAATAAAATTTGGGAGAATGGAAATTGATTACTGTTGCAGCATGGGTGAGGTGGGGTTGGGTGGTTCGTCCCTCTGAATCAGTGACTCAGAGAGAGTAGACATTTTGGGAAACTAAAATTAAATTATTCGTAGCAAGTGTAAAAAAAAAAAAAAAGGAAAAGAATTAAATAAAAAATAGATAATTAGAGAGGTGGGAAAAGCGAATGACGAAAATGACCCTAGGGAGAAAGAGTGGTCAGAGTCATCTGGATAAGCACAGAGCTTCCAGGTGTGGGCGAGAAGTGCACGAGTACGCTTTTTGGTGCCGACAAGTGTTCATTTGTGGTTGCCCAGACCAGACTCCTTCAAATGGTAGGCCCATTAATTTTTTTTTCTTCCCCTTTTTTGGCTGTTATTTTCTTCCCTTTTCTGCGCTTTTTTTTCCCAATGAAAAGTACGCCATTAATCAATCATTAATTAGCACTTGCAGTTGTAAATATAGACAGCAAAGGACTGGTAGTGATCTGCTGATCCAATAAGTGCGTAAAGATTTTATGTCATTCATCTCGTTGGTGGTCGTTACGAAATTCATAGGTCGGCCGGCCTGTTAAGATTGGTGGATCCAATTCATTATCATTGAAGCCCACTTTGCGTGAATTGGTCCATATACATTTCTATCAGACCACCGTAACTGAAATGAACAAAATGGTCTACTAGATTGTTGAACCTTGAAGCATAATTACTAATCAGAGTATCAGACCAGCCGAAGCAGAGACTTTACAGTTCCCTTTCTCAAAGTACTACATAATACATATAGTTCACCTCATTACAACAAAGTAAATAAAGTTGGACATTGTTCCAAAACTGAAGCTTGAAATTCTCATTCTGTTTCAAATTTGTTCCAAGCCGAGGGTGAGGGTATTCTGAGACACAGGACGCTTGTTCGTGGTTAAACATCTGCCTCTCTCGCAACAAAACTTTCCAACCGCGAGATACTCCAATCCAGCGCTACAAAACTGTCCAGCCCTCTGTGTTGTTGCACCCAGAAAGATGTGACCCACATGTTAAACTTTTAAGCTAGTTTCAGATGTCTTTGTGAGAATGAAGGCATCGAAGCAGGTAAATTACTGAAGAATCTCTGTAGTGACAGCAAGAAAGAATGCTGTAAACAATGTATTCAGAAGATTCCAACTGCCAAGACGATGACAGGTTTGATAGCAGATTACAAGAATTCTTCAAAGTATAAATATCAATACCTGTAAAACCGTTCTTCCAATGTATCAGAGTTTGTCTTGGGTATTCTCAGCCGTGGAAGCAGCAGCTACTGTCATCTCTGGCCGTTGAGGTCTTCTATACCATAAGAATGCAAACCAGAGAGCCCTAAATAATGCCCCATTTGCCAAATGCGGAATAAAAAGACGACCCCAGTATGGATAGTATGGTCCGGGCAATTTGAGCAATGTGAAGAAGATGGCCACGGCCACCAGATGCCAAGGAACTCTGGCATTCTGAGATTCCATCAAGGATAGTCAATGATTCAGTTTTCTACTATTAATTTTGAAGACAAACATGTCAGGGAAGATGATCAAAATGTTATCAAAGAAGGCAGTCATAGTTCATCTGATCCACAACTTTAGTAGCTTAAGACTAACTGCTCCAAAAAAAAAATGTTCCATAACCTAAGCTAGGTCTTCTTTGAGTTCAGTCAGCTTAATTTCAATCAAATATGTACAGAGATGGTTTAAGAGACAAAATGTTAGTTGAACCACAAGCTGCCAACTAATGACTTACACTTGAATCAGTGCAGTGGTGTAATGATCTTAATTAATGTTGCCACTCCAATGAGACAAGAAATGCAGTCTATACTTCATAGTGATAATATTCAGAAATTACCAACCAATTTAGATGCTGGATGCACAACAATTATTACCTTTAGTGATGGGGATGCTTCTTCTACTGCAGATTTTACGATTCCAGTGACGGCAGCGCCAACAATAAAAGGAACTGGAGTGAAATACAGCTTCCTCTCATGTGCACAGTACGACAACTCGCTAACGCAAGAAAGGGCAAATAGAGGTATAGACAAGTATTTAATAACTGCCAAAACAAGGTCAAGAATGAGCTGAATGAAATTGTCAAGAGCTTTATTCCATGGGAAACTCTTGACAGGCTGAGGAGCATTGTCCCAAATTTGTTTAGCCTTGTCCAAAATGAGGCTAAACTTAAGATTCCCAGATTCATCAGACTGCCCTGCAGCCAAATTCATAGCACACAAAATTTGGGGCTGCATACTTCTACCAATTCCTTGTGATTTGAAAGGTATCATGTGGAATTCCAGCTTTCTGCAGGATCGATATTGCTGCAACAGATGAAGAAGCTTCAGGATTTCGAAACAAAGACTGAAATCGTGTGATCAAATTCCTAAATGCACCCTGAAATTACTACCTCATAAACAGTTATAGAAGAACGATACCGAAGTTGGCTAATTTAGATGTAAAGTGAAAATTCATAGATGAAATTTAGATTTTTCTTCCCCTGGTTGGATTAAGAACTTAACATATTCTCAATAAGTCTCCAATCACCCAAACTCAATAGAAACTAGAAAGACAAGAATTCTAACCTTATCATTATAATAACAGTAAAAAAGAACTCCATTTGCCCAATCACAATTATCTAGTGGAATTCAAAAAGCTAAGAAAGCAGGAACAGAAAATCACAAGCCAAACAAATTAACGTTATTAGAAGAGGGTGGGGAGCTTCACCTTGGCGTACAGAGCATGCGGTGCCGCAGAATTGAGTCTGAGCGCCATGTTTCCCACAGTCAGTGACAGAATACGAACAATGCTATTGGAGAAGAACTATATGAATGAAGCTCTTCAAGAACAAAACGCCATGGAATCAAACCGGTGTTCGAGGATAAGATGGTCAGGAAACTGCAAAACCCTTGTAACACTGGCTTCCGTGTTTTGACTTTTGATAACGTCGTTTTAGAATCTTTTTCCTCTTGCTTGACCCCCTTTCGCGTTTATGGGTTTATCGGGAGTTTCTTTTTTATTTAATTAACCTTAGCCTTCTTCATTTTTCTTCTCGTCTCCCCCATCTATTAACCCGTTTGATTTGTCCTATATTTCACCTGATAAATATTCTTAATTAACAAAAAAATTTTAAAAATATTTCTTCAACAATTACAAAAATACATATTAAGTGAAAACAAATCGAAATTTCTTATATTAATTATTAGAAGTACAACTTTTTGCCAATATCCCTTTTACACAATTAAAGCAGAAGACATGAAGCTTATGTGGCAACTACGTATGCATCTGTTTTGGCTCCAATACACCATATTTCAGATTTCAGAAGTTTTTTTGCCACGTGTAAGTCTCTTTTAATTAGAAGCTATATAATTTTTTTTAAAAAAAAAACACATGTTTTACTACAAATAAGGATCAGTTACATTTCAAACGAATGGATATATTAATTCAAATTCAAATGTCCAATCATATAGTTTTGCAGCCTTAATATAAACAAAAAATAAATATACCTAAATCCAGCAATTAAGAATAATGCCTTATAAACTAATTATTTATTATTCCCTTATAACCTCAGATTTATAGGTATATTTTTTTAAGCCCCAAACCATAGCATAAATGATATATACGCCAAATTAATTCCTCAAAAAATAGTAATTCAATTTACCCTATTAAAGCAGAAGCTTGCATCTGTTTTGGCTCCAATGCACCATATTTCAAATTTCAGAAATTTTTTTGCCACGTGTATGTTTTAATTAGAAGCTATATAATTTTTTTTTATAAAAAAATACATGTTTTACTACAAATAAGGATCAGTTATATTTCAAACGAATGGATATATTAATTCAAATTCAAATGTCCAATCGTATATTTTTGCAGGCTTAATATAAACAAAAAATAAAAATACCTAAATCCAGCAATTAAGAATAACGCCTCATAAACTAATTATTTATTATTCGCTTATAACCTCAGATTTATAGGTATATTTTTTTAAGCCCCAAACCAAAGCATAAATGATATATACGCCAAATTAATTCTTCAAAAAATAATAATTCAATTAGATTTTAATGAAATAATAATTTAGAGGGGGCGCCCGGGCATCTGTTCGGGCCAAGCATCTAGTTAGAACTTAAAACAAGGACAATGGGAATACAACTTCACATAAAGACAATGGGATTTATATTTTCGGACGGGAGGGGTAGTTTTTTTTAATCAATTATATTTCAAAAAAAAAAAAAGAAATCGCAAATAGTCATCTCAAATACACTACACTTTTTCTAGTTTTACAAACTGTGCATCTCTAAGAAATGACATTAACCCAACGCAACAAAAGCTTATTAGTTTCACACAACTGGATTTTCTACAAAAAGGAGAGGCCTCGTGGTAGCTTCTGTGCTACTGATGTGGGACTTCATCCATGAGAATAGCGGCATTAGACTAAATCAGAAAACCCATTTTAAGGAAATAAAGGAAGATTGAGTAGCCCAGTGTTTTCCGGAATTCCCATCATCAAGTTGAGGTTCTGCAATGCCTGACCAGAAGCTCCCTTTACAAGATTGTCAATCTGCAACAACATATTTCAATAGTCATATAAACCACATTTGTAATCAATAGGGACACAAAACAGGGGAAAAGAAAGAGAAATTTACAACTGAGACGATTATGGCTCTTCCAGGGATTCGGTCAGGAAAAACATTTAGGAGGCAGTAATTGGATCCTCGGACATGTCGAGTGTGTGGAACTTCTTTATTCTTTAACAAAACTACAAATTCTTCCTTCTGGATAAGAAAATAAAGTGCATTTACAATACAACCCTTTTACCAATGATAAACCAAGCTTTGATAAAATGAATTTTTAACATACGGATAATCATACCTCGTAGAAGTTCTTCAAGTGCTGATACAGATCCTCTGTTGATACCCCAGGAGCCATTTCGACGTAGATGGTTGATTGCATACCACGGCTCTGAAAAATACAACCATCAGCGACATATGGTTCCAAATAATTGGAAAATACTGAAGATAGACCATACTACAGTAAAATGTTACCATTGGCATCAGGTGTGGAGTGAAGCTAACAGTCACTCTTTCGCCCGATGCATCTGTTAAACCTTGTTCAATTTCTGGCACTGGTATCACCAACGAGAAATATGTCAGGCTTTAAAAGTAAAGGAATAAGAATTTTGTATTCAAATCAACATTTTGACCAAATATTTACATCTCCTGAACCTAGATGTTCTACTCTTTCTAAGATTAAACAAAAAAAACTCATTCAGCATTAATGCACGGAGCAGGATCATAATATATACAGCTACTTAGATAACTACATTATGTTCACCATGAACATTGTCAGGGTCTTTTCTCAATGAAACCAACTCCCACAATACCTACCTTAAACCAAGGGCTTATCGTTCCGTATTGAAACTTAAGAAGGAAAATCACCTAAAACATCATTATTCTACAAAAGATTGAATCCACGGCATGCGGTAATATTTGCTTACTGTGACGATGTCTCGTGATGCCATATGAATGTATCCCTTCAGCTATCTCCGTATATAGATTTGCCTCCTTTGCACCACGTCCTACATTGAATGCCAAGCATCTTTGAATAACTAGTGGAAGTATCTCCATTCACATATACCACAAGAAGACTAATAGAAGACTAATAGAGCGAGAAGAGTTCATACCAGCTCCACTAACCCCAGATTTTGAGTCAATAATAATATTTTTGACTTCAATGAGCCTTGCCTAAAAGTAAGATAACAAAAGCAACTATGTAAATCTAGCAAAAGCAATGTGGGAAAAAAGGTCGTGCAAATATGCTCAATAGCTGAACACTCAGAGCTGTAGTTTACAGAATTTCCTATTACATTATAGGTCGCAAATTACTCATATTTTAAAATTCCAGCATTTCCAACAGTAAAGACCACATGTACCCTTATCCATTTTGAAATTTCTTTCTTCTGGAAACTTTAGCTACTCACAACTAGAATTGCCTCTATGCCAAGTTAATGTACACTACACCCAGAATGTTTTAACTACCTTTATCAACGGAACCAGCGGAAGCTGAATAGAGGTTGGATAACATCCAGGATTAGCAACAAGGCGTGCAGCCTGAATTTCTTTCCTATAAATCTCTGTCAAACCATAAACAGCTTCTTTCTGCATCAAGGTAACACAGAGTACATGTAAACTAAAAAACTTGCTTACAACGATATCAGTAAATCATTGCATGAGACAGTCATATAAAGGCAAACCATAACCTGTAAATCTGGTGCCCGATGAGGCTGACCATACCATTCTTCATATTCCCCAAGATCTCGTAACCTGAAATCCTGCACAATCACCATGTGAGGACTTGGAATGAGTACACTACCTATTTAAGGTAACAACAACATTCAAGCGAGCATAATGAAATTACATAAAATAAAGAAACATGTTTTAAACCATACCGCCGAAAGATCAACAACTTTTAAACTGTTGGGAAGACCTTTAATAATTTCCTGTCAAAATATATCAACCAACTTATAGTATTAGAGGTGTAGCACCTTAATTAATCAATAGGCAAGATAACAACTAACTCTTTACAATTAGAGCTGTAGTATCTTAATTACAAATCAATAGGCAAGATAAGGAGTTCCAGTTTTGGCGTAGATAATTTCATTTTGGAACAGGGGCAAAGGCAGATATTACCTGAGTGGTTCCATGTGGTAAGCAACAAAATACAGCATCTACATCACCAAACTCAGCATCCTTCACAGCAACCAAATCTGGCAAATCCTATATGAATGTGTCTTTATATTCAGAATTATATCGCAAAAAAGATGGCAATGCAATGAATGATAACTTAGTATTTAGCACAAAAAAAAAGTAATGCAAAACAAGGAACATTGCAGTTACATACTTTTGTTACCAAATGGGGAAATACTGATCCAATTGGTTGACCTGCTTTTCTGTCTGCGGTCATCAATGTAATTTCAAAGTATGGGTGATTTGCAAGGAGTCTAATAATCTGTCAGAATGAGAAAGAAGGAAAAATTATGGACAAAACCAGTTAGAGAAACAAAGAGGGAAACATAACACTATGATCTTTATGAACTTGTCCATGGAATCTTCACAAAACCCAGTATTTATGAAAAGTAGTTCAACATTTCAACAGTTAACTCAGCAAAATCCTGGGAAATGCACTCTTAAGTCATTTTGACAATCTTCTGCAGTGTTTTACATTTTAGCCATAGCAAAAAGGTCTCTCTTTCCCCTCTCATCAGTGATTCATTAGATTTCAGTTGCAAAAAACTCTCCCATTTGAAGAATATGACGAATTAAAGCTCACATTACGGCATGCCCTTAAATAGGAAACTTAACCATTTTTTTTCTCAGGAATTGAGAGCAAGGGAGCCAAAATCAGTGCAACCATACCTCAGAACCAGTATAACCACTAGCTCCTAGAACACCAATTCGGTATTTTTCCGACTGGTGAGCTTTGCTATCAGAAACCTGCAAACTCTGCGGCGGTGCCGAAGCTACCGAGCATCTAATGGGAAAAATTCGAACACTCGAACTCCTCCTTTCAACCTGCTGGAACAAAAAGAAAACCCCATTTCCGCCATCAATGGTATCAATTCAAACCGAAGTTCTACACAACCACTAATCTCTACTTACAACGAACCAGAAAGGGTGAATTAGAGCACAAACCTGAGGTTTCGGAAAACAACCTCGATCAAAACATGTAGTACTCAAACGACCTAATGAACTCATTGTTTTGCTCGGTTCAATCAAACACGTATCGAAAAATACCGACCCAAAAAAAAATGTTCAGCGGCAATAAGTTGAGATAAACAGAGGGAAAGAATGCGGTGAGCACTGAGCAGCCAAAGTGGAAGCACGTTCTTCAGACTTCAGAGCAGAAAAAGGTGAAGATGGGTTTGGCGGCTCAAACAGTCTGGGCTTTAAACAGTGGCTAAGGCCCAGAATATGTTCCTATATGAGCCCAATGCCACACAAATAGTACTCCACTTAACTAATTTCATTTCATCAAATCAAATAAAACTGATAAAACCACTACAATTAATCTCTTCTGAAGTTGGGAAATTACAATGTTACAACTTTAGTTCTTTTTATGTAATTCTCGAAAACTAGCAAATCTGTCAACAACACTATGTATCCATCTGAATTCTGAATATTGTGATTTTTCAGAAAAAAAAAAAATTTATGAATATTGGGCTCCTGAATTCTTTTTAAAAGCTTCTGATCAATATGGTCCCTCAACAGTGGGGGAGAGGAAGAAATTGCATGAAATGAAAAGAAAAAAAAAAAGGACAAGTTTAATGATAATTTTTTTCTACCAAATACAGTATGTATACTAATTTTCATCTGAAAGTCCTGATCTTGCATTAACACACATTGTTAATTCATGTGCATCAACAAGTATCAAAGGGTGAATCTAATGAAACCAGAGAGCAAGAAGACAGTACATTAAGTAGAACAATCATATTACCAATTGATCACAAGCCTTAAGGCCCTTAACAGTAGAAAGCAGGATTCGAACTTTGAAGATTCAATTAAACAAAACCACCCCTAAGATCACTATTACTATCTTACAACTTGGAACTGCACAAGCAGCTATTGATTACAAACTTACAACCCAGAAAGTTTCATCACTCTACAGCTAATATGTATATCAAAAAAGACCCCAACAACACACCAATCATATTATGGGTGGGATATATATCTACAAAACTACCAAGCTCTGCAGCCTTAAAATTCAAAAATTCACTACCCCAAAGATCTTTCAATATTCTGGAGCAGGGGAGTACCAAGCAGGATGTGTCCCTTTTGCCCTCAGCAATCTGGTGAAAGGTGAATCAGGCATTCTGGCTTTCTCTTCTTCTTCAAGCTCTTCCCTTGATTTTGGCAATCCATCAGGAATTGGGCAATCCCTTAGTCCTTTTAGCTCAGAAGTTGAAGCCGCCTTCTCCTCTGAAGTCTTGGTTTCTTTTTTGGCAATACCATAAAGGTCCGCAATGCCATGTAAGCAACCAATGAGAGATTTCACTCCACCAGCTTCAATGATCAGCCTCTCCACCTCTTCCTTTGGTGCCTCTTTCTGCATTAGACTCTTAATCAGTGAGAAAAAAGGAAAAAAAAAAAAAAAACAGAACTTTAACCAGAGACTTGAAGGGTTATAACTTATAATCACTAAGGAGGGTTATCACTTATAATCACTAATCTACGACTTCATAGAATATTAAAATCAAGCCATCATATCGTTCATCAGACCATTGAGTTTACTTATTTTGACAATAATAACCCACCAAAAATTACAACATTTTCAGCCTATTAATTCACAAATTTTAACAGACTTCTTTTCCCACCAAGCTTAAATCTTGAAAGATGAAAACACACTACTTACTTCAAGTTCTTTGAGCTCAAAATAAGCTTTCCAGCAACTGTAGGAACGTTCTCCTTCCAGTGTTGAACAATAATCTGAACGAAGGCAACAAATTGGTAAATAAAGCAAACAAGAACAATCAAGTCAAAAGATCTCATGTTTGCAAAGGTTATATTGTTTCAATCCCGCAATAATTCAATCTCAAAAAGCAAAAGAAAAAATCATTTTGCATTAAGCATTGAAAAGATTACTACATACATAGATCAGATGCATACGATATAATAATTCTTAGTTCACAAGATCCAAACTTTCCACAAAATCACAAAAACCCATCAGTTCAAAAATCAAAATTCTTACTACGGAGAAACAGAAAAGAAAACATACCAGCGAGTTGGTTTTCGGATTTTTCAATCAGAGGAGGGTCTTTCGCGAGGCGTTCGAATTTGGTTCTGCTAAAAGGTTCAAGCTTTGGTATGTAAGCATGATTTCTAGAAGACGAAGAGCAACAAATGGTGGAATTGAAGCCACCCTTTGGGGAACATCTTGGAGAATGGATTTGATCATTGGTTTCAAGAACAAGAGTTGAAGACAATGAAGACGTGAAAGAGAGTGATTGAAGCATTGTGTTCTGTAACTGGGATTCAAGACAAAAGAATCAAATCCAATAAACAATTTGAAGAAATTGCGCTTACGCAGTACTATTACTCTAATATACGGCCTTCCTTGTGATTCAAGAAGCAGAAAACAGTGGAACTAATCAAGCGGCAATGGATAAGGATGGAATAATTTTATATTGTTTATTTTTAGGGAGTAGTTCTAAGCTCCCCTTTTATTTGTTTCAAGAGGAGAAAACTCAAAACGGTTGAACAGAAGCAAGAATGGATAAGGCCAAACTGTGAGATATTTTTTCTTATTGTTAAAATTATCTGCAACCCTTTTTGCTTTTTTTTAAAGGATATTTTTGCATGTCAGAATAGAATAATGACCGTTTGATCACCGGCTTAGATCTGTGGATTTGTTCTGAAACTCCCTCATTTCCTTTTTATTAAAGGAAAAATCTGGCGTGGCTGAATGAGTCCATGGGCGTTTTTGTCCGGGGACGAGAAATTCTTTGTGCTTTTGGGGTTTGGCATTGGCCCATTGGTTTGCACTTTTTGCCCTTTTCCTTTTAAAATATAGCCTTTTCTAAGTCAAAACTTACTATTCTATACGATGAGGAATATGTGAACCATATGGTCTCAGAAGCTGCTGTCTTAAACTCTAAAAAATGCTAAGAACAAAGAATAAAAAAGTGCATAAAGGTATAATTTGATTACTTGGCATAAAAGGTAAGTAAAATGAATTTTGCTTCAGACACCATTTTTCCTTTTCTTAATTTAATTAAGATATGCATTCTCAGTAAATCTGCCTGGTATGAAAGGTGTAATTGGAAAAATGTGCATTAAAAATAATTTTGATTTTCATATTAATGTAAGAGATGTTATTTACATTGTACCCTTTCCCTATTTACATTTACATACAAGAGAAGGGCTTGACTCAGCCATGCAAAATGCTAGCAAACAGCTAACCCTTGTAAAAGATTCGATATCAGTAAAAGTGAAGTGGGAGTTTCATCTATCTAAAGCAGAAAAGAATGGACTTTGTTGGTAGTCTGCCCTTGAGCTGTACGGAGAAGAACTTTCTGGCATGAGCTCAGCCAATCTGATTCTTTCTTTGTTCATTCTATTCTGAAAAGGAGGAAACTGAGACTACTTCAGAATATGATAAGGGCATTTCAAAATTAACCTTTGTATAATTTAGTCCAATTCTTCTTAAGAACGAATTAAAATTTGTAAAAATTGAATGAGTTACCTTTAATTTGGCTGATTGTACCTCTCTTTCCAATGCATTGATCCGACTCTTCATCTGATCAAGGGCTTCCTCAGCCACTGAGAGATTTATGTCAGATGGTGGTCTTGTTATTCCTGCTGCCTGTTTTTTAATTCAAACTAGATGTGTCAAAACTCTGGAAGATATGATCTAAAAACGCTTGTGTGAATCTTCTTGGCATGAGATTCTTTGAACTGACCTTTAGTATGCTGGTACACAAGCTGATCAGCTCTTGAGCTAATTGAAATCTCTCTGTCTCTGTCTCCTGTTGATTAAAAATGAATCATATTCATTGTCCTTGTTATTGTCGCAACGATTCAGTATCTAGTACGTGTTACTATGGCCAAAAGAATGGCTTCTTTTTTCTTTTTTATTTTTAATTTATTTATATAGCAAGCTGACCTTCAATTTATTGTTTAACCTTTGCTCTTCATCAAAGTTGATTGAAGGACCTTTCCCATCAGCAGCACGATAGTGAGCCAATTCTTGATTCACTCGTAAAAGCAAACCCTCCGTTTTTCGCAGCTTCATAGAAAGCTCATCATTCTGACATTTCAACATATTGTTTTCTTCCTGTAACAGAATAGAAAGCCATGGTTATTGATTATTTCTAGCTTGCCAAGAGCTCAAATGCGTAAAAGCTGTGTGACTTTCGACCCATGAAAATGTCACTCCTTGTTTAGGACTCTAAATGAAGTTAGGAGGCAAAAACTGGCCAAAGAGGCTTGCCTTGATTTTAGCATGGTGATGGATACGCTGTTGGAGATTTTGCTGACCCGACAGCTTCTTTACTTCAGTTTCAAGTTCTGTAACCCTTTTCCTATAGTTTGTACTCTCCACCTGTGCAGATACAATGCAGTTAAGCAACTTCTTACTTTCCCTGTGTTCTAGCTACATGTAATGTAATAGCAAACTTCAAGAACATCTGACCTTCAAAATATCATTTTCAGTTGTCAAAAGTTGATCTCTCTGGAGCAGTTTTTCCAATGCAACTTGTGCTGTTACCATCTCAGCTTGTTTCCTGTCCATTTCCTCTATCCATCTGTATAAGATATTGTAAACAAGAAAAGTTTTTAAACAATCATCACAGCCACATTTTTATCACATTTGAATTTGACAGTTGTTTACCCTTTCCGTTCTTTGATGAATTCATTTAGCTGCTGCTTAAGCTTAATAACTTCTTCTTCCTGAGACAGAATCACATATGCATTTTAAAATGTCTACTTGGATTAAATTGATTTCGTACCATGATGATGTGTATTGCGGCGTACCTGAACATTATGTAACTGAGCCTTATCCATGAGCATTTGCACTTGCTTATTATCCAGCAAAGTCTAAAAATTAAGAATTCGCGACCATTATGATATTAACAAGTGCATATAACTAAAAATTAAGGATTCACTACCATGAGTATATCAACGTGTGCATAAAACAAGTAAGAGAGTGATTTTTTTCGGAAAGAAAGGAAACAGGTTCATTGGAAATTACCGCGCAACTATTCATGTCCAACTTCAAACCCAACAAATCACGAATGACATCATGAGTCATACTTTCTGCAGTAGCTAATCTTGCATTCAGCATGAATATCTGAGGGAAGACTCAATTAATCAGTTGATTAGGAAGATTGAAAGTATACTTGTAATGAGTAGTTAGGGCCAATGCTGTTGACTCAGTGCTACCTCTTTTTGCCTACTCGCAGCTAGGGCCTCTAGTTCTTCAATGCGCTGTCTTCTGGCACTGAGCTCCTCTTCTTTCTCAGACTTTATCTGTTGAGCTATACCTAGGCCAATGCATTTAAAAGGGGAACCAGAACCCCTAGGCTTTGAAGCATTCTTCTCTAATTTATTTGCTGATGAGTTTGCAATAATGTTGGCCGGAACTTCTTGCTTGACTTGTTCCAGCATGGCTTCTAATACCTTGAACTGTTAAGAATTTTGGATTAAAATGGTGCCGGAGATGATCGGATCACAGCTGCTTAAGTGTAAACATTTATGCTATATCTGTATATCATACCTTCTGCTTGTACTCAGAACCCTGTGCTTCTGCATGCAAATTAAGCTCGGATATGTGAACCTTGCATCTGGTGATCTGCAGCGCAATAAAAGTAGTTAATCTTTCCAACCAGTGAAAACACAAATTATATGAGGATAGAACTAACTCTTAAAAGATTGAAGTCCACGCTTGTAATCAAAATGAGAAATCAATTCACCTCTGCATCTCTTGCCGCTATTTCTTTCTCAAGAAATTGTACACGCTGGCAGGTCTCTTCAAGGATCCTCTCTCTATCATCAAGTTTCCTGCATAAATTATTAATACGTGAGGAAAGTACATGGATGAGAATTATTTGGATATTTTGGTTTTGTATTGCACTTCACAAACCTTTTCATATCAGCATCGTATTTATTGACACTCTGCATTTGTCCTCTGATGGCTTGAAGCTCTATTTCAAGCTCCTCCCTCTCTAATCGTTGTCTTTCAGCTTCTCCTTTGAGAATTTCGACCTTATGAAAACAAAAGTTGTAAATACAGAACACAAAGAATTTCCTTTCAGAACTCCAGCAAGATTAAATTACCTTGTTTTCAAGAACATTCACAGTAGATTCCAGCTCTTCAACAGAACGCTCTAACAGCTTGACCTCCTCTTCTTTGTCTTCAATGTGTAACTTTCTAATTTCGGCCATCTGTTAGAGGACAAGATACCATGGATATTTAGTATGAGTATGAAGAGCTTTTAATTTTCTAGATATTTATATTTAAGGTAAATTAGCATTACCTCTTGAGCTTCTTCAGCTACGGAATGTGTCATCTCAAGCTCTTGCTTCAAAACAAGGACTTTCTCATGCAGATCATCCCTCTCAGCGGTAACATCATTCAACTTTCTCTGCAAGGACTCAACCTTACAGCTCGTTTCATGAAGAACGGCTTCTGTTTTGACTATCTCCGCTTCCAGGTCCTCAATGACCTTTCTTTTATCAACTAACTCCTCCTCCATAGACTTCATAGCTTTCAAACCATCTTCCATTTTGGCTAGCAGATCAGCATTTAGACTCGTCAATGACAAAACTCTTTCTTGTTGTTCAGATGTATCTTTCTCTAGAGCAGAAATCATGCATATCTTTTCCTTAAGTTGAGCATCGAGGCCTCGGACCTTTGCAACAGTTTCATCAAGATTGGCAGATTTTAATTTGAGTTCCTTTTCCAGAGCATCCACAGAAGCCAATAGCAAGCCAATTTCCTCTTTTTGATCCATAGAAATGGATGCAGACTCCTGCAACGTGCTCATATCAAACAAGAGACCGTTAAGAATATCATCTTTCCTAGACAACTCAGTTTTCAGAGTGTCTGTTTCGGAAGTCAATTCCTTAGCCAGATTCTCCAGATACTCAAACTCCTCTAAAAACCTTGATATCCTTCCAAATCCAACACGTAACTCTTCAAACATGTTATCTAACACAGTAGCTTCTGCAGTCACTAAGTAGGACATATTGCCACATGAAGCTTGTACATTTTCCATGGAATTGAGACTTTTAGCCAGTTTGAGGCTTAATGCACTTAGATACTCCTGCTTCTGGTTCATTTGTCCTCTTAGTTCATCTCTTAAAATAGCATTTTCCTCTTGGAAATCCGTGAATCTAAAAACTTGGGCTTGCAAATCCTGGATGGTTGATAGCATGTCATCTTTGGCAACAGATTCATGAAGTTGTAGTTCATGTGCCTTTGCTTTTGCTAAATCTAATTCCGTCTGCAGTGCGGCAGCCTGATTTTCTAATAAAGAATTTCTGCATCGCAATGCCTGGTTATCATGAAGTTGGATCTCTTTCTCTCTTGAAGATGCTTCAAGGTCATCTTTCTTATTCTCCAAGTCCTGAAGAAGCAAGCGGTACTCCTCCTTTACCTTCAAAATCTCAGCCTGCAATGACTTCTCCTCCTGCTCGATGCAGCTCAGTTTTCTTAGTTCTGAATCAGTTGTATCCAACTTATTTTGAAGTTGGAGATAGGTTGATTCCAACAGATAGTTGTCATTTTGCAACTTCTTGTTTTGCTCCTCAAGAGAAGATACTTGTCCAGAAGAAACTTCTAGAGCAACTTCCATCATTTTCTTCTCTTCAATCAGTTTCTCACATTCAGGCTTAAGCTTATCAACCTGCAATGAAAGGAGTTGCTTAGCTTCCATCGCTTCATCAAGACGAACTTTTAGATCATCATTCAGAGCTTCAACATGTTTTAATGACTCCACATCAGAAAGAAGAGTTCTATTTAGGCCTTCCATTTGGGCAATTGTTGCGTTCCTTGTCTCAAGCTTTGACAGCAAATCTTGGAGCTCCTTCCCTGTCTTGTCAAAGTTGTTATGCACCAAACCAAGTTCAACTTCTCTCTCCTTCAAAATTAACTGGGTTAGGCTTGCATCAATTATTTGTAGAACTAATGCTTCCTTACAAGTCTCAAAGGCTTCACAAGAATTTAATTGTGCTTTCTCCACATCAGCATTAATAGCATTCACTTGTTCCAACTGCACTGACAAGATTAACAGTTCAATATCTTTGGCACACATTTCCACCAAGAAACATTCCTCTCTGGATTGAAGTAACTCCTCTTTTTCCTTTAACAATCTTTCATGATCTTGAAAAGACTCCAGCATGTCTCTGTTATTGAGATCCAGATCCTTCATCAGAGTTGTAAATTCAGCTCCAATGCTATTAGACCTTTGTATCATTAACTCTTCTTCAAACTGTAGATCTGATATTTTACGCTCAAAAGCTGTTAGTTTGAGCCGAAGTTCCCCAGTTTCATCTTCTTTTCTTGAAATACGGTCAAAACCATTTTTGATGTCAGCCAATAACTTCCCTTCAAGAGTCCTGCAACTCTCGAGCTCTCTAATTGACTGAACATTTTGATTTCGCAACTTAGATATAACTGTATTTGACTCCTCTAGCCCATGAGAAAGTAGACCTTTTTCTGCATTCAAACCCGTCACCGCTTCTAAGACAATTCCCATATGACAGAGATGCAGAACTGAAATGGCAGTGTCCTTCAGTATAATCTCAGACCATATCTCCTCAAGGTAAGAGCTCAATTGTTCCATGGAATCAAGAAATAGAGCTTTTATGGAAAGGCAATCAGAGGCAATAGATGAACAGTGTTCCATCGAAGCCATTTGAACCTGAGAAACTATATGCTCCAACTCTTGCATCAAGTTGCTCATCATTTCAATGTCTGATTTTGAACGATGTTCCATCTCTTGAAGCTGTCCGTCCTTCTGACCATTTGTGAACTCCAATCTTTGAACTTTGTTGATCAGGGAGTCTCTCTCGCGAACTAGTAAAGTTTCTTTCTTCTTCATCTCTGAAACTTCGAGCTTCAAGGTTTCATTTGCGATCATCAATTCATTTATTATTATATCAGCATCTTTCATAGTGTTTTGGACCTCTTCAAACTTCGCAAGAATGCAGGAAGCTTCTGTGTCCTTCTGTGTTGAAATTACCCTTGCATCATCAAGCTCCACCTCAAGCAACTGCAAAAGAAGGCTTTTATTATTCACATGTAGTTCATGCAAAAAGTACGTGTATCAGGATGCAATAAGAAAATTTGAAATTCGAGCACTATAAAAGACTTTAGTTTGGGAAGTTGCAAAAGAAGATTCAGTTGCACAAGCTCAACTAAAAGAAAAAAACTAAAATTGAATTCTCATACCTCTTTTTGCTCGAACCAGGAATCGCAAGAGCATTGTAAAACTCTATCAAAGCCCTGTAGCTTTCCTTCCAGAGCATTAATCTTGATATTAAATTCCTTATCAAGATAATCCATGGCATTGCTCAGAGCAAGTACCTGACCAAGTATGGACTCGATGCCCCTCTGACTCTCTTTTTCGGAGATGGAGAACCTTTTTTTCTCTGATCGCAATTCAGCAATCTCAGCTTGCACCCCGTTCAGACTTTCAAGTGCTGATTCTATTTCTTTCTTCAGAAGCATAATGGTTGCGTCTCTGTTGTTTACATCCTTCAATTTGCTTCGACGCTCCAAATTCTTCCGATTAATTGAATTTTCATCCTTATGTTTACCTATGTCGGCAAGATAGTTGGCATCTGTAATTCTCTTGGTACCTGTCTGCAACAAATACCATTTTAGAATGAAAAACTAAAAATCAAAAACCAAATGAAGAGACAGAAACAGAAATTAAGATCAAAATTACCCGTATTTCATCATTCTCATCGTTAGACAGACAAGAAGAGTCCTCTGTAGGATCAGCTCTTGCAGAACTTCCATCTCCCTGCACATAATCCTTGATGCATGATCTCACTTCTGACACACCATTCTGTAACTCTTTGAGTTTCTCTCCAGTTCTCAAGATAGTATTTTCTTCATACTCTTGTAGCTCCTGCCCCAAAGCATCAGCACGATTCTGTTCTTCAGATAGCTTCCTCCCCAGATCACTACAGCTAGACTCCAGGGCTTCTTTGTCTTTCCTTAGAGACTGAATCTGCCTTTCCGTGTCATCAACCAATGAAGCCTGACGCTGGATAATATTATCCTTACCAACATTTGCATCTGCAAGTTCCATCAGCTGAACGTCCTTGTACTTTAATTCATCAAGATATTTAGAGTTCAACTCAGACAACCTGTTAACCATAACAAAAGCAACTGTAGCACAGGTTGATGTTTTCCGAAGTTGGTCTTCCCCACGCATTATTTTTTCCTTCAGCTCTGAAACTGTCGACGTTTCGGCAGTCAACTGTGAAGTTAAAAAGAATATTTCTTGGTCTTTTTGACAGCACTCTTGCTGGTGAGCTTCAGTCATAACCATAGCGGCTCCTCTCAATGAATTCAGCATGCAGTCCATGTCCTTCCTTTTATTGGATGCATCCTCTAGATAGTGGTTGAGCTCCTCAATAATCAACTCTTTTTCAAAATTGCATTTTGCCATCTTGTCGAATTGTCCAGAGATCCAACTCCTTTTCTGGGGAAAGGAACTTGAAATGGCATATAACTCATCGGAGGCATCGTTAAGGGACTCATGCCCACCTTGGAGAACAGCTTCAATTTCACTTGTCAGAAGTTCCCATTCTTCAGAAAAATTTGTTAATTCGCTATCTTTGCTCTCTAACAAGTTGTTCAGTCTTGTATTTTCATTGGTAAGGGCAGATAGTTTTTCCTCCAAGTCTTTCATTTGAGTTTGAAGAAGTGTCAAAGTTTCTTTGCTCTCCAGTTGTTTCAGGTTACTAGCTTGGACTTCTTCCTGAAGAAGAGAAAGTTCTTCCTGCAAACACATGATGACCTCAGCAGTTTCAGCCTCAACCTGCATGCGGACCTCATCCATTTCTTCTTCATGTGAAGCCTGAAATGCTTTATCACTTTGGTATCTCTTATTTAGTCTCTTGGCCTTCTCCAGAGAATCGTGCATCTTGTTTAATCTTTTTTCCATTGGAGAATCTTCATTTTCCGAGAGTTGACAAGACGAAATCTTTCTGAACACTTGACGGTGTTTTTGTGCCTTTAAAGAAGAAAGTTCAAGCTCTTGCTTGTGCAATTTTTCTCCAAAATGGCAGTTGTTGTTCCTGAGATCCTCAAGCTCATTAATTGATAGAAGTTGTTGGCACTCTAAAGCTTCAATGATGGCTTTTGCTTCTTTAAGTTGTTCTCTCAATGCTTCACTTTGTTCTGCGAAGAAAAGAGCCCGTTCCTTAGACAAATTAAGATCTTTGAGCCAGGCCTGTGCCCTTTCCTCCATTTCATAACGAGTTGATCTCTCTTCTTTTAGAATAATTTTCAGAATATCCAGCTCCAGTTGTAAATCCAAAACTTCTTCCAAGGGTTCTTTCATTTTCCCTTGCAAAGTTTCTTTCTTCTCATTTCGAAGAGCCACCATTGATTGGTTAGTAAAAGATGGAGCTTCCGATATAGACTCCTGGGATCATAAACCATCATCACCATAAGCCAATTGGATAGCCATGTGCATTTGGAACTAAAAGAATCATATTATACCAAGTTCTTAATCTTCAGAGGTGACAAAAAGATAAAACAACACGTTGCCAACTGATACTAAATCCACCTCGATGTGCTTCTTCATCTTTGGTCATTAAATGCAAACTAAAACGTAAAAGTCTGTAGTTCATAAAAAGTGTTGAAACCAAACGGTGTTTCCGGAAGGAAGATACCTTAATAACTTCAGTACTGCTATCATGATCATCCTCCAAAGATCTACCAAAGTTCAGGGATAAACGCAAGTTCTCAACTTCTCTGCAATGGAAGGAGATCCTTAATGAAGTTGGCACAGCTAGATAGGAAGCACCAAACAAGAAGCAGTAGGTATGAACATGGTACCTGTTGAGCTTGTTATTGTATTCCAAACAACGGTTGAGGTTATTCCTGCACTCCTCTAGCTCACCTTGGGTCTTTTTCAACTGAATGCAGGTATAACACATGTCAAAAGCAGCAACACAGCAAACTTATTTCAAAACACAAGGAATGTGAGTATCCAAACCTCCTGCTGAAGTGAAATATTTTCCTTGGAAATATTTGCCTCCTGTGTAAGCAGGAAAAGAATATGTCAGCAAAGAAGAGGTATTAACTTTGTCCTGAATCTCTCTATTCAACTGAAGTTCAAAATTTTAATCTATATTGATAGTAAGAAGGAGCTGTTTTGAAATTTTACTTGAGGATGTTGCTTCAAGTTTCCATCAAGTGAAAGAATGAACTGTCAACAAAATACACGGAGTAAATTAAGGTTCCAAAATTCATGAGAAACAAAAAAATCCATCTCATTCTCTATCACCTGATCTCGGAGCTGAGAAACCTCGGCTAAAAGCATCTCTCTCTCCCCTTCCTCATAGAAGTCTTGAAACCTACATGTAGGAGTAGATAATGCATGAAGAAGGACTCTTGCTAAAATGAATACATATGCAATCTTCTTCATTTGTCAAAAGAATAACCTTCGAAGTTGTTCCAGAAGCCTAATATTCTCAAGAGCAAAGCGAGTGACTTCTGGGTTCTTTTCCACTTTAGCTCGAAGCAACTGAATCTCGTTGGCCAGCATACTGTTTTCTTCCACCAGAAAAACATCGGGAGGTATTAACCCACCAACAAGAGATTCCATTCTTTGAATTTTGTCTTCTCTGAATTTCAGCATCATCTTTGTGCACCTGGTATCTTCCTCCCTTTGCTGGACCTGTGAACATTAATCCCGAAAACATTTGTAAGAACATCAAGGTTAGCTTTATTCTCTTCTCTGGCTAAAAAACATGTGATCCTCCTTATAGCAAGATATATCAAAAGAAAAATTACCAGACGGTTCAGCTGCTCAATCTCAGCTTCAAGCTGTTTGATGGATATGTCTGCCATCTGTTCTCTTCTTAGAGCACCAGCAAGTGTACTCTCCAATGTCTTGAACTGGATAAGAGATGTAAAGAAAATACTGAAGATCACAGAGAAGGAACACTGCAGGATTCCAATTTTTTGACTTTTTTGTTCTTAATAAATCATTTGTTTTTTTGCTTAAAAGTAACCAACTTAAGCTCTACAGTCCCTGTTTACTAATGTATATGGCATGTTATTCTTATTTAATGATAGAAAAGGTACTGTACCTGTCTTGTAGATAGTCTCAGACTTCCTTTCGGCTCTTTGTTGAGTGAATGAGTGCGTAAATCTGTCGCAACTGGATCTTCAGAGCAACTGTCGTCAACTTCATATAATTTATATGCTGGATCCACAGGACCAAATGACAAAGCTCTGGATACATTTTGACGTTTGAGAAGAGAAAGCTCCTCCTGTTCAATGATCTCATTAACATAGATTTCATCCATTTGAATCTATGATATGGTCAAGACAAAAATTAAATGACTACCTTGAGAAGCCGTATTTGGCTCTGTAATGCAACAACATCCCCTGAGGAATCTTCATTCACGACAGCCTTTATTGAAAAAAGAAAAATATGAGGCAATGCAAGAATAACTCGTCAACTGAAAAAAACAAAAGATTATGCCCTATGATCTGACCAATACAAAGCACACTAAATTATGGCTTACATTATTCTGAATTAGCTTCGCACGCTGAGCAAACTTTAGAGTGTTTAGAGTTTCAGCAGCACAACTGAAATAAAAATAAATAAATAAGATGAAGCTGTTAAAATCCATAAGTCCATGTTTGTTGTGCCACAGTGAGAATGAAGCAAAATACAAAACAAGGATACAAATGTGTACACTAACCAAATTGAAGGGCTGACATTAGCTATTATTGTTGTCTTTGAGTTCCCACCTAAAGAATCCTGCATGAAGTTTCTTGTTAGCAGAGATTAAGTTATCAAAATTCGAAACTTGCTGGAGTAAGTATAACTTATTGGCTGTTGCTGACCTGAAGTAGAAAAGTCAATCTTGAATCTCTGTAAGGAACATGCCTCGGCCTCCCATTTGCCACATCAACTAGAACCATTATTACATGACTGCAAGAAGATACAAACAAATAGAACAAAAAAAGTCAGAAGATCCTCCACTGAAAGTAGTAGGAAAGGCACAACAAATACAATCATGAATTACCCAAGAGTTGATAATGATTTGTTGATGTTTGCAGCCTCCTTTAGACGCTCGCCTTCAGCACCAGAAGTCTTTTGCCTGTCGAATACATGAACAACATGAAATGTTAGTGACCCACACATCTTTGTCATGGCATATGACTCGTGAGCACAAGAACTACCTTTCAGAGCCAGCAAGATCAACAAGGTTCAGCCTTGCAAAACGGAAGTTACATGTGGAATCCTTCTCCCACCTACTTTCAATTTCACAAGTAAAAACACTATGAGAGCGGCTGCTTTCTCTGTTCATATTGGTAGCAGCAACTTTTCTGTTTGAAGAACCCTGAAGCAAAAATTTAAAGTTTGAGCACTTAGGAGAGAAATTGTGCATAGCTATGATACATCCTACTTAATAAGGTTAAAGAGTACTAACATAAAACACAAACATAAATCAGCTACCTGTCTCAATAGTCTAATAATGTCGCCAACAGTCTGGACTTCGAACTCTGATAAATTTTCAACGTAGACACCTTTCTTCATATCCTCACGCAACTTTGATGCAGAAAACATGATCATCAGAATCCATCACAACATTCCCTTTAATTACAAAAAGAAAACCAATGGCGTAGAGATTCTGAAGTACCAGCAAGTTTGTTGATGAAGGATCAAGAAGATCAGTAATCTGTTCATTGTAAATCTCCAAAAAGGAACACTTGCAATGATATCGTAATTTTTCATCCTGACGGCTTTCCTCTTCCTGGATTTTAATAAAAGTTCTTCAATTTATTATGTCTAAGATACGGCTGAATGATTTGAATAGAAGTTTAAGGAAGAGAAGAGTCAATCTTACAGCTCTGATCCGGGCAAACAAGAACTCAAATATTCGCGGTGTCATACCACGGTTCAAGCTGGGCTTAATCTCCAGATCTTCAATGTCACCTAACATAGTGTGAGTCTTCCCACTTCCTGTCTGCATGGCAGCTATTCAACATCAGAATAAGCTAAATCCCAAGAGGGGTATGTATGAACTTATTGATTTTACGAGTATAATTAACATCCGCCAGGAAGGTAATTAATCTCCATCTGAATTTTATCAGATGAATTTGGGGAGTGTATGATTCATACAGGAAGCCACATGCTACAGGAGTATTGTATAGTTAATACCTGTCCATAAGCAAACATACAGCTATTGTACCCAGATAAGCAATTCTCCACCATTGGCAGACCAACCATCCTGAAAAGTGTTTCCTGCAACATTGTAATTGTGAAAGAAGTAAGGCCTAGAAAGAACCTTAAAGAATTCTGTGCCAATATGTACTACTAAAATCTCAAAAAACCTGATCTATTGATTCACAGGCAACATGATCAAATGTGAATCGCGTTTCAGGTTGCCCTATCCATGTGATGCTTTGTGCACTTTCCTGCTTCAGGCAACGAGCATAACCAGAATTGCCTTTCTCTGCATTGTTCAGGGGCCGCACTCGAATCAAAACCTATACAAAATTCAACACCCACCAAAGCATTGCTTAGCCTCCAAATGACATGCACAGCCAATCTCATCTCTTACCAATAATTGAGATCAGGCAGCAGCAGAGATAAGCAACTTACTTGTACATTGTGTTCCAACCAGAATGAGGGATCTTCTTTGAGCTCAAATCGTGGAACTTCAACAGTATTTACAACAGTGACAGAATTACAAGAGATCGGTATCCCTTTAGACAGTGCCGAAAAATTAGACATACGAGAACCGCCCCCACTACTTGGAAGCCTAGAACCACTAGCCAAAGAGAACCCTGGATTTGGGGGCTTGCTCACACTCTTGGTAGGTGTGCTTTGAGTCGAACTACACTCGGAATTAGCCTTCCCAACTGGCCTACTAGGCCTAGGAGTTATGAAATTCGCCAAGGACCTTAACTGACTAGTATTGCCACTAATATCAACCTTTCCCTCATCCTTCGATTCTGAAGCTGCTGAACTTGAATCACCTTTCTGGGTCCAACCAAATCTATGCTTCATTCCATGCTTTTCAGGTGTACGCAGGTGCATTGGGGTTGCACCCTTGGACTTTGTAGGGGTTCTATCAATCTTGTTAGCCCTAACACTGAATTCTTGATCTACAACTCCTTTAGAAATCTGGGTGGGTTCTTGAATTACATTTAAAGGTGGCCTGGACGATAAATCCACCCCAACCTGAGGACCCAATGAATCCTTTGGATTCACTGGCACATTCTCCGTTTCATTCTGCCCAGAATTTCGCCGCAAGAACTTGAGGTCCCTCAACATTCTAATTTAATTACGCAGACAAACAAAGCAAAACTAATATTAGGCATTCAATAATTGATCAATTCGTTTCTTGAAAAAACTTACAAATACAGAAACAACCACCTGAAAGATGAACTGAAAAAAAGGATCCTTAATCCGTGAAATCCTGAAATTGTTCTCCACTGAGGCAGAGAATGAAGCTGGTTTTGAGCTGATCCAGTTCTTGGGTTTTGAGCTCGATCTAGCTTGCTGGCATGGAGTGATTGGAAAGATTAAAACGACAAAGCTTTCAGAATTCACAGTACATAGCTTTCATTTTTCCGGGGTTCTTTTTAGGGGAATTGGGGAAATTCTCGTGGGATTCTTGAATTTTGAATGAAACGTTGCAGAATTTTTTGAGTTTCTTTTTAGGAAGACAGTGGTTTTTAGGATTGGATTGGATGGACGGTTCAGATTCGACGCAGATTTGAATTTCTGGGGGGGGGCTCGTTGAAAAATTGAAAAGAATATCGCGCTTCTGGGTTTTGAATAAACTAGTATTCTTTAAGGTTTTAATTTAAACAGAATAAAGAAGGGGCTGACTTCGGAAAGGCAAAAATTGTTTCCTCGTAACGGCTACAATTTTAAATTTTTAAATGACATCGAGCCATGTAACTCAAGAAGTATGGGCCCAAAAGGGAACGCGAACTCTTGTTTTTCTTGTTATCCTCTTCTCAACTCGAATATATCATTATCCCTATAAAAATTTACTCAGCCTGTAATTATTGTGCACTAAACACGATTATAATCGTAGCATGGGCTATTTTTTTTAGAACAGATGAATATATTTATTTCATTTGACGTTCCCTTCAATAAATGGCAGAGCTATTAGTAAGAGGCATAAAGAGTAATATATGTTTAAGCTATTCAGTCCAATATTTTTTAGTTTAAATATGTGTATACTCAAACGATACGAATTTAAAAAAGTTATATATATATATATATATATATATATATATATATATTTATATATGATATGGCAGTTTTATACCACCATATGACAGGTTTTCATTTTACTCTTACTACTTCTTCACTCTAGTTGTAAGCACAAATATTTTCTCAATACAAGCATTTTTAAGTTTGAAGATCTTTTTCAAGTTCTAAAACTTGTTACAACTGTTTTAGCATTCTCCTATCATTGTACAAGTTTTAAACCATTGTAAAATTTTATAAACCTCTATAATGTAGCATGTTTATAACCGCATAAACTAAATTCTTCATTTATTTTATACATTATATAAATTTAGATATGGTAGGTTTATACTGCCTACTTTTTTAATTGTATTTTTACATTCATTATCCTAGTGGCAATTCATCTGCAACCTACTTTCTTATTTGTTTAGTTTCTTCTATATTTCTCGACCAAAAAAAAAAGTTTCTTCTATATTACCTATGTATAAAGTCTCAAGAGGAGACTTTTCCGATGGTCTCATCTGAAAAGCCCTTGAAAGAGTTAGGTGTATACTCTGATAATTTTTACTCATTTTAGTCTTGAAATAAATGTCCGCTGGTCTCATTTTTAATTTAAACTATACTAAAAATAAAATTCTAAACTTGACAATTATTTTTAAGAAAAAAGAGTGTTATTTATTGATTAAATAAATAATAATACGCATCTTTATTAATTTATCTTCCTTTTTGTATATACTCAGAAGTTATGTTTGGATTCAGGCTATGTTTGGATCATTTTTTGATTGCGTTTTTTTGTATTGAGAATATAAAAAGATATGTTGGTAATATAAAAAAGATATGCTGGGATGGGACATATATTAATTAAAAATTCTGAAAAAACTAACCAAAAAACCAACCAAACATACACCTTTTAGTAATTTTTCAGTTTTTTCTAAAATTCTTAATACTAATATATTTTGATTTCAATGTCTATTTTTTTTTTTTACATTGTCAATACACACACATCTTACTATATTAGAAACAAAAACCACACTTAAGAGAAAGTACCACCATTTGCCATGTGGCATTTCCACATCATATTTTTATTTACACATCTCCTAGATTTAAAAGGCAAATGCAGTCCAAATCCACCTTTACCTCGTATTTTGGTCAAAACCAAAAAAAAAAAAAAACCACAGGTTCATAAAAAACTCAAATCCTCATCCCCATCTCCACGACAATCGACTTCCTAATCAATTCCTTCTCCACAATAAAAAAAAAACAAATTCCTCATCAATTATTAATTGAGAATATGTGGTGAAATATATTCCTTTCCTATTAGCATGTTCAATCTTTTCATCACTTCAACTACATCCTAATCAGATAAAATTTCGACTTAAAAAGAATTCTCTTTACCTCTCCATATAAACACAAAGGGAAAAAAAAAATTCTCATTGATCTTGCTTCGGCCATTGTGATGGTGCCATTACAAGTATTAAAATTTAAATGATTTTATTTTCACAGATTATTTGTTTGACTTTTATTATTTTTTATTTTTCCCATTCAAAAATAGTATTATTACTATTATTTTTACGCGTCCATCCGTTACAGCTACCGTAGCCGTTGTCAGACAATATGATATGATTTCTCATATGGTTAGTTAGCCTACAATTTTTGTATGATTTTAGTTTTGTTTGGATTGACTTGATTAATTAGGTTTTCTTTACAAAGTGTAGTTTTTTAATTTTTTTTTTATGTTTCATTCAATTAGAGTGATTTTCTTTTTTTAATTATGGAGTCTCAATTTTTTTCGTATATGGTCAGTTATGAAGTGTGTTTTTTTCTATTTAATTGCTTTTGATTTTGTTTCATACTCCCAGTTGACCAATTATTATTATTATTATTATTTTATTTTATTTGCAAATGAAGCGCGCTATTTTTTTTTTTTTTGTGTTCGGCCTTTCAATAATATACTTTTTTGGATTTGGTTTTTGGACTTTTTTTATTTTCTCATCATATAAATAGTTCAGGTCGCTTCTTCTAACTAATTTATGGGGAAGCTTTATATGAAATTGAAGTGAAGAGGGAAGGAATGATGTTTCTACGTTTATTTGTGTTTTTATACATCATTTTTACCTACAGGAAAAAATAAATTTCTCAATTTTTAATGGACTATCTTTTACTTTCTTTTTTTTTATTTGTCATAGTGAGGTGAGTTCTTTTTTGCTATACCTTGAAACCTATGCAAATTTACATTATTTTCATTCTCATATTTGTGATCAACCAGTTTCAACAATTAACCAGTTTCAAAATTATATTTTTAATATTTTAATACCTATAAACTTTTGGAAGAAATAGTTCTAACAATTAAGCGTATACCCTTTGGAGTAAGCTTACTACAAAACTATTATAAATCTCCAAAGCTAAGTATTGATATGACACAACCAATGGAGAACATCAATAAATCATCTTACTAATATTTAAACTTATTAGGATGCTTTTATATTTTGTCTAGCATTTATTTCAAGACATATATTTGATCACGTTTATTTATATTTAACAAGTAATACTTATAAAACATTTATAAAATCTTCAAACAATTCTAAAACGTACCGGGCCAAATAAATTTTTTTTTATGCCAAATACAAACATTTCTATGATCACACTTATAAAAATTTTATAAATTCTTCAAACATTTCTAAAATATATCTTACTAAATACAAAATATATTTTTTTCCATATACAAACATTTCTAAGATATACAGATATATTGGGCCAGAGTCGCGCATTGCGCGGCCAGACATCACTATATATATATATTATAAGACTAAACTGTATAAATGGTCCCCTACAATTGTCCGAATTTAAATTTTGGTCCCTTACATCAACATATATATGGAGTGAGCCTTTACATTTCATTTTGAAACTTTTTTAGTCTCTTTTCACTATTCCGTCGCCATTTTCGTATTGATGACCGTTGACCCTACCAAGTCAGGGATATTTTCGGAATGACACATATAAGATCAAAATAACAAATGTTTAGATGGTCCCTTACAAATGTCCGAATTTAAATTTTGGTCCTCTCATTAACATGTATATGGATTGAGTCTTTATATTTCATTTTGAAATTTTTTTTTTGTCTCTTTTCACATATCCGTCACCATTTCCGTCTTGATGACCGTTGACCCTACCAAGTCAGGGGTATTTTCGGAATGACACATATAAGATCAAAATAACAAATGTTTTTATAATAAAATAGAATAAAATATTTAAAATTATTATTTAATAATAAAAAATAAATAATTTAAAAATAAAAATAAAAAATTAAAATGATTTCAAATTTCAATTTTTTTTTTCACTTCCCACCTTTGTGGGTCCCACATGCTAGTCAAATCCCCTCTTTTTTTTTTTGCTACAGCAAAAGAAAATCAACATTAAAAACCAAACTTAGCTTCACCCGTCTTTTACCTTTACCAGCAATGACTTGGTAAGAATAAAATTAATAAATGGCATTTCGGATTATGAGAATAAAAATTTTAAGGATAAAAGTAAAAGACGGGTGAAGGTAAGTTTGTTTTTTAATTTTGATTTTTTTTTTACTGTTGCAAAAAAGGAAAAATTTACTGGCATGTGGGACCACAAAGGTGGGAAGTGAAAAAAAAATTTGAAATTTGAAATCATTTTAATTTTAATTTTTAAATTATTTATTTTTTTATTATAAAATAATAATTTTAAATATTTTATTCTATTTTATTATAAAAACATTTGTTATTTTGATCTTATATGTGTCAATCCGAAAATACCCATGACTTGTTAGGGTCAACGGTTATCAAGACGGAAATGGTGACGGAACAGTGTAAAGAGACCAAAAAAGTTTCAAAATGAAATGTAAAGACTCAATCCATATACATGTTGATGTAGGGGACCAAAATTTAAATTTGGACAAATGTAGGGGACCATTTATACAGTTTAGTCTATATTATAATTCCAACAAAAGAAAACGACACTGAAAAAAAAGTTCTAAACAAAGTTTTCATACGCGTTCGTTAACTATAGTGTCACACATCATATGGTTTTATGATTAATGGGCTGAAATCAAAATTGAATATGACCGAATATTGGTGAGCAATCTCCATCATTCGATACATACGTGGACTTCTGTGATCTCTCGCATTTCAAAATGAAACTTTCACCCAATCAAGTTTGATGAGTGACCAATCTGTTTGGCCGAGGTTCACGACCAAATTGGTAGTACAAACATCACCGTTCCACCGGAAAGGATTTATGGAGACTGATATATCTCGGCGATGTAATAGTTTATTACTAGTATTTTATACTAATGTTTTCTTCTCTTGAGAAAAAAAGTGGAAAATGGGAAAAAAAAAACTACTTCTTCTGTTTTAAAATCATTTTTCAGTTTAAAATTATACTTGTAGTACAATTTAAAATAAAAATGAAAAATCAAAATGGATAATTATTTCACAACAGAAAAAATTTATGGACTTGTATGGATGATGGTTTATTTTTGTTTTGGTTTGATTTTGAGATGTGATTTAAAATGTGTCTTGAGAGAAAATCTAAAAAAATTGTTTAGATAATATTTTAATTAAAATAATAACATTATTTTTCTACCACCATCGCACCATCGCCACCACCGGCCGGCCGGATTCCCCCTCAAATTCCAGCCAACTCGCCAGAATTTTGCAGGAATCCGGCCGGTCGGCGGCGGCGGTCCAGTGGTGGCGACCGGTGGTGGAGGTGGTCCGGTAGTGGTGGACAAAAAGTGTGTAAAAATAATGTGTGAAATATTTTTTAAAAGGTGAGTCAAAATGTTGTTTGAATAATACATTGGGTTTTGTATTTAATAGGTAAAATGAGAGGTTGGCCAAACAACCACATATATATTGTATATATGTGATTCGTTTTGGAACATTTTAGAACAAATTGTATTGTTATTTTTTCGAAAGAGAATTGTATTGTTATTAGTTACTACTAGTATTTTGGTAAATCTTGCAACTCGTTTATAAAATTCCGGCTACGTTGCAGATTAAAGGTGGTTTTCTGCCAGTGAATTCTCTTGTCTCGATATGAACAGTTCAGAGGTACGAGAAATTAAGGACTTGTTTGGTCAATATTTTATTTAAGTTTTTGTTTTAGTTTTTGATTTGGATTTGAGATGTGATTTAAAATGTGATTTGAGATAAAATTTAAAAAGTTGTTTGGGTAATATTTTAAATAAAATAATAATATTTTTAGACCACCACTAGAGCACCTCCACTACTATCACCGCCGGCCGGATTCTGGCCAAAATCCAGCTAACTGGCTGAAATTTGGCCGGAATCCGGCCGGCCGGTTGGCAATCGTGGGCGGTTGGTGGCGGAGGTGGTCCGGTGATAGTGGACAAAAATTGTGTAAAAATAATTTTTGGAATATTTTTTAAAAGGTAAATTAAAAAATTGTTTGAATAGTATTATGATTTATGTTTGAGAGGTATTTTAATAAGTAAAATGAGACAAAATAGCAAAATAAAAGTTGTCCAAACAAGATCAAAAGAATGAAGGCAGTGAATTTAAACCCACGCCGTCAGGATAAGGCCATCACTCTCAACGCCTCAATTATGTCGTGCTCAAAATGTAGGACGCCCGTCCAATTTTCGAAAACTCTATCAACTTATTAAACTATAACCAAACAGAAACATCAATTATTGATGATCAAGTTGATAATTTTGAGTCCCTTAAAAAATGTTTGGCGTCCTAAACAATAATGTATTGTCATTGACTCACTCAAATCACATTGGATAAATCACGAGATATTATTTGAGAGAGAAAGAAAGAAAGATAGAGTCGATGAACAGGAAGAAGGTCGAAGAAGAAGAAGAAGATAATTCCGTCTTTTAAATTCCCCAAAAGCCATACTTTTTTCTTTTTTTTTCCCAACATCCCAAACTGAAAACTATAAATACTTCAATCAGCAGCCGACATTTTTTTTTTGTTACCAGGAAGAAGACTTGAGGAAAAGATGGTGATTCAGAGAGTTGAATTATGCATAGTACTGCTGAAACTGGTGGTGGAATTCGTGATGGTGTTCATAGAAGCTGTGAGTTCAGTTGTCCATGATTTCACTCCACAGCGTCTCTTGCCTACTCCAGGTTACATGGTTCCTGCTCCATACGTCGGCATTCTTCCTTAAAAGATTCAATTTTTACTTTTTATTTTTTGGTTTCCTTCTTGTTTTTAAGAATCCCTTTGTAGCATATTAGAAGTTGTAAATGAGTTTTTCTCTCCTTCTTTGAATTTCTCTTGGGCTTCTCGGTTGGTCTTAAATGTTCTTGGATAGTGAAAACGTCAATTTCTTGGATAAAATTTTGTAAAATTTCAGTTGAGGTTCATAGCTTTTGCAGTCTAGTTTCTTGAAACTGCTCTTGGTTCATGGATTTTGCCGTTTTCAATTGATTGATGGGGAAGAGTGTACAAAACCAATCTGCATTTTCTGTGGATTAGCACCTTTTTTTTTATGGCGTTTGCTGCAACAATAGTGTTTCACATTCTTTTAGTTCTAATTTGTGTCTTATAAATAGTACGGTTCCGATTTCTGCCTTAAAATAAGTATAAGACTAGACGAGATAAGAGATTTGCATAATTTAGCCTATAATACATGTCGACCTAATAGTTTAGGTCCTACTTCTCTTCCGAGAGCAACTCATCAAACTTTGTTCTTGATTGATGCAGATGTATCAGTTACTGTCAAGTACTATATGATATCACAGAGACACATAATTACTATTGTTGAATAATTAAAATCTGGCGGAACACAATGCAATATAGAATCATAAGAAACATTTGATCACTGTTCTGTTACTTTTATTAGACTTTCTTACATTTACAAACACAAAACGGAGTAACAACTGCAATACTAATACGTCTTTCAGAAACATCCTTCAGTTATTCCTCTTGAAATGATAAATTTGTATGTTTTCCGCCCCAAGTTTCATGAAATTACTGCGCTTTCGAGCCGAGAAAAACTTCCCCCAGTTATAGGCCTCATACTTGGGAGGATTTCGCTCGTTGATCAACTCCTCCAATGGCGCAATCCAAGTGTAGTGGGCCGGATTGAAAAAGAACGGAATGGAGAATCTTTCCCTTTCAGAATTCACCATCACCCTATGCTCCACACTCTCATATTTATCATTGCTCCATACCTTCAAAACAAAACAAGTGCCCATCATATTTCATCCACAAAATATTCAATTCAAATGCCACAGGGGGTTATAGTACTTATGCTACCTGAACAATGTCACCAACGTTAATGATGAAAGCATTTGGAGTTGGTTTGACAAGGATCCATTCACCATCAGATTTCCTCTTGACCTGAAGTCCACCAACATCATCTTGAGCAAGAATGGTTAATGCACCAGCATCCTTATGCCTACCAACCCCAAGGGCTAAATCTGGAGCAGGGCAGGGAGGATAGTGATTTAGCCTGATAAAGCTGGTTTGATCCTTAAAATACCCATCAAATCTGTCCTTTGGCACGCCTAGGCTTAAAGCTATGAGCCCCAATAACTTGAAGGACAATTTCAACATTTCTTGAGTATAATCTTCACAGACTTTCCTGAACAAAACAAATAGACATTGAATTAAGCATAACTGTAATGGGCAATTGAGTTTGGTCCAAATTTGGCAAGTACAGAAATAGATGTCAATTAACCTGAAATCAGGAGGATTTTCGGGCCATTGATTGATCAGCAATCTAACATCTTGGTCATCGGGATGATCTGAAACTGGAATAATCGCCGGATTCTCCGCAGCGAAATCGAACACTTCTTTCCAATCTCTGACGTTTTTGGTGTGCTCTGTATCATAGTATCCCATAGGGTTAACTTCATCTCTGTTCACCTTCTTCCTCTCATCTTTTGGCAAACCAAAAAACTTTCTTGACGCCGCTTCGATTCGCTCTCGATATTCGGATGGAACTCCATGATTGATCACTTGGAAAAAGCCCCATTTCTGGGATGCATCGGTTATCTCAGATATTAGTCGAGCCAAGTCATCCTCGGAAACAGAGGATTGGTTCAAAACAGAGAGGTCAATCAAAGGGATGCCTTCAGCTTCAGTTTTTGTGGGCTTAGGCCTGTGTTCTGGAGCTTGGAAGAAAGCTGGGTCTACTTCTCCCATGGCTGAGGTGAGAAAGATATTTCAGAGCTTCAGCTTATTGCTGTGGCAATGATTAATGGCGGAGAGAACTGACTTAATTTTTTTTTTTTTTACGGGGTGTCATTCAGCTTCTATATAGCCTGGTAAATGATGGAGATTCATTGAACCTGGACATTCTTAGCTAGATAGTACAAAACTTTGAATTTGGTTAATGAAAATTTACAGTCCGAATTCGATTGGTACTAACACTTTTGTTGTATTCATTTATTGTTAATTATGATATAAAAACACAGTGATATACTCCTCCTATATTTAGGTACATCTATTCTTTGGTAGGAAATAATCTACAAGTTTTATACAGAATGTCAAGGATTCGTACGCGTCAAGCTGAATTACAATAATTTGAATCGCACGCAAGCAATTGACAGGGGAACTTTTATAAATTTACTGTTCTTTTCTTATGGCAGTGCTTTGTAACTTCTTCAAGAAAAAGAAAAAAAAAAAAGATAATGCGTGGTGGAAATGATGTTACAAAGAGAAAAACAAGTTTGCTTCCGCCTCCCATGTACCATTACAGGGACTACACGTTTTAGTAGAATAAGTAATCACCTATTAAGTTTTCTGCACAACAGAGAGGAAGTAAAACTTGAATCGAATTTCTTCACCAACTGATTTCAAAGATGGAAACAAGGTCTATGGATCTGTGATTGACTGGAAATATTTGAGATAAATGATAAGCTACATCACTGATGAACTGATAGAATGTGTTTATAAAAGCCATATTTTCTCTGCCGCTGATTAGTGTCAAGCTACGAGGTAAAGCCCTGAAATTTCCCAGCCATGGTAGAGGTAGACCCAGCTTTCTTTCAAGATCCTGAACACAGGCCTAAACTCGTGAGAATTGAAGATGAAGGCATCCCTCTAATTGACCTCTCTGTTTTGAACCAATCCTCTGTATCCCAGGATGATATGGCTCGATTAGTCTCTGAAATTGGTGATGCATCCCAGAAATGGGGCTTTTTCCAAGTCATCAATCATGGGGTTCCCTCCGAATATCGAGAAAGAATCGAATTGGTATCAAGAAAGTTCTTTGCTTTACCAAAGGATGAAAAGCTCAAGGTGAGGAGAGATGAAGTAAATCCATTAGGCTATTATGATACGGAGCATACCAAAAACGTTAGAGATTGGAAAGAAGTTTTCGATTTCACTGTTGATAATCCCACAATCATTCCAGCTTCCCCTGAGCCCGATGATCAAGAAATTAGGGAACTGAGGAATCAATTTCCCCAGAATCCTCCCGAGTTAAGGTAAGTAATATTTCTGTTTTAATACATCAAGATCTGATTTTTATCATTTGATTATAACCTAACACTGATTAATTTATGTCTATTTGGCATTTTCCAGAGAGGTCTGTGAAGAGTATACGCAGGAAATATTGAAGTTATGCTTCAAGATATTAGGCCTCATATCTCTGGGCCTCGGATTGCCTAAGAATAGGTTGGATGATTACTTTAAGGATCAGACCAGCTTTCTAAGGCTGAATCACTATCCAGTTTGTCCAAGCCCTGACTTGGTCCTTGGGGTTTCCCGCCATAAAGATGCCGGTGCCTTAACCATTCTTGCTCAAGATGATGTTGCAGGACTTCAAGTTAAGAGGAAAACTGATGGGGAATGGATCCTTGTTAAACCAATACCTGATGCCTTCATCGTAAATATTGGTGACATTATTCAGGTATAGATATCATAATTTGACCAGAGATTCACAGGATATTATCAGAATAATCTGAGGTTCTGAAATGAATGATATACTGTATGCAGGTGTGGAGCAATGACAAGTATGAGAGTGTTGACCACAGGGTGATGGTGAATTCTGATAAAGAAAGGTTCTCCGTTCCATTCTTCTTCAATCCAGCTCATTATACCTGGGTTCAACCCCTGGAGGAGTTGATCAATGAGGAAAGTCCTTCCAAGTATAAGGCATACAACTGGGGCAAATTTTTCGCGACCAAAAAACACAGTAATTTCAAGAAACTTAACGTGGAGAACTTGCAAATTAACCATTTCAAGATGAAGAATTAAGGAAGTTTATGTTGTCCATGTACTTGCCTTTTCCAAATATGTGGCAGCACCGTTTTCCATAGATGAAAGAACATGTAAGAAAAGCTGCAATGAAATTAAGGAATTTGTGTTTGTATGTTGATGATTGCTCATGATCGTTGCCTAGCTTAGCTCTATGAAAAGTCACTGTAGAAGTGTCTGAAAAAACTTAATACTAAAAGTGAAAAACCAAAATTCAGCTAACAATAACACCACAGAATCGCCGTGTGTGTGGAACAGTGGAAGCTGTTGTTTTCATTCATCATATTTAAAATCACCACTCAGTAGTTTAACCGATGTATGTTATAAATAAAGTACAGATAAAACAGACGGTTTGGCTTTCGTCATCCAACCAACAACTATTTCTTCCCTTTCAGAAAAACAGCGGGAAAATGGACTCTTCATTTATCGAATGACCCTTGCATGAAAATCCATGGACTCAAAGAAGACAGTTCCTCAGAAGAGTAAACTCTTGATGTAGAGAACTAAGTAACATGTTCAACTGACAGAGCTAAACAATATCCTAATCATTACCAAACTATTTACACTAGCTTAGAATGAGAGAAAAAGCAACCACAGCTTGTGTGAAGAACCACTTAACTTTATGCAGCTGGCATCGAAGTTGAAAGAACCAGATACGATAAATGTTGAAGTCCATCTTGAATTTTGCCCAAGGCAGTGCTATGATCAGCACGAAGGTTTTCAGAGAACGAACTGGCCTTTTCTTGAATAGAATTCTGAGGAACTTCATGAGAATCAGAAGAAGCTCCTTTTATCGCCGCAAGATAAGCTTCAGCTACATCTGATATGCCTGCAAAGCAGTCGGAGGAAAGAGACGGATGAACAAGCATGTTATTGAAATCAAGAATCATCATAAACTAAACGCATGACAATCAAGCCTTTCTCCCAAAAAGACCTGTCAGCCCTAAAATAAAAACCAAATGATCTCATTCATCCTGTCATGACTAAGAATGTTAAATACCAGACTTGACGATATTTAGATGTGGTAGCGCCATTTTCCTGAAATATTTCTGTTCTTCATTTTTTGCCCCAGAGAATGTAACTTGATAAGAACTTTTCAAAGTACAACAATATGGAATGTAAAACGGATTCAAACACAGATGCGCACACAATCTACCAGATCATGCAACCTGGTTGCTTCAAACAAAATTCTACTGTAGGATATTTCTCCTATAAAACCATTCAGTGTAACATTTAATGATAACCATCGGGAAAGGACCTAGTATATATACCCAGGAAATAATGACAATTGACAAATTTAATGATGCTGAAGACAAAAACAATTAACTGCAAATAACAAAAGAAACCTGTGATAAAACTATTTGAAACAGCTTCCACATGTCCATTCATTGAATGCGCTCGAGTCCTAATGATCTTTGCTTTCTCAACAGAATCTTCAGGCCAGTCAACTTTCACAATCTCCTCATCAACATCTGGATTTTGAACTCTGTTCGCATTAGAAATAATTGACTTCCCGAGCATCAAAAGTTGAGTTACCGCAAAACAGCACATTTCTGATATCCTCTGTGTATAGAAAAGGAACATTTAGCATCAGTTTGAAACATATAATGATTACATAAGTGGTTCGGCATTTGTTCATAAGGATAACACTTTCTCAAAACAAAAGGGAACAGTTATTAGACTTCATACGTGAATGCCTTCAGAATGAAGTGAATCCAGTCTTCCAGCAGACCTCTGAACTATATCATTTGGAGTCAGCCCAGCTAAAGCATTAGCAAAACTGCAACACATAAAGCAAGTTTCAGTTTTCAAATCACATGCATAAATTCACCTTTGCAGGTGACTTTTCAGGACAGAACGAAAACAACAACAAAGTAAACCATCATTGTTGCAGGAATTTTTGGAATAATATTTCAAACCAACAGTTAAGATCATAGTTCAACTACTCATGAAAAGAGGAATAAATGCTTGGATTTTTCATTTTCTTGAGCACGAAACGTTTTGCTTTAAGCCTTTAACCACAGCTCAATCAATCAGGAAATAAGAGTAAGCAGCCTGGACAGGGAAATGACATTCAGGAAAAACACAGCTCAATCAATCAGGAAATAAGAGTAAGCGGCCTGGACAGGGAAATGACATTCAACAAAACTAATAAATAAAAGGGTGATAAAAGTACCCAGCAGCTAACTCAGCTGCCTTTTTGACACTGGAATCATGCAAGGTTTTTATCTCATCGGCAGTGCTCTCCATTCCAGCATCTACCTTCTTCCCTTTCTCGGAGTCAACACCACTTCCATCAAATTCAGAAGTCAAGTCAAAAATCTGCTGGACCTGTTTAAGTTTCCCGTCATAAACAGATTTCTGTTCAGAAGAGAGCTTTGCTTTTCTTCGGTTGAACAATAGCGCATAATGGTTGGATAATGCCTCCAACTCCTGAAACACCAACAGAAATACTCAAAACTATAATTTTAAGACAAGATATAAATAAAGACGAATACTGGAAGTTGGTTTAACCTCCAATTGCTCTGGACCTCCATAAATGTAGAAGCATCTATCAAAAGTAACTTCCTCGGGATACTGATCATCATCTATTCCTCCATCCTCTCCAGATCTTCTATTGGTGTCCATACCAGTCTCTGATATAAGAAGATCCAAAGTCTCTTTTCCAACTAACTCAAGCACTTGCATGCCCTTCGCAGTAAGAGCTTTTCCACTCTGGAAGAAATACCATAATCAGAATTTGTACAAAAACAATAAGTAGGGGGGTAAAAAATTGGGTAGTACCGACCTCAATGATCGAGGGAGTAGACCCAGGTAAACTACCATGTTGAACTGATTCAGCAAAACTTAAAGCAGAATTCTCGAGCCTGATGACATAGAAGATATACAAATTAAATGGACAATCAAATGCAAGCCGGGAACCAAAAAAAACAGAAACATATGAATTAACAATGATAGGCCATCAAATATGGAAGAACATCAACAATTCCAATAAGCCAAGTCTTTTATAAATAAAAACATCAAATAATTCTAAACAATATCAACTTTAAGTCATGATTTTTTGCAAACAAACGAAGATGTAAAACATTCCAAAGGCAGAACCACCAACCCAGAAAAGCATTTAAACAAAAGACCAAAAGGCTCCCTACTGTTGTCGAGGGAGGCCAAGGTCAAATCCACCACCACAAAAGGAATCATACTGACATACAGTGACATGGACAACTAAAACTGAGTGAGATATTAACATACTGGTGTACTAAGGTTGAACCTCCTTTGAATGCATTTCCTAATGCTTGCCATGCCCCAGAAGCAAAATTTTCCACTTTGTCATCTAGAACTTTTAAACCCTGAAATGAAACGAACACTTGAATGTAACCATACTTGATGGTATGTAGCAACATCTGAAAGCCAATTAAATGTGAAACTCGGTTGCAGTAATAAATAACATATACTTTACATAAGTGTCCAAGAATAAACACAGAATTACATGCTCACCGGGCAAAGATGAATCATGATCAACCAAAAATAAGCACTAAAACAACTAGCAAGCATCACTTGCCTGGCCAAAGAGAGAATCTTCACTGGCCTTCTCTAGTTTCTCAAGGGCTGCCTTTCGCCGCTTGTCATTTTCATCCTCGCTTTCCTCTTCAACTGCTGGTGCTTTGTTATCATCCTCCTTGGAAGATTCAGAGTCTTCGGCAGGTTCAAATTCTGCAATCGTTTTAGCCGCTGTTTTAGCAGCCTCAACGGCCTGCAACCATACAATTAAGATAAAATATTAAAAGGAAAACAATAAAACTATTTTGATAAACAACAGAGAATGATAATACAGGACCAGCCTGCATCCCAGAAATTGGGACAAAGATTAAACCAGAAGAGGTACAACAGAGCTTCACTTATTAGAAACCCAATTAAGAGATTGAAACTATATTAGTAATGAGCTAATTGTGCAACCTACGTCAAGCAAATTTAAGAACGCTTAAACCTTTCACCATAAAATCATTCCATTCAAACATTAGAGGCTACAGTACCAGGAACTCATTCGTCGAGCTCAACATTACAAATTTCCACAATTACAAAAATCTCTGATTAAGGCCAATACAATAAGTGAACCTGCAAGTTAAACAAGCATTGGAAAATCTCTACCGAGAAGGAATAGCCTTAGTTTCGAGGCGTGCGCACGAAAAATAATTTTTAAATAAAAAAAAAATTGAATTGATAACATACATTGCGAGAGATCTCTTCAGCAGCCTCAGTAGCGGCCTTCTGAAGATCTGAGAGATAAGACAATGGAGAGAATCCCCAGCCACCCCATCCTCCTCCTCCTCCTCCACCACCACCACTACTGCCGCCGCCAACGCCGCCGCTATCCTTTCGCAGAAGAGGTTGCTCCACCGCTGGTGCCGCAGTTTCTACTTCTTTAATTTCTCCTTCAGGCTTTATCTCCTTCTCCGCCATTAGATTTCTCGGAAATGGAAACTTATTGTTTCGCGAATTTCTCGTCAAGTGCACTCAAGAGTAAGACGATTTCTCGATGAAGAATAAGCGGTGACTGCCGCAATGTGGTTGATTTTGTGAACCCCGGATCTTGATTCAACTGAAAGCCTCTAGAAAGCAAAACGACGCTGTTGTACCGCCTAACGATTACATAACACGCGACGTCGTACCTAAATGTCAACCAATAATTAATTTTTTTAAAAAAAAAAACTTATAATAAAAAAAGTTACTGTATTAAACTTTTGATTAAATCTAATACACTATTTTAACCATTTATCTCGAAAATTGCTTCAAATCTTCATTTTTTCTGTACGTGATTCCATATGTTTGACTTCTTAATTCACTTATAGTATTTTCTAAAAAAATGCAAATGATATATTTTTAAAAATTAGGAATTACCCCTGTAATTCTGTCTTACCAAATAACTTTTGATTGAGATCCCTAATCTTATTAGGATCTACATTTTCTTTCAATTTTTGGGTCAACCAAATTATTTTGCTTTCTAGCTAGGTAATAGTAAGACTCGCAATTATGATAATAAGCTCCTAGTTACACCTTGCAAGGTGTACCTAGTATGTATAACACGCGCCACCAACTAGATAAAAATGACATATTTACGAAACATGCCATTGACGGATTTACACGCACCAGTTAAATCCCCTGATATGCACGACTTTTAGATTTCAAATCCCCATAACGCCATTTTCTCCTAATTTTCGGCCATTACCAAAAATTAACTTCCATTTTGTTTCAATCCATTCCATCGCAATCCAAAAAAAGCAGAGAAACCCAAATATCCATTCTTGCGGCGACACATCCACAGAAGCTGCCGTCGGTGGAACTTCCAAAGCCTGAATCAGAACGTTCATCAGAACCGGTGATTCTGCTGACAATTTACTATACTAAATATGAGGACTAAAGTAAATTCTGAACAAATTCATCTGTTTTCCTGGGTTAATCTAATGTATAGAGTTTGATGAATATTATTTTTCTTTAAAATATTCATGTAGAGACCAGTCGCTGAGAATTCCGGACCCAGTATGAGCAAATCGGATGATAAAGGAGAAGCCAGAAAATAGAACTATTCTCTTCAACAATTGGTGTGATTTTTTGTTTCGGCTATGTGGATCTGATGTATGTTCACGCGGTTGACTATGTTTGTTCATCAATTTCATAGATTTTTTCATCTCTGAGATGATTTTTTTATATAAATTAGTAGATCTGAGAAATATTCATAAGTTTGTAAGAAAAATTCATTGTTAAAATTCTCATATTCATTAAGTTGTTTTGGTTTGTGGTATTCATTATTAGATCTGGGAATTATTCATCAGTGTAGTATAATTATTTATTGTTAAAATAGGCAAATTCATTAAATTGTGGCTAGTTTTTGGTATTCCTCATATTGGTAAATTGTACCCGTTAATTTTCTTCATCAGTTTGGTAGTTGGTATCCATTAGATTGTATTGTTGATTTTATTCCATTCGATATTCACCCGTAAAGGACTTTTATTCATTGGTTCATCAACGATTATTGATTTTCCGATTTCATAATCCGAAAGGAATAAATGGTATATCATCATCGAAAAATGTGTATTCATAATCTATGTATAGTCATTCATTATTTCAGAATTAGTTATTCATTAAGTTTGTGCTACACTTGATACGTGTATGTCAAGAAACAAACTAAAAAAAATTCATCACATATAGCAAGTTATTCATGGAGTTTGTTAACATATTGTAGCATTAGCGAAGAAAATCAAACAGAATCAGAACCCGAAAGAAGCATTAGCGATGAACAACAATCAGGAGCCGATAGAAGCAGGATATCTGAATTGACAAGAAACCAAACCAAAATAAATGTAGACATAGAGATAGAGGGCAAAGCAGACCAGGGGGTGACACTGATGTTATTATTCTGAAAGCCGGTGAAAAAAGGTACGATATTTCAGTTGTACATTTTTTCTTTATTGTTATTCATCAAATACAAGTTATAAATCATGATCCATTTTTCATAATGTGGTTATTAATCTATAAACAACAAAATATTCATCAATACCCAATCCATATGCATCATGTTATAAGTAATTTTTTATGTATCAGTGTACAAAGTTTAACAAAACGGAAAAGGGTTTTTGCTGCAAACCTTTGCAGCTTGATGTTCTGTATAACTTTTGCAGCTTACATATCTGGATCGTGTAGTACCAAATTCAAAATCTAGGAAAGCGCAAAGATTTCCAGTGCTTGCACATTGGTCAAAAGGGGATGTGAAAAAAAGATCAGATGTGAGAGAAGAGGGGATGGTTTCGGAAGTGATATTATACATAAAAAGTCCGTAACACCAAGACAAAACCCTCAACAGCAAAGTCATTCCGAACCATCCTTAGCAACAGGCGACCTAGAAGGTACATTTTCCAATTAGGTAATATTTAATTGTATACATTTCATGAATATCAAACGGACTAACGATGAATGGATATTTTATAGGAAATGAGTTTGGCAGAAAAATTTCAACTTATAATCATAAATGATATGGGTCCACTGCTAATTAAGCTTGGAGGGTTATTCGAGGAGGCCAAATCTGCAGGGCTTAGTAGCGACGTGCATCCCTCCAGAAAATACAAGAAAACCTACATTCTTTATCATGACTATAGTTATAATAAAAACTATCTTCTCTCTCTTTCCTTTCCTCCAACATATCCAACAACTTGTTCGTATCACCACCTTCTCATTTAACACGTTCATGAGCTGCAACCTTATTTCTGGCATCTGTTATAGTGTAGCTTAGGTTAGGAACACTTTGTGCTTGATCCTTGAGAACTCCGAAATCACTAGTAAGGCCAATACAACTATCCTTTAATTTGGACAAAAGCGTAACATCATTCGTTGGAACTTCTCTTTGAGAACGAATCAAATGCCTTCGTCTTAAAGGAACAAGGTCATGATAATGATCAGCCACATGATTCAACACCTTCCATATCCCCTCATCATCTATCCGCACCACAACCATCGTCTTTCAACCAACACGCGTATCCGTCTTGGTATAGCAAAGACCTTTTGAAATTTTCACCCCTTATTTGCTACAAGTAAACTATTTCCAATAAACAACACCAGACTTGGCCCTTTTCCTGTCTTTGAACTTTTTAATTGAAAATCCGATGAGCTTTGCGTAAGCATTATAAGCATCAAATGCTTCTTGTTCAGAGTTAAAATATCGTCCAATTAGCACATCATCTGTTGAACATTAAAAAGGTTATTCATCAATGAGTTATTGCTAATCATTAAATTACTTAAGATACACATCAGTCAATCGACAAATTATAATAACACCGGCGAAAACACAACACTGAGGCCATGTTCATCAGTAACCATACGTTATGCATTACCTTAAGCATATATATACACCAGTAACACTAATACACCTTGTATTTTACAAATTTAAATAATATCATAAATCATTGATTGTATAACCGCACGTTATTCATTGTTTAAAGGTACATTACTCATTCATCAGAAAACATTCACAAACAATCTCCTCAGCATAAATATCCATAGGGATATTCATCATACATGGTTCATTGTTTATTAACAACGAATGCAACATTCATTTAAAAAACAATAACATTCGAACAAAATGCTGATAGTACCTCCTGTAAAATCAAGATCTTGATCATTGTATATAACCAACGATCTATCGTCACCAACAATTGATGAAGAAACATGATCAAAATCATCGATTACTTCTACTTCATCTGAATTCATATTACCATCCAAAGCAGCAACTTCAATTGCAAAATCGGGAACTTCTTCCTCATATATCTAATCATCATCGCATGATTCCGTTCTAATGCAAAAATCTTCACCCTCCATCGTTAGAGACTTTTGTTATTGAAAACTATTTTCGATGAATTTAAAACAAATTACTCTGATATGGGTACCATTATTGAATGAATGAGTGATTTTCATGATAACGAGAAAACAAAATAACCGTTCAAAATTTAAAACTGAGCGGAGATCATGTTTTTGTGATCACATAATTAATCCGGTAATATTGAAGTTTAAATGCACGAGTGGATACAATAAAATAGGACAAAAATTCTTACTTTTTTTTGCCAAAATTAAAACATACACTTCCTAGGAGCACCGTGTTAGGAGCTCCTAGGAGCTTGTTATTATTTGCCGTAAAAACTGGCATCAGATTTAGAGCAATTGAATTTTATTTTTATTAAAATCAATTAATGTTCGGTCAAGGCTCAAGAGTCCAGATGTAAAAAAATCCAATATGCTTCCCCATATTTGCTGACGGTTTATGACCTTTTTAGTTTTTTCGGCTCATATATAGGTTTGGAAATTGGAGCTAACGCTATAAACTTAGCTTTCGATACAGAAAATTAATTTGGTGAAGATGATCCAATCCTCTAGTGAATTCATTAATCAATTGCCATATTCTTACGTAATGCATTAATTTGAAGTAGTGACACTCATTAAATATATTTGAAGTGACGCTCATTAATTAAACGTATTGTTCATTCACATTTCAACTTGATTGAATTTAAACAATACTTCCTCCTTATTATAAGACATTTTGATTTCGTCCTAGGTTTCATATAGGATGTCTTTTTAATTGAAATAAAAATCTTAAAAATATTTCATAATCATTAGGAGAACAACGAATGTGAAAATATATTTTTAAGATTTTTTTTCCAATTAAAAAATATCCTAAGGTAAAACTAAGACGAAATCAAAATGCATTATAATAAGGACCGGAGATAGAGTATACAGTAATAAAATGTGGAACAAATTGTGAGTAATAAAATTGATCGAGTAATAAAAAAAAGGAGTTTACAATGTAACGAGCTCTATTATAATTCTAATGATCTAGCTAACCCGTTTCTCGATGAAGTCTCTTAGTAGTTCAGTGTTCACAAAAAAGAAAGAGAAGAGATCATACATTTAAGTTTAGCATAAATTAATGAAGCGAGAAGATGATTCGGAGATTAGACAATGTACGAATTCTTCTTCCTGCTGAGTTTTGAATTTACAGAGAGTTTTGTGTTTTGCTTCTGTTTTTTTGCGCGTCAATCTACGCTGCTAGTTTGTGATAAAAACATGGTATTTCACTAGTACAATTTCGAAGTTGTTGATTGATTAAAACTCTTCTTTAGTAGCCCTGGAAAATTGGTGGTGGTGGTGATGCATACTCAGCGCCCAAGTTTGGTGGAAGGATGACATCTTCGAATGTTGGTGGTGGTGGTGACAGCACAGGAGCAGGAGGAGGAGGAGAAGGAACCGGTGTTGGTGGTGGCGGCGGTGGTGAACGGACTGGTGGGGGTGGTGAGAACACTGGCGATGGTGGTGGTGGGGAGAAAACCGGTGGTGGTGGTGAGGCCACTGGCGGTGGTGGTGAATGGACTGGTGGTGGTGGGGAGAAAACTGGTGGAGGTGGTGAATGAACGGGCGGCGGCGGTGGTGGTGGGGAGTGGACTGGTGGTGGTGGGGAGAAGACTGGTGGAGGTGGAGAATGGACAGGTGGTGGTGGGGAGACGACTGGTGGAGGTGGTGAAGCGACCGGAACTGGTGGTGGTGGTGGGGAATGGACTGGCGGAGGAGGTGAGGCCACTCTTGGTGGTGGTGGGGAGAACACCGGTGGAGGAGGAGGTGAGGCCAGTGTTGGTGGCGGTGGTGAATGGACTGGAGGCGGTGGTGACGGCACTTTAACAACAACAGGTGGGGGAGAGGAAACTACCGGAGCCGGTGGAGGCTGCACCGGTGAACTTGCCTTTGGAACCTTGGGTGTTGGCGGTACAACAACCTTTGGTGATGGTGGAATTGGAGTTACAGGTGAAACCCTTTTAGGTGGATGATTTGGTATCGGACTTGGTGAAGGCGAGCTCTTAGGAGGACTTGGTACCAGTGCCGGAGCCTTTGGAACCGGTGCCGGAGCTTTGGGAGCCGGGGCCGGAGCCTTTGCAGCCGGTGCCGGAGCTTTGGGAGCCGGGGCCGGAGCCTTTGCAGCCGGTGCCGGAGCTTTGGGAGCCGGGGCCGGAGCCTTTGCAGCCGGTGCCGGAGCTTTGGGAGCCGGGGCCGGAGCCTTTGGAGCCGGGGCAAATGGTGTGGGTTTGGGTGAAGGAGTTGGAGATGGAGTTGGTTTCTGTTTAGGGGGATTTGGTGGGCTAGATTTTGGTGCAGATGGACGTGAAGGTGTTACCGGAGCTGAATTTTTGGGAGGAGATTGTTTGGGGACCGGAGAAGGTGAAGTTGGGTAGTCAGGTTTGGAAGGAGTTGGTTTTGGTGATGGAGCTGGCATTGGTTTTGAAGGATGAGAAGTAGTTGGTGGTTTCTGTGGGTCGTCGTGTTTGGGTGCGGACTTGCTCGGTGATCCTCGGCAACCATCTTTAGAACAATCCACCGGACGGCTTATCACCGGGAAACAAACCTCCTTTGTTTTCTGATCTTTCTTTGATTCCAAACAATTGTCTCCGTCTTCCACGATCACACCGCCTGATGATACACAAGTGCTGTCCTCATTCTCAAAGTAGTTATGAGAGAATGAGATTGATGTCACATTAGGCAATGTACACAATTCCTCGGGAACATTTCCTGTGAATTTGTTCTTGGAAATGTTGAAGGCTTCAACGCTTTGCAAGTATTCTATACCAACCGGCAATGTCCCAACGAATTTGTTGTTGCTGATGTCGAACACCGTCGCATTCCCTAGAAGGGTGATTTCTTCTGGCAAACAACCGGAGAAATCATTGTCGGAGAGAATGACTTCGTCCAATGTGTTTGTCATGTTTCCAATGCTCTTTGGAATGCAGCCACTGAATTTGTTCTTTGCCACCACAATCACTGAAGCTGGAGAGTTGCCAAAGTTTTCGGGCAAATGGGAGCTGAACCTGTTGTGGTTGACGAAGATGGCGTCGATGGGCTTGTCGAATAGTGCTGGTGGCAACGCCCCTTCAAATTCGTTGAACCTAATGTCCAAGAAATTGAGTTTTGGCAAATCCAAAACCACATGTGGGAATGGCCCGACGAAACGGTTGTTGCTGACATCCACCTCGTCCAGGAGCTTCAACTTGGAGATGCTCTTTGGGATGATCCCGCAGAAACGGTTGGAGTTGAGATGCAAGAGACTAATGTCTGTCAGCAATCCAATCTCCACGGGGAGGTGGCCGGCGAGATCTCCGTGGTTGAGATCGATGCCAGCCACGACGGTGGTCTTGGGGTCGTCGAGCGACGGCGCGCAGAACACGCCGTTGTAAGCACAAACATCATGACCAACCCAATTGGCTGTAAAGTTTTTTGGGTCAGAATAGATTGTAGTTTTCCATGCCTGAAGAGCAATATAAGCCCTTTTCAGCCTGGGGTTTTCAAAAGTAATGTTAAGGTCAAATTCATATTTGCTGCCAAGAACATCGACATCAACATCGAAATTCAAGAAATCGTTCTCCGCGGCGAGCGTCAAGAGCTGCCGGCGGGCAATGTAAGCCGCCTCGGCATCCGTCAATGCTAGAGAAACAGAAGAGAAATGGGAGAAGGAGAGGAGGGAGACGAGGAGGAAGCAGCCCAAGGCCTTCATTTTTGGAAGATTATTAACCATGGTTCACCACCTTGGCATAAGGCCCAAGGCTGCTGATTATAGTGACACCAAAAACAGGAATGAGGGTGTTATATGGAGGGTTGAGAGAATAAATGGTAGAAAAAGTGGAGTTTTGAGGCGTTTGATAAAATGAGACCATCCGAGTTTACCTCCAAAGATTGTGGAGTTCTTGTAGAGGTTTCTTCAACAACTGTTTAAGGTTACTTTTTTTAAAGACCATTGCTCATAAATCGGGATCATTGTATGGATGGGAAGAATGTGGGAAAAATTAGAAAGAATGAACGGAAATGACCAAGTCTTCAGTAAGTACACTTTTTGATTAGCAATGGCTGGGAAATTTGCAAACCATTCTATATGTTGTTGTTGCGTACGTATGGACTTGTAAATAGTTTATAGTTTGTTCTATATTATGTGTGTTTTTTTTTTCTTTTGTTTTTTTTTTTCAAACATTTTTTGGTTCTAATTATATGGCTGGCTTGTTCGTTCCCTATTACAACCTGTCCAATTCGTTTAGTACTAAAAAGAAAAACAAAAGGACACAAACCCACAATTAAATGTACTCAATTTACTATTTGGTTTAAAATGTTGGAGCTAAAATGATGAAATGGTGTTTTTTTTTTTTTTTTATGAAAACAAATTAATAAATTGTTAAAAATAATGTAATTTTTTTATTGGTTACACATAGCATTACCGTCTTGAAGTAGTTTAAGGTACATAACTTAATTGGTTACAAATTTTATTACATTTAGTAAATCATTTGTATCAATCACATTTGGTAGCTTGAGCTCCAACGAAGCTTAATCTATGTAGAACATGACTTTTTGGTTTAAAAGGAGTTCGGAATTAAGAAATGCCCAGATGTTGTCAGAATTAACGAAGAAGACGAAGCCACTTACGGTTGTTCTGTTTATCTTTTAAATCTTAGTTGGGGTTTTCTGATGTCAGTTAGATGATTATTATAGTTATATGCAAAGTCAAAGACGACGACAGGAAGTTATGAACAATGATGTTAACTGATCTGCATTGTTACTTTTAATCTTGATTTGCATCACAATGAAAATTTTTAAAGATAATGTATTATACTCCAGTAGCTTTGTACGAATTGAAAAATGGCTTCTTTTGAGATTCAGAATTTAACTCAGAAACTAATGGATTCTGTCCGGCCTAGTCCACATATGGATCATGAACTCTACCAAGCTGCTGAGTCTGGCAATTGGGAAGCTATCAAACAGTTTTCTGGAGACCAATATATTCAGAAAACTGGTAAATGGGAATACTCTTCTCCACGTTCTGGCACAGGCTGCTGATTTCTCTGCATATGCAGTTAAACGTATACTTGCAAGAAAACCCAATGTTGCTTTCATAAGAAACATGAATCAAGAAACTCCACTTGTTATTGCCTCGAGAAGAGGTCTCGCCGATGTTGTTCAGGTACCTTTTTTGGTGTAAAGTGTACTAATCCGCTCCAATCTCTATGTCTGGCTATAGGATTGGAAGATGAGACGCAGGATGAGAAAACAGCACTTCTTGAGGCTGTTAGGTTTGATGGGTTCGACGTTGTCAAGATATTCGCGGAAGAAATGCCTGAAATGTTTGGAGAGTTTGTGGTCTCATCCTTCTGGTTTCTGATGCAAATTGTCATACCAGTGCGAATTTTTGAGAAAAATCAAAGATTTGTCAATGAGAGTCCTCTGTACATGGCGGTCGAAAAAGGGCATATTGACATTGTAACTATGATTCTGTCCACTGTCAACTCAATGGCTTACCAAGGTCCTGAAGGAAGAACGGCCTTACACGCTGCAGCTGCCCGAAATTCACCTGGTAATGTTCTTAACTAAGTAGACACTTCTTTAATTTTACTAGCAGTGACTTGGACTGATAGAATTTTACCAGTTGTTCTGTTTGATTTTTTTTATTTTTTTTAAGTGTTATTAGCTGTATTTGTGGATTCTGCTTCTCTCAGGTGAATTTTCTCGCCCGTTCAGGTTACTTGAGGTTCAAATTCTTCTAACAACTGTAAATGTTGTGTGAATCCAATGTTAATTGTGGAGTCATCATGTTGATCACATCATGATATGAATATAGGAGTAATCTGATTACCTGAGTTTCAAGAACTGCATTGATTCATGGAGGACATGAACCTTTACTCTTTTAAGTCAATAAAAATTAAGACAATGACTTGATGCTCCTATGTCCTACACAGAGTGTGTTGAAATGGTGTTGGAGAGAATGCCTGATCTCGCGAAGAAGGTGGATGTGCACGGATGGACCGCGCTACATTGTGCTGCAAAGTTCAGCCATAGGGAAAGTGTCAAATTACTGTTATCCATAGGCAAATCTGTAGGTTATATTGTGGCGAAAAAGGATGACTCCAAGACAGCTCTTCATGTAGCCTGTAATTAGTGGGCATCTAAGTGTAGTACAGGAAATCCTGTGGCACTGTCCTGATTGCTGGGAAATGATGACTAATAAAACCCAAAACATTCTCCACCTTGCTGTTGAAAATGATCAGAAAGAAGTGCTTGAATTCATTTTGGAAAGATCTTGGGCTTTTGAACTTAAAAATAGAAAGGATGTTTTCGGGAACAACTGAAAAGCTAGAAGGTTATAATCTTGTAAATGACCCTTGTGTTGATACAAGTGCCTACAACAAGAAGGGCTTAACTCCATTAGACCTGGTTACAGGAGAGACTAGACAGTGCACATCAAGGCAGGTAATATTCATCATTTCAATGTTTCAGCTTGCTCTGGCGGAAGTTCTTCAGAAAATGCACAGAAAGTTCTATTGACTGATGAGTAAAGTTCATAGAAAGATTGATTTAACAGTGTGCTTATTTCGATTCATTGAATTTCAGATTTCAATTAGGGATGAGTTAGTCAGGGCAAATGCGACTTCAAGTTTGAAGAGGGTATTCCCTGAACCGGATGAAGCATGGTCAAGTAGGGAAGATAAGAATGCGAAGACGTACTTGGTTGTCGCGACACTGATAGTCACGGTGACTTTTGCGGCTGGAGTTTCCGTTCCAGGCGGATATGACGTTACAAAACAGAACGAAGGCAAGGCGGTTCTAGGAAAGAAAGCATCGTTTATCGCGTTCATCGTCACAGATTCAATGGCAATGATGCTCGCAATTGCTGCAGTAGTTGTGCAATTTGAGGTTAAAGAAGAGGGGCATGTATCAGAAAAAATGAAGCTACTCCGCTGGAGTAAGCTTAACATCGCAATTGCCATGACATTGATGGTGATGGCATTCTTGGGTGGTCTGTATGCTGCGATACCTTTGCCAGGCATCAAGATTTACATGATTTTTTTTATTTTTTTTAAAAAATTGGATGGCCCGATGAGAGACCTTCCAGTAATAACCATCCTTATCCTAATCCCTTAATCATCTCACCCAACCCTCCCGCCCCTCAAAATTTACATGATTGTTGTGGGCGTAATGGTTGGTCTTCCCATACCCGCGTACGGTGTTTTTCTATTAAGGAAATCCGGAATAGAAAATTCGTTAAGTTACAATCCAGTTTCAAACAATGGTTCAACTCTTCTCCTCCAAATTGTGAAGTCATGCTCGCATTAGTCAGTTTTTCGTGCTTGTATTAATATTGAAATTGACTTGTTATTTTTAAAAACAATTTCGTATATAGATACAATAATATTAAATAAATATTAGATGACTACCAGCCGACTTAATTGGAGATCCAATAATATTAAATAATCATATTATACATCAAAATGTTTGTAAGACACAATTGGAGAAGAAGGCAAGGAACTTAAGTCACAAAACCATTTACAAGCGCAAGGGCTAAGGGCAGAGATAATTTGCACTCCACATCATATGCTGGATTTTTGTGATGTGTGTATGTGCGTGTGTTTTTTTTTTTAATTTACTGCTGCCTCTGTTAAACAAAATATACTATAAAATTGTGGGTAAAGCTAGAGTCCCATTCACAATTTTGAGGGTACGGTCCCGTTATTTCATTAATAGCTATTAGATCAGTTTAAGTTAATTACAACCATAGAATTTGCATTAATTGAAAAAAATAAAAATAAAAAAAATTACAAGCAACCTGTAACTATTTAAGGTATATAATTTTATTAGAAATCTTCTCCTAATCTCTCTATCTTTCTTTTCCCTTCTCTCACGCTGCTTTTTTTTTTTAAAAAAAAAAATACCGTGCACAATTTCATATTCTTACCATAAAATTGATGAAAATTGCATATTTCGTTTTCAATAAATCATGTCATTTAATTTGTTGGTTGTTGTTTTTTATGTTTACCAATCCAATCTTTTTTTTTTTTTGATTCCATAAAATTCTTAGAGGTTTTGGAATAAGGGAGAATGGAAGAAGATGAAGTGGTTTTAGATAAATGAGAATATTGCAATATTTTAAAAATTTAAAAGTAAAACATTTAAAAATAAATCAAAAGGTGCGTACATCTTTTTTAATTTTTTCTTTTGCAATTACCAACAATAACTCATCAAGAGAGTTTAATTTTCCGAATTTACATCTTGAATTGTTGCATAAGATGGCGTAATTATCCTATTTAGAGGCTCAATTTAGGTGATCAATGTACTTTCGTTTTTTATATTTTAATATTTTTATTATTATTAACACATAAATGGTAGAGATAATTAGCACAAATTTCTGCAATAAATCTCAGCTTATTTAAAATAGAATTTGACCATTGTTTTTAAGTGTGCAATTATTTCTTGTCAAGTGTGCATCTTTTGTAAAGAAGGGCACACTATTATTTATCTAGATTGTAAAACTTCTTTTGTTGAGAGTGCAATACATGCTAACAAAGGTTCAATTCCTAGTTGTGCAGTGTACAATACTTTTTTTGATAAATGTACATTTCTTATATATTTATTATTATGCTAAAATTAGTTCTAATTGTTGATGATGTGCAAAAAGTAACTTATATAGTAGATAGTGCAATTTTTTTTTTTAATTTTTTTTAAGGAGATGCGTAATCATGTATAAATACTGGTGCAATTCTTAATGAGAAAATGTGGAATCGATAAAACTAATTAAGAATTATGTGCAATCAATAAATTAATTGCTTACAAGTAAACATACGATTTGTTTTTTTCTTGAATGTACAATACTTGTATGATTATTATTATATTAAGAAAAAAGAAAATGTGCAATGCATGCCGTTACTAAAATTTGATAATAATAATTTTAAATTGATAATTTTTATTCTTTATCCTTACTCGTATATATTTGACCTTGGGTATTGAAGTGTAAACAGTGTCACTATTCTAAAAATGACACTCATAGTAGTCGATTTAAAAATATTTAATTTAAGATTACAAATTTTCACAAGAAAGGTTGTTCAACATTCTTATAGGCAATCTTTTTTTTTTATATATATGTGAGATAACATATACACAAATATGTCATGTTCAAAATTATATTATTATGTTAAAAAATTTCAAAAATGTTGCAAATAAAATAATATTATTCAAAATAACCCATTAGTACTTGCTTAGTAAGGGTTATAAGAAAATTCTAAATAAAAAAAATAAAATGACTAAATAAAACTTACATAAGAAATGGTGCAATGTTTTTTTAAGCCAATGTACAATTATGTATAAATATAAGTGCAATGTCTATTGAGCAAATGCACAATCACATGTAGATTTTTTTGCATTGTTACGGGGAAATAAGAAGTTTAATTAAGAATTATGGAAATTTATAGCGTAATGCAATTATTTAAAAGTGAAGGTGCAATGTAATTTACTTGAATGTGCAAGTGCAATGCTTAGTTGTCTATTATTAACTTACTATAAAAATAAAAAGAAGCAAAATATGGTGCAATTAATAATTAATGAATTACGTGCAATGTTTTATAAACTAATGAGAAATAATATATAAATATTTGTGCAATACATATAATGAAAAAAAGAAATTTAATTATTAATTAATGATGATTTATTATTTTAAATATTGAAACTTTTCTAAATTATTTAATTTTTAAACTTTGGTTAGAGAGGAAGAATTCAAGAAGCTTTTGACTGCAGGACTGACAAGCATCATGTTGCGATTGGAATTCTGTTTTGCCTGAACGCCAAAGCCTAATTGCTCTCACACACTTTTTGCAGTAGTAGGTATCAAAACTGACAGGAAATTTCTAATCCTATGAACTCAACAAAAGAGCTGCGAGATTTTTGGCATGCAGTTCATTTGTCCTGTTACAAGGAACACAGTCTAGTAACCTACTTTTTGGTGTCGTAAAGCTATATATATGACTCTTTCTCTCCTCTGTTTTCTATTGAAGTTTATAACTTCAATTTAGTTTTCGTTATGGTGGGATATTATCCTGCACAAGCAAACTTGGTCGCGGATGCTTTAAGCTAATTGATATCAAGCACTAAAACCTGGAAATGAACAGAAAGAGAAAGGAAATAGTCAATCACAATATGGCAGAATGCAGGGATGTTTTCTTGTATCAGAGTGTATTTTCTCAATTACTAGCATTTCGGTCAATTGTAACTTGTAGCACCAATATCCATCAGGGGGCTGATTATTTGGCAATCTTCCTGTTTTCACAGCCAAGGTAATTCACCACCAAATGCGTATAGATTCTTCATGATGAAGTAATGAACTACAAAATGTGAAAAGGACACGATTCCTAGCTTTCCGCAGTACTTCAATAGAGGTTGTAAAGGTGCTCTATATAGATACACAATAATTACAATACGAATTACAAAAAAAAGGACAAAATATATATGTAATAATAGTTGTAAAGGTGCTCTATAGAGATACACAATAATTACAATACGAATTACAAAAAAAAGGACAAAATATATATGTAATAATAGTCATCATCATCAAGAAAACTAAAACTACGACAATAATTACAATACGAATTACAAAAAAAAGGACAAAATATATATGTAATAATAGTCATCATCATCAAGAAAACTAAAACTACGACAAGAGGAGGGTGATTATCCTGATGATACTGAGGAAAGATCACTGGGTGACATAAATTCCTCTCTTCGCAGTGTTGCCTTAACCAATCTTTCCCAGTTGTCATAAATTCTGGACATTTCTGTAATTAATGAAGTCTCTACACTCTATGAACACACTATACCACTATTGAGAATTCCGTGCAAAATATGTTCAGCTCTGAGATCAAATTTCAATAAAACTGAAAGGTTCATGCTCAGGAAGAACTACCCAAGAAGCTTCAACGGCCCCCAGAAAACACGTTAATGAATTGACTCCAGGTCCTTTGTGCAACTAAACTTAATTTGGAAGCTTTCTTGGTAATTACTACTACAGGCACTATTTGTATGTTTTTATCTTTCTTGGTAATTACTTCAACACCTTTGTAACCTCTATTTTTGGCCATTTTCTGGGCTGAACTCCGATTGTGTATTTGTGTTGACGTTGTTACCGCAGATAACACCAAACAAACACCTGGGTTTTTATTTTTTTTTTCTTTATAGTATAAAATATCAAGCCTTTTGGTCAGAGAGACTGGCACTTCGGACTAAAAACTACAGTAAAGAGATGGTTAATTTCCCGGCTTCCCAAACATTGCCGAATCAGTACGATTATGGAACAGACAGATATGAATGAATCAATGAACTTTTCAGGACATCAGATCCGCAAGTGCTAAATGAACCATTATGGATTCCCTGACCTCTTCTACAACACCTGTAATCTTTCATGACTATTGACTAATATAAAACAGAAACTGAAAATACTCATGAAAAGAGGCATAAATGCTTGGATTTTTCATTTTCTTGAGCACGAAACGTTTTGGTTTAACCACAGGTTCAAAAGAAAAACACAGCTCAATCAATCAGGAAATAAGAGTAAGCAGCCTGGACAGTGAATGATATTCAACAAAAACTAATAATAAAAGGGTGACAACAATACCCAGCTGCTAACTCAGCTGCCTTTTTGACACTGGAATCATGCAAGGTTTTTATCTCATCAGCAGTGCTCTCGACTCCAGCATCTACCTTCTTCCATTTTTCGGAATCAACACCACTTCCATCAAATTCAGAAGTCAAGTAAAAAATCTGCTGGACCTGTTTAAGTTTCCCGCCACAAACAGATATCTGTTCAGAAGAGAGCTTTGCTTTTCTTCGGTTGAACAATAGTGCATAATGGTTGGATAATGCCTCCAACTCCTGAAACACCAACAGAAATACTCAAAACTATAATTTTAAGACAATATAAATAAAGATGAATATTGGAAGTTGATTTAACCTCCAATTGCTCTGGGCCTCCATAAATGTAGAAGCATCTATCAAAAGTAACTTCCTCGGGATACTGATCATCATCTATTCCTCCATCCTCTCCAGATCTTTTATTGGTGTCCATACCAGTCTCTGATATAAGAAGATCCAAAGTCTCTTTTCCAACTAACTCAAGCACTTGCATGCCCTTGTCAGTAAGAGCTTTTCCAATCTGGAAGGAATACCATAATCAGAATTTGTTGAAAAACAATAAGTAGGGGGGATAAAAAAAAATTGGGTAGTACAGACCTCAATGATTGAGGGAGTAGACCCAGGTAAACTACCATGTTGAACCGATTCAGCAAAAATTAAAGCAGAATTCTCGAGCCTGATGACATAGAAGATATACAAATTAAATGGACAATCAAATGCAAGCTGTGAACCAAAAAACAACATAAACATATCAATTAACAATAATAGACCTTCAAATATGGAAGAACATCAACAATTCCAATTAGCCAAATCTTTTATAAGTAAAAACATCAAATATATTCTAAACAATATTGACTTTATGCAATGATTTTTCACAAACAAACGTAGATGTAAAACATTTCAAGGCGGAACCAACAACCTAGAAAAGCACTTAATCAAAAGACCAAAAGACTCCCCACTGTTGTCGAGGGAGGCCAAGGTCATAAGAGTCAAATCCACCACCACAAAAGGAATCATACTGACATACAGTGACAGGGACAACTAAAATTGAGTGAGATATTAACATACTGGTGTACTAAGGTTGAACCTCCTTTGAATGCATTTCCTAATGCTTGCCATGCCCCAGAAGCAAAATTTTCCACTTTATCATCAAGAACTTTCAAACCCTGAAACGAAACAAACACTTGAATATAACCATACTTGACTGTATGTACCAACCTCTAAAAGTCACTTAAATGTGAAACTTTGTTGCAGAAATAAAAAACATATACTTTACACAAGTGTCCATGAATTAACACAGAATTACAGGCTCACCAGGCAAAGATGAATCAAGGTCAACCAAATATATCCACTAAAACAAATAGCAAGCATTACTTGCCTGGCCAAAAAGAGAATCTTCACTGGCCTTCTCCAGTTTCTCAAGGGCTGCCTTTCGCCGCTTGTCATTTTCATCCTCGCTTTACTCTTCAACTGCTGGTGCTTTGGTATCATCCTCCTTGGAAGATTCAGAGTCTTCGGCAGGTTCAAACTCTGCAATCTTTTTAGCCGCTGTTTTTAGCAGCTTCAACGGCCTGCAACCATACAGTTAAGATAAAATATTAAAAAGGAAAACAATAAAACTATTTTGGAAAAAAACAGAGAATGATAACACAGGACCGGCCTGCATCCCAGAAATTGGGACAAAGATTAAACCAGAAGAGGTATAACAGAGCTTCATGTATTAGAAACCCAATTGAGAGATTGAAACTATATTAGTAATGAGCTAATTGTGCAACACACGTGCAAGCAAAATTAAGAACGCTTAAACCTTTCACCATATAATCACTCTATTCAAAATAAGAGGCTGTAGTACCAGGAACTCATTCGTCGAGCTCAACATTACAAATTTCAACAATTACAAAAATCTCTAATTAAGGCCAATACTATAATTGAACCTGTGAGTTAAACAAGCAATGGAAAATCTCCACCGACAAGGAATAGCCTAGTTTCGAGGCGTGCGCGCGAAAAATAATTCTTAAATAAAAAACAAAGAAAAGAAAAGAAATTGAATTGATAACATACATTTCGAGAGATCTCTTCAACAGCCTCAGTAGCGGCCTTCTGAAGATCTGAGAGATAAGACAATGGAGAGAATCCCCAGCCACCCCATCCTCCTCCACCACCACCACCGCTGCCGCCGCTGATCCCGCCGCTCTCCTTTCGCAGACGAGGTTGCTCCACCGCGGGTGCCGCAGTTTCTACTTCTTAATCGAGCCAAATCATCCTCGGAAACAGAGGATTGGTTCAAAACAGAGAGGTCAATCAAAGGGATGCCTTCAGCTTCAGTTTTTGTGGGTTTAGGCCTGTGTTGTGGAGCTTGGAAGAAAGCTGGGTAAACTTCTCCCATGGGTGAATTGAGATATTTCAGTGCTTCAGCTTAATGCTAAGGTCTGGCAATGATTGATGGCGGAGAGAACTAACTATTTTTTTTTTACGGGGTGTCATTCCGCTTTTATATAGCCTGGTAAATGAGATATGGCACTTAATATTTTTGTAGTATTCATTTATGGTTAATATACTCCTATATTATTGAATACGGATTAGGTACATTCTATTCTGATTTGCCCATAATCGAAAGCTAGTTTTTTCTTTGTTAGGAAATAATCTTTGAGTTTTGTACAAAATGTCAAAGATTCGAACACGTCAAGCTGAAACTGAAAGAAAGCAATTTTTTTCCCATCTTATGGAACAATAATTTGAATTGCACTCAAGCAATTGACAGGGGAAGATTCGAACACGTCAAGCTGAAACTACACGTTCTTTTTGTTAGACTAAACGCCTTATGTTTTCTGCACCAAAAAGAAGAAGTAAAACTTGAATCGAATTTCTTCACCAACTGATTTTAAAGATGGAAACAAGGTCTATGGATATGTGATTGACTGGAAAATTTGGAGATAAATGATAAAAGCTACATGACTGATGAACTGATAAAGTGACATCATAAAAGCCATTGTATTTTCTCTGCCACTGATTAGTGCCACCGGAACCTTAAGCAACGAGCTAAAGCACTGAAATTTCTGAGCCATGGTAGAGGAAGATCCTGAACACAGGCCTAAACTCGTGAGAATTAAAGCTGAAGGCATCCCTCTAATTGATCTCTCTGTTTTGAAACCAATCCTCTGTATCCGAGATTGATATGGCTCGATTAGTCTGTGAAATTGGTGATGCATCCCAGAAATGGGGCTTTTTCCAAGCCATCAATCATGGGGTTCCCAAGGAATATCGAGAATGAATCGAATTGGCATCAAGAAAGTTCTTTGCTTTACCAGTGGATGAAAAGCAGAAGGTGAGATGAAGTAAATCCATTAGGTTATTATGATACAGAGCATACCAAAAACGTCAGAAATTGGAAAGAAGTTTTGATTTCACTGTTGATAATCCCACAATCATTCCAGCTTCCCCTGAATCCGATGATCAAGAAATCAAGGAACTGAGGAATCAATTTCCCCAGAACCCTCCCAGAGTTAAGGTAAGTCATATTCCTGTTTTAATACTTCAAGATCTGATTTTTATCATTTGAATATAACCCAACACTGATTAATTTCTGTCGATTTGGCATTTTCCAGAGAGGTCCGTGAAGAGTATATACGCAAGAAATGTTGAAATTATGCTTCAAGGTTATTAGGGCTCGCTGAGCCTCGGATTGCCTAGGAATAGATTGGATGATTACTTTAAAGATCAGACCAAGGCTGAATCACTATCCAGTTTGTCCTAGCCCTGACTTGGTCCTTGGGGTTTCCCGAAATAAAGATGCTGGTGCCTTAACCATTCTTGCTCAAGATGATGTTGCAGGGCGCCAAGTTAAAAAGGAAAACTGATGGGGAATGGATCCTTGTTAAACCAATACCTGATACCTTCATCGTAAATATTGGCGACATTATTCAGGTATACATATCATAATTGTACCAGAGATTCCCAGGATATTAGCAGAATAATCTGAGATTCTGAAATGAATGTTAATACTGTATGCAGGTGTGGAGCAATGACAATTGACAAGTATGAGAGTGTTGAGCATAGAGTGACGGTGAATTCTGATAAAGAAAGGTTCTCCATTCCATTCTTCTTCAATCCAGCTCATTATACATGTGTTCAACCCCTCGAGGAGTTGATCAATGAGGAAAGTCCTGCTAAGTATGAGGCCTAACACTGGACAAAATTTTCCGCAACCAAAGAGCTCAGTAATTTCAAGAAACTAGACGTGGAGAACTTACAAATCAACCATTTCAAGACTAAGGATTAAGGAAGTTTATGTTGTCCATGTACTTGCCTTTTCCAAATATGTGGCAGCTATCAATCATAGTTGCACAATTTTTAGTGATTATTTAGTCTTATTCACGAAAAAGGAAAAGACACAAGCAGCACAAATGTGTGGAGCAACAAATAATATTAAAACTTAAGCACTAAAATATCTAAAATCAGCCACCCGTACACAACATTAGTATGTAATAATTCAGATCACCAATCTAAGGGAGCGATCAAAAAGTAAAGCATAAAATAAACATATTCATTCCATCCCAAGTCTGAAAAAGACCAATCTACCACTCATCAAATAAGGAGATCCGCCATCTCCTCGACATATCTATACATTTGTCTTGCCTCCCTATACATTGGCTCCCACACCTTCGAGGCTTTTTCACGTATCTTTTGGTCTTTACTTTTGTCCTTCAAGTGTTGCACGATATCAAATCCCCCAGCTTCATCAATCAATCTTGCAAAAAAATTGTACGCTCCAGGGCGCTTCTCCTCACAACTGGGCTTGCATAACTTTGCAAGCCCATCTAAACAACATTCGATTATAATCACAGATTCGCTAGTCTCAAGTAGATCACATAATGGCACTATAAACCCCTCCAAACCCTTAACCCTGTACACCACCCAAAGTAAAAAAACAAACCTTGAATTAGTTCCCAAAACTTTAAAGTTGGTGGGAATCCAAAAAAGAAAAAGGATTCAAAAAAAAAAGAAAAAAAGAAAAAAGTACCTGTTTCCATTACGTCTAAAACAGCCTGCCCAGCAACTTTCCTTAAACCCTCAGAGTGTCCAGGTGCAGATAACACATAAATTAAAGGTTCTATCAGATTAGCATCAATCAACACCTGCAAATCCAGAAAATAACCATAAGAGAAATGCTTAAATAATAAAGAATAGTCAACTAAAGGGAAAAACCAAACTTGATTCTGATCCTCATTTCCAGCGGTAATACCAGACTTGATCCCTCTCCGAGCCTTATTTCCAGAGAGATATCAGAAATGGTACGGCAGGCCTCTCTCTGGAGGACTTCATTGTCAGCAACCAAAAGCGTCCGCAAACGATCTAGCAGCCCATGGTCAATCATACACTGAAATACAAAGGTCTTGCCATTAATGCCAACGTTAAAGGCTTACTGACTGGTAAGAGACCATGTGTTCCAAAACAAACTTAATACTGTTTTACAAACATGAAAACGATTAAAAGTTGGCACATATTCTATCCCGCACACATACAGTATGCTAAAACTTTAAATGCAATAGTGGTGCAAAATGATGGTCCAAACATACCTGTTTATTCCCTCTCACAACATTCCTGACGATGCAAAGCGCAGGAATTTGCACGTCAAGCAACGGTTGGCTGAAAAGTTAGAATTTGTTGTCACATCAGAAATACAATTGCAAAAATAAAAACCAAAGCAGAATGATAAACAGGGTGTAACCTACTCCAGTAACTCCAAAAGACGTGCGCAGACACCCTTAACAATAAAGGAATTGACAAGATCTTTTGTGCCGTCAAAGACAAATGAAAGAGCCCAGCAAGCATAGGGCAGCACATACTTGTCGTCCGAAAAGACAAGTTTAGAGAGAACTCGAAAGGCAGGAAGCACCTGAAATTAAATACCGTCAGCAGCATCTTAAAAGGATAGGAAATTTGAAAACGGCAGGAAAAATATATTTGATCATACATCTCTAGGTTTGCCGCGACATAAGTTGAACAGCGTAAAAGTCGCAATTCTCAGCATCGAAAGCCTAGGCCCATTAAACAGTTTTAGCAATGGACCCAAAGCCTTCTCCATCAAAACAGTATCCCGATGAGAGTCGGAGTCACCGGCAATGTTTCCCAATGCCAATACAGCCTAAACAATGAACAAATCATTCCGACAAACTAATTTCAACCTCTCCAACAAATTTAGAAGTCAAGACTTTTCAGCCCATATCTGCAACAACAAACTAGGCTTCAGGGGAAAAACATACCAGCTCGCGAACATCATCACTAGGAGAACTGAGTAGCCGTATTAAACCACGCAGAGCGTCGGACTTAACCACCATTTCAACATACTCGGAAGGCCCGGAAACAATATTTGTGAGAGCCCAGGCACATTCAAACTGCAGATACAAACTAATTAATCATAGAGTGAACCTCAAAACAAGTCATCAATCTTTAATATATTTTCACTTTAGGTCATCAATTAAATTTATTTGTAGCATAGATTACCTTACTAAAGTTTTAATCCATTTCAGATCATTCTGTTAATTTTGACCGTTAAATAGTGACGGAAATCTATTTTTCACATGCTTTTGGGTTCAGGGGTATTTTTGTCATTTTATTATTATTATTTTTAATTTTTTAAATCTTTTAAATTTTTTTTTTACAATTCTTCTTCTTATACTTCCTAACTTGTATACACTGGTAGTACAATTCTAAATTTTAATAATTTATTTTCCTTTTGTATTTTAACTTCTAGATTATAAAATTTTTTTTAAAAAAAAAAATTAAGAAATGAAGAAGAAAAATTTGAGTTAAAATAAATATGAAAATTAATAATTTAACATTTTTAAAAAAATAAAAACTAAAAGAATTAGCTAAGACAAGTTATTTCTTCTAGGTTATTTAATTTTTTTCAACTCGATTGAATTATTTAATTATTAATTTTCACGTTTCTTATTCCTTTTTTTATAATCTAGAAGTTAAGATACAAATGAAAAATAATTTCATTTTTGAAAATTGCCTGAGTTACCTGGGGATCAGGTACAAACTATTACTCAGCTTGATGAATGCTGGGCATTAGAGGAAGATGACAGAAAGATCATAGTGATATTTGGTTACATCAATCATATTTTGATTAAAATGTTGATTGACACTGGGGCCACCAGGAGTTTTGTTGATGCCAAATTGGTGAATAGACTGAAATTAGTGAAGAGGTGTTTAGCTTAACTACTTTGAGTTAATGTCTGCAGTTTTTATAATACAAATGCTTTTAATGAAATCCATGTATATAATTAGGATGATGAACCAATCTAAGAGTTCTTCCGTTTAAGATTTTGAGTAAAAAATATGCTTCAAAACTTCAACTTAAGGCATAAACAACGTTTATTATGTTTGACAAATGAATAAGAGAAAGTTTTCTGTTAGAAGGAGAATTAAGAAGATCTGACACAGATATAATTATTCAGAGAGATATATCGTTATGAAAATTAAGAGAATAATTTGAAAAGATATAAATCCATAAATCAATAAAACAAAGAGATGGACAATAAATTACATTGGATAATTTCAATATTGAAAATTATTCGAAATTTATTTGAAATAGCTAGGCACATTGACAAATAAAAGTTTAACCAACAATTGTTTTATTTGAATGATTAAGGTGAAAAATATATATATTGGAAAAGTGTTAATCCCCCCACCCCCCCAAAAGGGAAGAAATGAGAAGCAAAGAAGCAAAGATTGAGAAGAAAGGGCGAGAGTTAGTTGACCGAAAGGCAGTGCTTGGAATATCAATGTCTGTGACTGGCCTTTTGATAGTTTGTGCTCGTGGTTTGTACCGTCCAACATAATGTAATGTGTCATGTTAACGTGACTGCGAATAAGGCTAGCATCACTTTCTGGGGGCTAAATGAAGCTATGATGAGACTGGCTTTTGACAAGGAGTTTATCTTTCTAAGGTTTCGGGTAAAAAGATGAATGATTTTGTATGTGGGATGTAGCAGTGGCTATTTGTCGTTGGCATAGCTTATCAGAAACACGGTATCTTTCCGTTTTATCTTGAGATCACTGCTGTTGGCTATCTTTTGTAAAATAAGGGGCTTTGTTATTTCTATCTCGACCTCATGAGTGTTTTCCTTTTTTCTTCCAATTCACAATTGCCCTGCACATTGTTTAGTCTTTCTTTGCTGGCACAAAGAGGGATTAGACTGATTTCCTTTTCATCACCTTACCTTTGTGAAGGGATCATTGTTATATGTTGCCATTTTTTTTCCCCAATTTCGTGATGATCTATGATAAGACAATTGTTTAAGGTTTCTGGAAGATGTAATCTTTTATTGAGCAGCAAACAGGAATTAATATCGGGAGGAAGTGAGTATTTGTTAAAATTGTACTAATCGAAAACACGCAAGGTTTCAACACATAAGTGTAATTTGGTAGTGATTTTTTTCGTGATGGACACCTCTTTTTTCGGCAGAAACTTAAAAAACAAGCCTTTGAAGCAAATTCTCAGAAATCTGGAGGAAACACAAAACCAGCTAATAAAACGCACAGATCTGAAGAACAAAACTGATTTCAAAACACATGAAAACCACTAAAGGCAACCAAAACAATACGTTGGTAAATGTTACCAGAATGACAATTGCATCATCGGCATAATCAGTCTGCTTCTTCAGAACTGTAGCATTTAGGAGTCTTGAAGCCCTTTTGAGTTTTGACATTACATACCAGTAGGAAAATTAAAACTGAGTTAAGTTTCTCTAAAGGCAATTTGCTAGATAGGGAATCGCATAAAATCCATTTGGACATAAGAAATTCCCAACCTAGACAGGCTCGTTAAGCAACAGAGCATCTGGAAAAGAAGGCAGCGTGGTTAAAACACCGCCTAGATGGGTCATCACATGAAAGTTGTGCTATTTATCATACTCTACAGTGTAGGACTTCTCAACAATTGTACTAAGAACATCCTGATAGACAGTCAACTTAACTTTAAGCCTTTTGGAATTAGGTTCTGTCTGCATAAATTCGACAAGTATACGCGGAACTCTTTTCAGATCCTTCTTCAATATCAATACACATGACTAACGCAGCTTCGCCTTTAACAACCAGGTCAATGCACAACATCCATATGCTTCTGCAACTTTTCAGTAAAATCCATCTCATCGTCCAAGCACTTGGAACGAGTTTCAACACCATTAGGCTCCATCGAAATCCCACATTCTCTGCACAAAACACTTCCTAGTGTTTGATTGATACTACTCATTCCAGCTGCTTGAGCCATTGCTGTCATTAATAAGGTACCAAGAACTTCAAATCAAGTCAAAACCTTAAAATTGAAAGTTCCAAATCAATGAAAGCAGGAAAAGGAAGAAAAAAACCCCTAAACAACTACATCACGGATAAACAAGAAAAACAAGAAAAACAACAGAAGCAATAATAAGAAGCAATCATCTATTTATCCTAAAAATACAGTGATGAGATCATGAATAAACGATTAGGGGTCATTCTCAGTTGAGGTGATCATTATATTATTTATTTATCTATGAGTTGGTATTCCCTAATACGGATAGCTGCAATGCATTGAACTCAAAGATAATCGAATATTGAAAGTAAAAATGTTTGAAGTTGGAAGAGTTTTATTGAATCTGGATGTTCCAATTTAAAGAGAATTCGGCAATCCAAGTTGCCAAGGGAACGAAGAATCAAGTTTGCAAAAATCAAGTCGACAGAATAGCGTCGACTTATTGGTCGGAAGAAAAAGTCGACAGAAAGGTCAACGAGACTACGTCGAGCTCTCTGTTCTCCGACGTAATAATCGACGCAAATGGGGCATAATTTTTTTCCCCCCGTTTTTTGTAGTGTTTTTTTTTTAATGATTTATGTACTAATAAAGTTTAATTTAAAGAATTCAGGTTCTCTAGTTTAATAATTAGGCTCTTTTGTTTAATTGATATAACAAAATAAGTGAAGATCACTGATAAATTAAGGAATCCAAATCAATTGTTCATAGGTGTTCTCCATATAATATAGTCACTATTTCCCGGCGCAGCAGGAAATTCAATATGTAAATATTGAAAACCCAAAAATGAGTGAATCAATTACCCTAAAAAAGAGAAATTTATTTGTATGTGTGCGTACTATTGATTACAAATTATATGTCTTCTCATATTCACAGTTATATTGTTTTTGTAATATATAAATAAAACTGTCCTGTACATTTTGCAACGTGAAAATAAGTCGAGGTCAAATCGCAAAGATGTATATACATGTATCAATTTCAGCTTTATCTCATTGAAGCTGTCTCTAATCTCTACGTACGATTGTTCATGAACAGTTAATTAACTTGCTTATGTTCTTTCTACTTTTTGGAAATAAACATTTAATTTATTTTAATTAACTTTGTTATAAATTGTGTGGTCACGATTCATAATAATTGATTACTTTTAATAATTAATATGTAATATTTTATTATTTTTTTCATATTTGTAGGGTGTCCACCGTCGATAACAGTGACTAATCTCCCTCGTTGAATCGTAGGCACCTCGATGGGTGTTCATCAAATATGTGGATAGAAATTGAGGGGGTTTCTATGACTATCCACTTAGAAAGTCCATCAAAGTGTGAGTATTTATCTGTTGGGGGTGACACTATTTAGGTTATGGCTATCACAAGATCATGAATAAGTCTCAGCATTTATGGAGAAAGTTTTAAAGCGATCAAAGTGCTCTTAAATAAGGTCTTATTCATAGTTTTCTTATTTCGGTCTTAGTTCACTTGTTTAGTACTCCCTCTGTTCTATAATTGTTGTCCAGTTTGAGTTTTATTTCTAGTTCAAATTGTACTAAAAATGAATTCTCAAACTAGACAATAATTTTAGAACAGAGAGAATAGTAGTTTTATTTTTTAGGCAATAGCCCCCTTCATTGTAAAAAAAAAAAAAAAAAAAGGTTCTACCTTACTGAAAAGTGAAGAAAAACAAGCATGAATTAGGCGTTAAGAGACTCTGACTAATGCAAGTAATTAATTAGGAATAGCACAGCATGAGATAGTACTATATAAATACTGTATGACCAGAAAAACAAGCATGAATTTGGCAATAAGAGAGGCTAAATTGAGGACTAGGTGCGGGCAATAGAGTGGGGTGCGAGTAGATGGAAGGGTATACATTTGATTAATGTTACTTCACCAAATTTTCCATTGGTGGATGATTAAAAATTTTTGGCGTTCTATGATGACGCTGAAAGAGTTCTGAAGTTCTATATTAAGAACTCGTGAATGCATGGAACAAACTCATTATTCAAGTCCATCTTCGAGCAAGTAACAAGAAGTTCTAGCTTCTAATCAAGAAAATGGCAGCATGGTTTTTCTTATTCTTCTTACTCCTAATTCCTTAAGTTGTCATTTTTAATCTCCAAAAAACCCAGATAACGAAAAGTATCCGTCGTCCACCTAGCCCTCCAGGCTTGCCTTTCATTGGGAACTTGCATCAATTTGATAGTGCAAATTCTCATGAATTCTTGAGCAAACTTTCCAACAAATACGGCCCTCCAATGTCATGTCATATTGAAGCTTGGAAAGGTTCGAGTTCTGGTAAGTTCTTTGGCAAAAATGGCGAAAGAAGCCCTAAAAACCCATGATCTCACATTCTCTGGGAGGCCGCCGCTCATTGTTTTGCAAAAGATTTCTTACAATGGTTTAGACATTGTTTTTGCACCTTATGGTGAGTATTGGAGAGAGATGAAAAAGATTAGTCTTCTTCATCTCTTCACTATGAAAAGGGTTCTCCAAAAGTATGGCTTGGCTAAATGAGATGAATTTGTGGGCAACAACATTAGATTCTCAAATCTCAACCAATCCAATTTAATACTACTTGTAGAAGGTTCAATTTAGAGAATTATTGTTATGTCAGTTTTGTGATTTGGCATGTTCACGTGGTTGACTTAAACGTGATTTTGTACGTTTATGTGGTGGACTCGCACAACCGTAATGGCCGCCGTGCCTTTGAACACGATGAAGTAAGATTTTTATGGCTTTGTGATTAGTTGGTCAAAAGATCAAAACCGAAGTTAGTGTAAGGACATCCCTCATGAAACAGGGAGCCGTTGGCATCAGAAACTAATTATATGTGGATAACGGATGTGTTTGATCTGCAAGATAACTCGAGATCCTATCATGCAAGATATCCCCGACTTCCAAAATAAGTAAAGATCCTATCAAGCAAATTTCCTTCAGAATTTCTGCCTCCTACACACTTGTTACATGCTCCTGGTGACGCCAATAATTTGCATGAATCTTCAATAAGATAGTATTTCTGTAACAGCAATGATACATCCAGTGACTAAGTTCAGTGAAAATATAGTGACAAATGAAAAGACAAATACACCATCCACTTTTTAAACATGTCTATTTATAAATTAAGGGTAAAAATGTAATTTTAGAGGAAAAATAAAATTTCAACGGGAAAGTAGCAAAAAACTAGGGGTCATGATTCTTCCACATCATTCACTATACTTTGTCACTATTTTCATTCACGAGTATCATTTTCCTTTCTGTAAAGGGTAATATGAAAATATGGTCAGTCCCGACAGTCACACTTAGAATCTTCACATCATCACAAGGTTGATACTCCTCGTCCGTTTCTACTGCCTCTATAGCCTGTTAATCACGATGAATAAGTATCTCCACAAAAATTGTTCTAGAACATAGAAATGAGTTCAATGCAGACAAATGATAGATATATGTTAGGATACCATTCCCAGTGATAATCTGAAAACCATAACTTCAGTAAGATACATATGGATTGAAATAAGGCTAACATTAATTAAAATTATGCAGAGCATACCTTCACGACATTCATTCCTTCCACAACTCTACCAAATACTGTATGCTTGTCATCTAGCCATGGGTGATAAAAAATTGTGAACCGTTGCTGTCTTTCCCAGAATTAGCCATTGATACAGATAAAGGTTTGTCATGCCGCAAGATGTGAACCATTTGCATGAAGTAAATAATAGCACAGACTACAGAGCACCGAAAATCGTCAACTACGTTTATCCAGTAGGTAAAAATCATACCACTGGATTTCACATCAATAATAAGCCATCTGAGCACTAGACAAAGCTAAAACAATTGTAGTTGTCAAAACATGAGATCACACTATACACACAGAAATATGTGCCAATACTCACAGAGATAAAAGTGGCTTCTGCAATAGCTATTGTCAAATTCGGCATCCACAGAAGATCAAAGTTGTAGTGAAACAAGCAACAATTGACGCATTTAATTAGTTTATACTTTCTCAAGTAACCCCCAACAATTTAATCATTATTAGACATACTAATCAAGTAAGCAATTACCCAAAAATTTGTGAAACTGAAAAATAATCTTTCAACTTTTTTTGAACAACTAAAGGCCAAGCTCTTAACATGAGAACCTTAATCATGATATCTTTCTCACATAATGGCCCGAAAAGGAAAGGCCTTGCCGAAATCCTATCTTTGTTACATTCTTCAAGTCTTTGAGTTAATCAACATTCCAGCACCATGTGAATCAGAAAAATTAAAAGGAAATGAAGAAATACTATCATGGAAATATAGGGAAGAAGTTAACCTAAAACATGAATATGTACAACCAAAACAAAATGCCTGTTAAATTTTGTATCTTAACAAATTGGATAATTATGCTAACCTTTTGTGAAACTCATCTTCAAATTTTTCACCCCAGATGGACTCTCCACCAGTCCACCTTCCCCATCTCCCGAGGGTCTCCTGTTTGAATCATAAAACCTTTCTTAACCCGGTGAAAAGTCAGACCATTATAATACCCATCTTTGCAGTGCGTTGTAAAGTTCTTGACAGTTTTTGG